AAGATGGCAAGAATTTGCTGAAATAACTAATTAAACTAGAATACAAAAAGGGAGGTGTGAGGAGGTCAATGAAACAAGCAAATGGAAGTTAAAGATATGTAATATGGGATTTGTGGTTTTTTTTCTTTTTCTTTTTGCTGTATTGTTGTATTGGTTTTTATGCTTTGTTGTTTTTTTTCTTCTTTTTTATGTATTGTAGTGTTGTTTTCTATTTTTTCTTCTTTTCTGTAATTCTGAAACTTTTAATAAATATTATTTTAAAAAACAAAACAAAAAAACCCATATTTCTTAAAGCTACGACAGTCTCCGCCGTATCTCAATTCTCCCAAGGAACACAGACCCTGGGTGAGTGCTTGGAACCCCATGGGGTTGGCACATGACTTTTGTAACAATACATTATGAAAGCTGAAAAGTAATCCTGTTGCAATTCAAGAATAACAGTATAAACAAAGAATGTGATTTCAGCTGAGTGTCACGTCAAAGTGCCTGTTCCCAGTCAGCAATGATTGGAGAGAGAAGCTCAGATTCCTCCTTTTAGTCACTTTCAGACCCCAAAGCTATCATTCATGCATCATGTGGGGAACTTTTATGGCTCCAGGAACCGGATCTATATCAGGCCCCAACCTGTGGGATAACTTTGATAAATGGGCAGGCACTTGGCAGTCACACAGCATTATTATGGCATCAGAGGTAGATAGGTGGGTTGTCACGCCCATTTCAAAATCCTTTGCATGGGCTTCCCTATGCTTCTCCTTTCTGTGGCCAAAGCCAAAGGTGGAAAGGGGAGGATGATGCTCATCTCACCTCTCCACCACTGCCTACTGCCTGCTCTCTGTGGTGTTTAAAGAGAAAGGGGACAACTGCATCAAAGAGCTCTTTTGCAAAGGGCTTCAAAACATCCTCACTCCCATTTGAGGCTTTGGAGGCTCAGACAGGAGCATGGGGGCTGTCTTAAAGCCCTTTGCAAAAGTGATATTTGAAGCAGCCCAGAACTTTTTTAAGTGAGCTGCCCACAACCTTACCCCTTTAAAGAAGACATGTAGAGCTGCTTCCGAGAGTGCTTTTGCAAAGCGCTTTAACCCCCACTCAGCAGCCGAAGAGTGGGGATTACACCCTGCTGCCCCGGCTGCACAATCACGTACCCTGCTGGGAAGAAGGCAAGCAGCCAATGCAGGGTTAAACCCTGCCATGCCAGCCATCGACTGACATCACTGATGGTTTGAAGAAAATGGGCCTACTGTCCAATCTTGGCCCGTGGGCTAGAAGTTGCTCACCCCTGCTATGTCTGTTAATGCCAAGCATTCTGTTATCACCAAAGCACCTCCGCACACCAGATCCCTTGTCTTGTCACAACCTGACCCCTCTCGTGTACACCCATCCAGTTTCAGTGTTTGTATCTCCTGATATTTAAGATTTGCCAAGCTCCCCAAACTGAGGGTTGCATACAGTGTTAGTCCTTCTCAAAGTAGACATGACTAATGTGGATTCAGTGATTTCAAAGTGTCTACTCTGTGTAGAACTTAGTTGGATACCACTCTTGATGCTTGAGAACATTCACCTGATGTCTTAACTAGAAACCACAAGCTGCTGCACGTGTGCCTCGTATTCCTCTTCCTCTCTGTCCAGCTACTCCCAACTCTTTTAATAGAAAAACATGCCTTGCCCTCTGTGGCATCATGCTGATTTTGGTAACTTATAATAGTAGTCCTTTCGGCAAGCTTTGAAGAGATTCCCATGCAGCAGAGTGATTGATACCTTTGCCAGGTGAGTCCATATGAATCACTTCCAGTTGGGTGAGAGGGAGAGCTGCACTGGAGGCTGACTTGTGCTTAGATCACATTCCAACGGCTGTAGCCAACTACGTCCTACTTAGAGTAAACCCAATGAAAGTAATGAACCTGTTTATTTCAATGGGTCTACTTGTATTTACGGGACCGCCTCTCCTGGTATGCCCCGCAGAGGACCTTAAGGTCCACGAATAACCATAGTTTAGAGGTCCCGGGCCCTAAGGAAGTCAGACTATCCTTCACCAGGGCCAGGGCCTTTTCAATGATGGTTCCGACCTGGTGGAATGCTCTGTCCCATGAGACCAGGGCCCTTTAGGATTTAACCTCCTTTCGTCGGGCCTGTAAGACAGAGCTATTCCACCTGGCCTTTAATTTGAATTCAGCCTGATCTTCTGTTTCCCTTCTCTTCCCTCTCCCTCCCCTTTTATGAAGATTACCCGCTCTGAGACCCCACAGCTAATTCTCCCTGGCCTCCTTGCTGGCCCAAGTAGGACTAATTCAGCCAGCTAGCCCTGGTGGTTATCTAATGCTTATTAGATGGATTTCCCCTAAATTGATTTCTGAACTTTGAATTTCATTGTTATTCGTGTTTTTAGACTGTATTTTATGCTGCTTTTACAATTGTGTTTTAAATTTGTTGTTAGCCGCCCTGAGCCCAGTTTTTGAACTGGGAAGGGCGGGGTATAAATAAAAAAAATATTATTATTATTATTACTCTGAGAAGGACTACCCACACTACATGCAACCTAAAGGCAACAAATTTATCCACTATTTTTCAACAATTTCTCAACAATTTTGGGTTCTTCCAAAAAAAAAAAAAAAAAAGCTCAACAACATGGTTTTTACTTTTTGTAAATACGGTATGTCAACTGTAGCCTTATTAGACTATACCGACTGGTGGGGTCTGCGTTGCTCCTGGGAGGGAGAAAGGAAGTCAAATGACATCGAGGTTTGGTTCAGAGAAAGAGTTTATTCTGCTCTCCGGATAGCAGAAGGCACTTGCGTGGTCAGCCCACAGCAAGTCCAAAGAAAAGAGAAATTTCATGCAGTATATATATCCTCCAGGCACCCTCTCTTCCCTTCCCCAGGAATCTAACCACGTCAGCTTATACACGTAAGTTGACATCCATGACCATAAACAGTTGTTCCTGTTCCGGCACTCTTGACCATAAAAGGTTGTTCCTGTTCCTGTTCCTGTTCCTATTCCTACTCTTATCTTGGAGCAAGAGGTCACCAACTCTAAGAGCTCTCCTGGCACCGTTCCCGGGTGGCTGACAAGGTCTGTACATCAGTGTGGTCAGGACGTAGGATAAGACCCAGACGTGCCATCCCTGCTCTATTTTGGAATGGACAAGGCCATCCATTGCCGTCACGGATTGATAAAGGAGAGGGCTTTGAGCACTTGTTTATACAGCTGGCTTTCTGTTTATACATTGACTCAAGCTCAAGCTTCCTGAGCTTGAAAAGCTCAAGTTAATGCATTTTAGAAATGCTCCCTTGGAGGAGGAAAAATGGGGATTTGGGGGGCCCGTTTCAGACTGACTGCACAGTCAGTTTTTGGGTTTGGGAAACCCATTCCTTCACAACCCTACTTCCATGCATCTATATAAACTACAGATTTCATAGAATCATAGGGCTGGAAGGGACATCAAGGGCCATCTAGTCCACCCCCCTGTAATGCAGGAATCCCAGCCATCCAAGCTCCATTTAGAAACTTCCAACGAAGGAGAGTCCACCGCCTTCTGAGGCAGTCCATCCCACAGCTGAACACCTCTTACCATCTGAAAACTCCTCCTAGTTTTTAGTCAGAATCTCCTTCCGTGTAATGTGAATCCATTGGTTCAAAGGCATCCTGTGGCAGTGAGTTCCATACATTAACTGTGCATCATGTGAAGCCCTCTCTCTTTTCTATCCTGAACTGACCGTCCATCAATTCCCGCGGGCAGCACTAAGGACTAATATTACTAAACAGGGGAAAGCATTTCTCTCTATCCAGTTTCTCTACCCCCTGCATTAATCGTGTGTGTAAACTTCAATAGGTCTCATCTGAGTAGGATTAGAACCAGATACAACAACAAAATTCGGGTGCTAATTCACAAAGCCCAAAACAACTTGGGACCAGGGGACTTTATGGGTTGCCTAATTCCTTACTATCCAGATCGTCGGATGCTTTTCCCTCCATCCCCCGAGATCTGGCAGGCCTTTATCAGAGTGTAGCAGGCCCAGCCCTGTGGAACTCCTTGCTACCAGAACCTGGCAGCTGCTGTGTCTGGCTTCTTTCAGACATCTTTTAAAACTATTTTTCAGGCAGTCCTTTGGCATATGAATTTTGCTTTGCCTGCCGGTTTTTACTGGTGCATTACTGAAGTTTTCAATATTGCATATTTTCCCCAGCTACATTCCTTGTTATATTTCCGGTGAGAGTGCAGCTTAAGTAAAGGTAAAGGGACCCCTGACCATTAGGTCCAGTTGTGACCGACTCTGGGGTTGCGGCCGCTCATCTCGCTTTACTGGCTGAGGGAGCCGGCATACAGCTTCTGGGTCATGTGGCCAGCATGACTAAGCCTCTTCTGGTGAACCAGAGCAGCGCACGGAAACGCCGTTTACCTTCCCACCGGAGCGGTACCTATTTATCTACTTGCACTTTGACGTGCTTTTGAACTGCTAGGTTGGCAGGAGCAGGGACCGAGCAACGGGAGCTCACCCCATCATGGGGATTCGAACTGCCGACCTGATTGGCAAGTCCTAGGCTCTGTGGTTTAACCCACAGCGCCACCTGCGTATAAGAGTGCAGCTTATACAGAGGTAAATAAAATAAAACCATCCATAGCCATAGGCTCCCCTCTCTACCCACTGCTGCCTCAAACCCTGGCAAGTCGCTGCCTGTCCGTGTAAACAATACTGAGCTAGATGGACTAATTGTCTGATTCTGTATAAGGCAACTTCCTGTGCTGTTTCCCACTGACAAGGGAGAGGACGATTGAGGTGCCTGATATTTCCCCTTGGCTCTGCCATTCCTCCCTTGAAACTCATGGCCTCTGTGGCTGCTTTTCATATTTTTGTACGCGGGGAAGCCTTGGGAGACATCAGCAGCATAATATCTGGTTTGGCTTTTGTGTTGACCAGCGAGTTCGTGGCTGAGCTGGAATGCTAAGTGGGGACTTCCTGGTTTGTAGCCAAGGCTTTTCGGCACCAGCCAAGATCATCGTTATTGTCTAATTATTATTTATTGTGTTTCTGACCCGCCCTTCACTAGAAGGGCTCAGCGCATGTTACCACATATAAAAACAATTAAAGCAACAACAAGAAGAAGGAAAAAGTCAGCAGCAACACAACCCCATCCATCATCTCAAGTCCTTAAAACCAGCTGCCTTATTTGTCAAATATTTGCAAATATTTTTCCTGGCATTTATCCCCAGCTAGTAAAATACCCATTGTTATGACGGCAGTGAGAAGTAGGTTAGAGGTTTTAAAAGCTACCTTTTGCTCTCCCTCTCGACAGGATAGAGAGATGCATTACAGGCGCTCCTTACTTATGCTGGGGTTACGATCCGGAGCCCTGCACACTTAATTGAAATTGTGAAAAGTGGGAAGCACCCTCTAAATGCCCTCTTTGATCCATACCAAAAATACTGTATCCAAAAATATCCACAACTAGAATTGATGCTCTGGGGCTGGCAGGAGGCAGGAGGATGCGCTACCCCGCAAACCAGCTGTTCGGCAGGGAGGCGGAGCAGCTTAAACAAAGCCCTCTGGTCTTTTCGGGGCTTCCTCTGGCCTGATGTCATTTTTGGACTCAGGGGAGCGTCTCCTTGTGAGCCACAAGAACTCTTAAGCTCTCTCCTGCCATTTCTGGGTATGAATCAAATTCATTACCCAGCACAACACATATACAAAGTCACATGCGAGCAGAAAACTTGTAAGTGAGGGGTGCCTGTAGGTTTACTTTTGTGTAAAAATGCAACTGTCAGCTAGTCACAGATGATGCTCCGTCCATTTTTTCTTCCGGACCAACCCGTCAGAGACGTGGGAATGTGGTTCTCAGGTGAGAAAATCCCCCCCCCCAAGGTTGCTTGGAAGCCAAAGGAAAGAGGGGGCTTCACACAGGTGAGTGAGGAGGGTGGATCTCTCCAGCCATTCTCTGCTTCAGCCAACACACTTGGCTTCTGTGCCTGGCACAGAGGAAGGGAAGGCATCCCACAAAGGCTCCCTACTTAGTAGAACCTATTTTTAAACAACCTGCTAAAATGCTCTTAGCCAGTGTTTCTATGCAGGCTGCAGAGGAGGCGGCTAGAATTTTGGGGCAGGGGTGACAAACTTTTATGGGTTTCTTATTCAAGCTCTGGATAAAGAATGGCAATGCGGAAGAAATCAGATGCAGTTTGCATTTAAAGGAAAGCCAACCAAATTTACAATACAGAAATTGAAATACTTTCAGAATTCACACTTCTCACAGGTCTCCAGCCGAATAATGTTAGATAAATGTACATGCCAGGGTAAAGTGTGCATATATTAGCAAAAATAATATGCAGAAATGCATTATATATGGGGAAATCACTTTGCAAAAAAATGTGTTTACAGTGGTACCTCGGGTTACATACGCTTCAGGTTACAGACTCCGCTAGCCTAGAAATAGTACCTTGGGTTAAGAACTTTGCTTCAGGATGAGAACAGAAATTGTGCTCCGGCGGCCCGGCGGCAGCAGGAGGCCCCATTAGCTAAAGTGGTGCTTCAGGTTAAGAACAGTTTCAGGTTAAGAACGGACCTCCAGAACGAATTAAGTACTTAACCCGAGGTACCACTGTATTTGGCAAAATTGCATGCAAAAAGAGAAAAGTGCATTAAAATGCCAATGAATTTTCACGAGGACTTCCTGGGCTGTATCCAACGTTAGTCCTACTAAGAGTAGAACCATTGCAGTTAATAAACATGACTAACTTAGGTTCAGTTGGATAACACCCTACAAAATAAATAAATCACAAACGGAGGTGGAAATGTGGAGAAATACGCTTACATGGTTGGGGTGGGGGGATTAGAAACTGACAATGACAGATTCGACCCTTCCTAATTAAGGGGCCAATGGCTCCGTGAACTTCTGGGTCATGCCCTGAAAGGGAAGAGAGGAAATAAAACAAAGCAAAACACAAATCCACACAGATGTATCCAGAAATAGGTCTATTCATAAAATACTCTTGGAAAGTAAGAAAATAGAAAATCTAGGCTACACGTAGACAGTCTACAAGGTGTTGTGGGTGATGGAGGCTCTTCCCCCACTCAGTGCACTGACTGGACATAGGCCTTGCGCTCCACCTGGGCACAGTACTTCTCAGGGAGGCCGGCAGCACTGCAAAGAAGAAAGAGAAGAAGGAAACGCTGGTCACTAGAGGGCACGCAGTCCATCCTCGCGTCAGTGCTGTGCAAGAACGCCAACCAGATGAGTGTAAATCGGTCGCTGCCTGTATAGCACATTTGAATCTTACGTGGAGGTTCCGTTCCAAGTGTTCCATGTATACATGAAAATCGTGTATACCCAAACCCTTGGGTCCGCTCATGCGCTTGACAGGTGGGGGGGGGGGAGAGATGTCCCTGTACTCCCAGAGCCCAGTGGACCACCAAGCAAAGCACATAGTTTAACAGGGGTCAGCAAACTTTTTCAGCAGGGGGCCGGTCCACTGTCCCTCAGACCTTGTGGGAGGCCGGACTATATTTTGAAAAAATAAATAAATGGACAAATTCCTATGCCCCACAAATAACCCAGAGATGCATTTTAAATAAAAGAACACATTCTACTCATGTAAAAACGTGCTGATTCCCGGACCGTCCGCGGGCCGGATTGAGAAGGCGATTGGGCCGCATCCGGCCCCTGGGTCTTAGTTTGCCTACCCATGGTTTAAAAGCTATTTGGGTAACCCCAAGCAGACCAGGTGCAAAAAGAGCTTTTAAGCCCTTCACTTTGCTTAGGATTTAACTTGAGCAATTTCAAGCAGCCTGCCTGCAACCACGTAAGGTTGAAATTGCACCTTGTGCATGATGCAATCATAGCAGGGGTGGGGAGGGGGAGAGCGCGAGCTGAGGGAACCAGACTTTGCAAAGTGCCACGGATTCAGAGATTGGGATCCCTGGCAAACGTGGACAATGGGTCACGGGGGAGTCGGGGGTCGTCGTGCCGCCTCACCGGAGCTCGTCGAGCTTCTTGCGCTTGATCTCGTTGAGGCGCTCGCTGCGCCGGCGGGCTTCTTCCTTGAGCCGCTTGCCCTCCTCGAAGATGGCGATGCGCTCCTGGACCTGCTTCTGCTGGTGCTCGCGCACCTGGCGCCGGATCTCGTCCGCGTGGGTCTGCTGAAGAGCCACACGCTTCTCGTGCTCTTTCCGCTCCTTCTCAATCTGTTCCTGTTGGATTCTGGGGCAGGGGAGGCAACATGAGTTAGTGAGTGTGTGTGACTAAGTCTGGAAGCATTAGTTAGTATGTGGCAAACACCCCCATCAAAAAAAGAGAAAAAGATTGCATTGATTTCCAGAGGTGGGCAAATTTCGAGAATGTGTGTTGGGTGGGTGTGATTTTATCTTAAAATCAGATATTGCTACCGTCCAATACCTGCCATCTTAAGCCTGAATTGAAGGAGGCAGCGCAAAGGATGTTTCTTTGTAGGCTCTGTGTGAGCCATAATAATAGTGATAGTTTTATTATTTGTACCCCTCCATGCCCACCAGTAAATTTTGGCTCACCTGACACCATTGTGATGTCAGGTGACTGGCAGGTGGGAGGCTCCATCCACCTGTCAAAATGGCCCTCAGGAGAGCAGGGAAGTCAGGATCCTGCCTGTTGGTTGGATCCTATTCCCCAGCTCTGTCTTAAAACTGGGAATTCTGGCAGCAGGATTCAGGCACCTTGCGGGAAGAGGGAGCTGCTATCCTGATCCCAGCTGTGTTGCAGTGCAACCATCTGCAGAAGGCCAGAGCAGGGATGGGGAAGCTTGTGGTGCAAGCACTGCCTTGTGGGAGTCCACAATGACTATACAAGATAATCTTGCAAACAGGAATATAGGAAGCTGCCTTATAGCAAGAAAGACCCTGTAAAGTATAATTGTTTAATTGCACACTGAAAAAGAGAAATACCTGTATGTATATTGCTAAGAGTTTAATATTGAAAAATTCCATTGAAGCATACTGAAGCTCTCTGAGCTCTAACAGGTTGATTATTAGCTGCTGGCGTTCTCTGCTCTTTCACGCGAGTGTTTAACCTTAGATCATGTGAGTAACGTATTTAGTTGAAAATCTCCATCTTGATGGGTGTTTGTTGCCTGTTAGTTATTCTCTGGAAGCCACAGAGAACAAAGGATGTGATAATGATGCCTCTCCAGGACCAAATAGCCTTAAGCTGGATACAGGCTAATGCAGGCTATGAGGGAAACAGAGCTTTGGTTTTTGTTCTGATTGCAATTATGTTCTATTTTGAAGAAGAATAAACCCATGCTTGGATATGCATATGCTTTATACAACTTTCTGGGTGTATCATTGATTGTCTTGCACCTGTTTTGAAGAAGTTCTGGTTAGTAAAGCTTTGAATTGTATTCATGGGTTTGGAAAATTATTATTCCAAAAGGCGTCTGTTTTGTATGCATCCTATCACAGCAGGGCCTCTACCCCTGCGCCACGGCCCTTCCACGCATTGCCAAGCAGCCCGCTTCCCTACCTGACGATCCTCTCGAACTCGGCCCGGTCCCGCTGCACCTGGACAGCCAAGGTGTGCTCCTTGTGGGCCACCTGCTCCAAGCGGCTCTGTTTCAGCATGGCTTCCGTCTGGGCCTTCTTGTGCGCCGCGTCCTTCTCCTTCCGGCGCCACTCCCGCTCGGTGGCCTCCTGGTTACGCTTGGCCCTCAGGGCGTCCTGGAGGGGATGGAAGGGAAGCAGGGGGAGTTGGTTGGGCCGTGAGGTGCTGTGTGTGGCGATGCCTGGGAGAGACTTACCATATTTCAGAAGAGAGACAGGGAGAGGAACACTGTGCTTCCCTGGTAATACATTACTATTTATTATTGTTATCGTTAGAATCAAGGGTCATCCGTTCCAACCCCCTGCAATGCAGGAATCACAGCTAAAGAATCCCTGACAACTGGCCATCCAACCTCTGTTTGAAAAGCTCCAGCGAAGGAGAGTTTGCCCCCTTCCAAGGCAGTCCACTGTCAAACAGCCAAACGGAATTCCCTCCTCTGCTCTAACCACCATGCTGCCACTGGTATCGATACTTCAGAATAAACAGGTGAATAAATGAACAGCATTGTCTAACTGTGGGCTGTCCACTTTATCCATTCACTGGTCGAAAGAGCTAGGGAAGTTTAGCCTGGAAAGGAGGAGACTGAGAGGAGATACGATAGCCGTCTTTAAATCTCTAAAGTGCTGTCACATGGGAGAGGGAGCAAGTTTGTTTTCTCCTACTCTGGAAGGTAGGACTCGAACTAGTGGCTTCAAGTTACAACAAAGGAGATTCCGACTAAACATACGGAAAACCTTTCTGACAGGAAGAGCTGTTTAACAGTGGGAAAGACTCCCTCGGTAGGTTGTGGACTCTCCTTCCTTGGAGGTTTTTAAGCAGAGGTTGGGTGGCCATCTGTCACGGATGCTTAAGCTGAGATTTCTGCATCGCAGAGGGTTAGATTGGATGACCCTTGGGGGTCCCTTCTAACGCTACAATTCTATGACCTGCACTCCTGGCCCCGTTTCGTGCTTTAAGAATGCACCCCTGAGCCACACCTGCTCTGCTTGGTGATCCTGGGCTTTCTCCTGCAGCGCCCTTAGCCGGGCCGTCTCCATCTCCTTTTCCCGGCGGATTTTCTCCTGCTCAGCCTCAAACTCGGCCTCCCGTTCCTGGCGGGGTACAAAAAAAAAATATATGTAAATTTTCACAAAGTTTTAAAAATATATGTTTAAACAAAGTCACAGGTTGGTGCAAGCAGACTTATGAACACACGCGAAACTGACCCTGCCTGACTAGCCCATCCCTAGCCAAGAGGAGGCCGAGGGAGGAGGGAGTTGGCTCTGGGAAGGTTTTCCACTGTACCTGAAATTTGCCCAGGCGCTTTTTCTTTCCCAGCGGTGCCCTCTCCCTGCCCACATGCCCTGCCACCACCACATACCATCTTCTTCCTCTGGTACTCCAGCACCCGCCGGTCGGCCATCTTCTCCTGCTCCAACATTTCCTGTTTGCGCTTCTCGTTCTCGTCGTTGACACGCCTGATCTCGGCCTGCAAACGCAGCTGCTCCTTCCTCCTGCGCTCCATTTCCTGGAGGAGAGCCGGAAGAGTCCCTAAGCATCCTTGTTAACCGTGGGTTGGGTCCAGCTACGTCAGGCCACGTCCGTGATTTCTGAGGGGTCTACTTGGAGCAAGACTAATGTTGGACAAAACGTGGGCCTGAAATACCGCCGGTTCCTTCTGGTCTCCTCAGTCACAGAGATCTTCTGACTGAGGCACTTTTGGTGGTTTCCCCATGCTTCTGAGGTCTGCCTTTCTCAGCCTTGGGTTCTGAGATGCCGTTGGACTACAATTCCCATCATTCCTAGCCAAGATGGCCAGGGATGATGGGAGTTGTAGTTCAAGAATATCTGGGGACCCAAGGTAGAGAAAGACTGGTCTACACTGTTGCTCTTCTGCAAAGGCACCTGCTCCTGGGGGCTGAGGCAATATAGGCCCTCAATATTCAGAGGGCCCAGCACACAATGTCAGGATAATAATAATAATAATAATAATTTATTTATACCGCACCCATCTGGCTGGGTTTCCCCAGCCACTCTGGGTGGCTCCCAACAGAATAATAAAAACACGATAAAACATCAACCATTAAAAACTTCCCTGAACAGGGCTACCTTCAGATGTCTTCTAAAAGTCACTTTTTATTTCCTTGACATCTGATGGGAGGGCCTTCTACAGGGCTGGCACCACTGCCGAGAAGGCCATTGGTTCCCTGTAACCTCACATCTCGCAGTGATGAAACCGCCAGAAAGCCCTTGCCGCTGGACCTCAGTGTCCGGGCAGAACGATGGGGGTGGAGGTGCTCCTTCAGGTATACTGGGCTGAGGCTGTTTAGGGCCTTTGAATTGTGCTAGGAAACCTACTGGGAAACATTGTGCATGTTGTGCCCCCTCAGTCGTATGGAGAAGCTGGCACTTCTGTTCTCCAGGGTTTGGGGCAGAGGGCATTCCCATCCCTACCTGGAGAGCTGGGACCTTCTGCATGCAAAGCAGGTGCTCTACCACTGACCTATGGCCTCCTCCAAATGTGTAACTCCTCAGTTCTTACCAGAAGGACTGCTGCCCCGTCCCAAGCGCTTTGTCCAGCTAGCTCAATGTTGTTTGCTCAGACTCGCAGCAGCTTCCCAGGATCTCAGACAGAAATAATCTCACTCTTCTGTGCTGACTGATCCTTTTGGTAAACTGGAGGTGCTGCTGGGGACCGAACTGCGGGCCTTCTGCATTCGGTGCAGGTGCTCTGCCCCTCAGCTATGGTCCTGCCCCCTTACCCTCTCGTCTTCAAACTGCAGCCTCTCCAGGTACTCCAGCATCTCCTGTGCCTCTTGGTCTCGCTGCTCGGACTTCATGGAACGCATCTCTTCGTTCTTCTGTATCTGCTCAAGGAGGTGACGCTTCCCCCTGAGAATCAGGTGAAGGAGGAATTTTCCTTTGTAGCAAATGGGTTCTGACGGCACAGAGAGGCCTAATGAATGCTATTCCTCTGTGCAGGGAACCAATTGCAGCCAAGGCTCCCAATCTGAGGTAGCTGTGGTATCACGTCAATCTGTTGACGTATTTCTCGTTGAAGCCAGATACGATTTCCCAGGCATGCAAGAAATTGGCCACAATTGAAGGAACCTTTGTTAATGTTCTTTCAATTGTTTCCTTATTTCGTTTCCTTATTGTGTAGGTCACGGATAGAAGCTGAGGGTGGCAATATTTTGAGTGGTAAGACCCTCTGACCTTGGATCTGACATTATCAACCTGCAATGGAACTGTTTCAAAGAAACCTTTGAAATCTGTCTCTGCGAGGATAAGAGAGACCTCACTAAATTTCTTCTTAGGTGGCATTTCAGGCCAGTGAGATTGTCCCACATCTCAATTGACTCTGATTCTAATTGTTTGATTGCAGGCTTAAAGGAACCTTCTTCCATATATGGTGACACTGCAGAGAACTTTCAGACCAGTGTCTTTAGAGAAGCAGGCCTCCTTTTTTCATTTACTTACTTAAGGTAAAGGGGCCCCTGACCATTAGGTCCAGTCGTGGCCGACATTGGGGTTGCGGTGCTCATCTTGCTTTACTGGCCGAGGGAGCCGGCGTACAGCTTCCGGGTCATGTGGCCAGCATGACTAAGCCGCTTCTGGCGAACCAGAGCAGCGCACGGAAACGCCGTTTACCTTCCCACCGGAGCGGTACCTATTTATCTACTTGCACTTTAACATGCTTTCGAACTGCTAGGTTGGCAGGAGCAGGGACTGAACAACAGGACCTCACCCCGTCGCGGGGATTTGAACCGCCGACCTTCTGATTGGCAAGTCCTAGGCTCTGTGGTTTAACCCACAGTGCCACCTGCATCCCGGGTACTTACTTAATAAGTAACTTACTTACTTATTATTTTTATTACAGATTTCTTGGTTTACAAAAGTATGTGGAATGTCTCTTTTTTCAAGTTACATTTTCTACAGATCAGTTTCATTTGTTAAGACATTAGTGTTACATTAGGAAGGAAAAAGGGGGAAAGAGTTGGAGGGGGGAATTGTGAGTTGGGGTGGGGGTCGGGTGGTGATGTTTCTATTTTACTTAATGTACGTGTGGGGTTTTGTGTCAGCGTCGCTTGTGCCTAAGGCCATGTAGCAACTTCACAGCAGAGTTGAGACCCAAACCAGGGACTTCCTGACTCACAGCTCAGTGGCCTCTTACACGGTTTGAGAGGGAGGCTCTGATTCTCCAGGGGTGTGCTCCTTTTAACTCATGCTGCTGCGCACATGCATATTGTACCTGCGGTGCAGGGAAGGCAACGCTGCAATGATGCTCCACCACTGAGCTACAATGAAACCCCTTGGCCAGAAGCCGCACAGAAGTCTGGGCTCTCACCTGTACTTCTCCTCCTTCCTCTTCCGTTCCAGCTCATCCTGCATCATGCCGACCTTCTGCCTCTCCGCCTCCATCATCTTGGCCAGCCGCATCTCCTCCTCGTTCATCTCCTTCTCAATCTGCCTCTTCTCCAGGATCTGGGCATCGCGGATGGCGTGGCATTTGGCCTCCAGGATGATCTGCAAAGAGCGGAAGGGAGCTGCTGCCGTGGGCCGAAATGCACATGCGGGGCTTCATCTGGAGCTGAGCTCCAGCACCTCTTTTTGCCCAGATCCCAGCAGTTCCACCTTGGAAGGTGCAGAAGCCAGCGGTTAAATAAATCCACTCTTGGAAGAGAACCTGAGCGCAACAGTATTTTCTCCAACCGCAATTATCAGCAACCAATATGCAGCTGCAGACAGGAGAGGCAGAATATAGCTGTTCTGGCTAGTAGCTATCGACAGCCTCCATGAATTTGCCCTGTCCTCCATCTACCATATTTTTCGCTCTATAAGATGCACTTTCCCCCCTCCAAAAACTAAGGGGAAATGTGTGTGTGTGTTATGGAGCGAATGCAGGCTCTGTGGCTTCAGCGAAAGCAATGCGAAGCCTCCGCAGCGCAGTGGGAGCGCTCCCCCTGCGCTCTGGAGGCTTCGTGTTGCTCTCGCTGAAGCCAGGAGAGCAAGACTCTCCTGGCTTCAGGGATAGCCGCCGACCCCTCTCGCTCTCCAGGCTTCAGGGATAGCAGCCTGAAGCCTCCGGAGCGCAGCGGGAGTTCCCGCTGTGCTCTGGAGGCTTCACGTTGCTTTTGCTGAAGCCTGGAGAGCAAGAGGGATTCGTGCGCACCGATCCCTCTTGCTCTCCTGGCTTCGCTTCGCTGGAGAGGTGCTGCACAGCTTTCCCTCTCTGCGCAGCGCCCCTTCAGCGAAGCGGGAGGATAAATGGAAGGGGCTCTGTTTCTCCTGCCGCTTCGCTGAAGGGGCGCTGTGCAGAGAGGGAGAGAATTTTTTCTTTCTTGTTCTCCCCCTCTAAAACTAGGTGCGTCCTATGGTCAGGTGCGTCCTATAGAGTGAAAAATACGGTAAGTTGAAGCCATCCAAGTCGGTGGCCATCACTTCCTGTGGGAAGTAGAACATAGTCCTCATGGCTGGTAGACACTGGCAGCCCTTTCCTCCAGGAAGGAGGGGCAGAGGGACCCCATATGCCTCTGCTTCACTCGCCTACATGGAATTCCTGTCCCCTGTGACAACAGGGAGAGATGTGAAATAGGAGGCTGCTTTTCTTTTGGGAATTATAGGGACAAAGCTACCTAAATTGTATAGAAATTTATTTATGTAAGCTACTACAGCAGCAGCAAGAATGCTACTTGCCCCCAAAATGGAAAGAAGAAGCAGAAGTCCCAGCAGAGGAAGAATGGATACAAAAACTTGTGGAATATGCAGAAATGGCAAAACTTACCGGAAGCATAAGAAATCAAGATAACAAACTTTTTATAAAAGAATGGAAATGGTTCATTGAATATTTACAGATAAATTGCAAATGGATAAAAACATTGGCAGGATTATTGTAACAACCTGCAGTTTGATAAGAGTATATTTTTAAAGTAGATAATGAGCAAACTGAATGAATTTGGATATGCAGAAGATACTGGAAAATAAATTTAAGGAACCGCAGAAAGAGGGGGAAGGAAGTCAAGCTTTGAAATGTTAAAATGATTGTAAATTAATGGAATGTATAAACCTGAAAAGTATAAATAAAAATTTAAAAATAAAATAAAATAAATACGAGGCTGCCCTAAGGGGAACCGCCACTTCTCGCTCCCTCACCTCGCCAAGAGATTTGATCTCATCTTCCTGCTCCATGCGCATGTTGGCGGCTCGCTGCAGCAGGTACTGGGCCCGCTCCTTGGCCTCCTCTTCCAGGTCGTTCAGCTTTTCATTCTTCTTCCGCAAGATCTCCTTTAGCTTCATGGATTTCTTCCGCTCATTCACGGCAACCTATGGAAAGGGAAGATGAGAGGGAGAAGCAGATGGGGTGCATCTTGCCACCCAGGGTTGGGCAGGCCACTCTGGGGCTGTAAATGGTTCTCTCTTTATTTACCGCATTTTTCGCTCTATAAGACGCACCAGACCACAAGACGCATCTAGTTTTTGGAGGAGGAAAACAAGAAAAAAAATATTCTGAATCTCAGAAGCCAGAACAGCAAGAGGGATTGCTGCGCAGTGAAAGCAGCAATCCCTCTTGCTGTTCTGGCTTCTGGGATAGCTGCACAGCCTGCATTCGCTCCATAAGACGCACACACATTTCCCCTTACTTTTTAGGAGGGAAAAAGTGAGTCTTATAGAGCAAAAAATACGGTACTTACTTAGGTTAACACAGGGGTGGGGTCCTGGGTGGGCCATGACTATATCTCCTCCCACCCACCAGTCATCTGGTATCATCATGGTTCCACAGGGAATGTGTTAGCAAGACAGCACCCGGTAGTACTGAACCCCCAGGCCCACCTGTCTATCATCTGACATCACCAGTGATGTCAGGTGATCGACAGATGGGCATGGTTTGAGAGAAAAAGCCTTGCAGGCCAAACTGGACCCCCTGGCAGGCCAAGACTGGACCACAGCCTGGAGGTTCCACCCGCATGGCTTAAAGATTTATATACTGCCTGACAATAAAATCTTTCCAGGGTGGCTTACAAAGTAATCGCAAACATAGTCATTTCTCATGTCTTTGTTTTATGCCACAAATAAAAAGAGGAATCAGCAACATTTTAGCTCTTCAATACCAGGCCAAGACTTTTTTTTTTGCTCTTCCGGGCTTTTGGTTTTTAAATAGTGATTTATTTATTATCCTATCCTGGTATCCATCCTTTAGTATCGTAGGGGAAGGATAAGTGTATTTCTTTGCTATGTTTTCAGTGGATGAAGACTTTTAGCGATGCTGTTTTTCTGAGAAGAAGAGGTGCCAGAACTCACCATGAACGCCTCCCTTGTTCTCTTATAATGGCAATGGTGCCCACCTGAGATTTCCGGCTGGGAAAAGGCTTTTCCTATGATGTAGGCCTCCTCTGTTTATATGCATGACATTTTTGTATTTTAAACCTTTGTAAGGTGCTCTGAGTCCCTTTTGTAAAAAGCGGTGAAAGTTTTTAATTAACAAATAAGTCAAATCTACTTTGGCTGATATCTCAGTTACATCTGCAGTATCTACCTACATTCCACTTAAGAGTGGATCCATTGATATTGATGGACCCAAGGTACTCCTGCTGATGAATTTCAGTGGGCCTACTCTGCGTAGGACCAAGAGTGGAGACAACCAAGAGACCTGGCCAGTGACCCCCGTGCACCAGTGACTTCCTAATTAGACTACTGCAGCAAACCTTTGTGGGACTGACCCCCAGAGACTGTTCAGAACCTTGAGGGAGCATAGAATGTCGCTGCTGATTTGTTACAGAAGTCTGTCGGATGATGATCTGACAGACTTTGTTAAGGGGCAGATGTGTTTGCTCTGGGGGCAGAAGCAGTGTGGTAAAATGGTTCAGAGCACTGAGGAGATTCAAGTTCAAATCTTAACTCAGCCGGGAAGCTTTACTGAGTGCACTTGGATCAGTCGCTCTCTAACACACACAGCAACCTGCTTCACAGGACTTTCAATTTACTTAACAAAATTTATATACCACTTGATTGCGACGAAACCTCTAAGCAGTGTCGTGAGAATAAAACGGGGAGCTTAACGTGTACTGCCCTGAGCTCCCTAGAAGAAAGGCAGGAGATAAATGCAATTAAAAAACAACAACATTCTCTGCCATGACAAGGACAGCTTTACGTACGATGGTGGCTTCTCGCTCTGCTTTGAGGGCTGCTTTCTGAGCTTCACGCTCCTCCTTGGTGAAGACACGGGACGAGTCTTTGATGCGCTGGAAGTCCTCGGGGCTTATGATCAGGGACTCTCCAGAAGGGTCGAGTTTGGGCACACTGGGCATGTGAGAGAGAGAAAGGAAGAAGAAGATGGTGATTTCATCTCTCCATTTGGAAGGGTGATCGCAAGCTGGACTAGGCCAGGATTCCACAGAACTGCCAAATCTGATACCGGGAGAATAATTTCATCTTTCATTTTAAAAAAGGAAAAGGGGGAGGAGCTCTTAGCCTCACCCCAAGCACCCTTTGGTTAATAATAATAATAATAATAATAATAATAATAGTTTGGGTACCCCACCCATCTGACTGGGCTGCCCCAGCCACTCCAGGCAGATTCCAACTGAATATACAAAGACACCATAGAACATCAGATGTTAAAAACTTCCTGATACAGGAGTGCCTTCAGATGTCTACTGAAGGTCATATAATTCTTTATTTCCTTGACATCTGATGGGTGTTCCACAGGAGGGTGCCACCACCGAGAAGACCCTCTGCCTGGTTCCCTGTAACTTCACTTCTCGCAGTGAGGGAACCGCCAGAAGGCCCTCAGAGCTGGACCTCAGTGTCCAGGCTGAACGATGGGGGTGGAGACACTCCTTCAGGTACGCCTGAAAACCTTCCCAGACATTTCCTAACAAAGAACCTCAGGTCCTGGGGGACAGAGAAGAGCCACCCTCTGTGACACATCCCTCACGGGCCCTGCTTTGTGCCGCTGAAGGCTGGTCCGTTAGGGCCAACAGGACACTGCCCCACCAACCTGTCTGCTCTCAACCTGTCTGACTTACAAACAATCAGGGAGCGGCTCTGCCTATTATTAACTCTGGCTCCATCCACTGCTGATCTCCCTGCCTTCCACCATACCAGTGTATTTGTTTATTCAACGTATATCCCACCCTTCCTCCCAAACGATCCCAGGGCAGCAAAGAACAGGTGATAAAACGTCTTTGAAATAACATTTTAAAAGTGATTCCAATACAGATGTAGGCTGGGGAAGAACTCAACATCAAAGGCTTGTTGGAAGAGGAAGGTCTTCAGCAGGTACTGGAAAGACAGTAGAGATGGCACCCCATGTGATATTTAGTGAATTCCTGGCAACCGCCGTTCAGAGGGGCAGTGCCTTCAACTGTGGAGGGGAGTGCCTAGCCCTTGTTCTAGAGAGCTTACATGAGGTCCCGGATGAGGTCCCGAGTGATGAGACGGATCGTCTCCGGCTTGTGGCCCCAGCCCAGGGACTTCCTGGCCGAGTCCACATCTCGAAGCACCACGATGGGGCTGCCAGTGCGGGACAGGTTAACATTCTGCAAGAAGGAAGGTGGCATCAGAAATGTTCACGGATGCTTGGCAGGAATGCTACCAGCCTCCCTCTCCCTCCCGCTTTGGCTTCCCTCTTCTGGCGGTGCTTGGACAATCGTAATCCATCTTAAAAGCCGAGATATGGATGAACCTTTTAGCAGCCACTGAGTTCCTTCCATCATGAGCAAACCAACCATCAAGTCTTCCTTTATTTGATTTTATTTAAAATATTTATAAGCCACCTTCAGGGTAACCACAAGGCAGATTCCACACATGAAAATACAGAAAACCCCAATAGCTAGATCATATTTCTCAAAATCCTCCAGTAAATATTGGATACAGGTACATTCAAGTGTTTGTCCTCCTCAGAGTAGACTTGCTGGAGTTAAGGGACATATCTAACTTAGGTTCATTAATTTCAGTGGGTCTACTTTGAGTAGGATTCAGTTGAATACAACTCACTGTTCGTTCCACTCAGAGTAGACCTACTGAAATTGATTGTACTAAGCTAGTGTTGCCCATTAATTTCAATGCTACTCTGAGTAGTGCCAACACTGGATATGAACCATTGTGATGTTTTGTATGCTACTGTTCCCATTTTGTGTTGGCACTGCTCCCTTTTCTATGGCTGATTGCTCCTGTTTTATACAAGGTTGTTTTGCTTAAGCTGCTAGGGGAGATTTCAGAGCAAGAAGAGCATCATTCGGGATTTAAAAAAGGAGAGATTTTGCAGAGAAAAAAGAAGCTGCCTTTTAACAAGTCAGACCATTGGTCTATCTAGCTCAGAATTATCTACATCAGCAGTAAACAACACGGTGCCTTCTGTACGTCTTGGCCTACAATTCCCACCAGCACCAGCCAACATGGCCAGTAGCGAGGGATGATGGAAGCTGTTGTCCAGCAACCTCTGAGGAGCAACACATTGGCTATCCCTGGTGAAATATACTCAGAGTCAAGAGTGGATTTCATGCTCTTTATTCAGCTCATAGTGGTGAGGAGGAATGGAAGTCCCCTCAAAGTATCTGCTTTATATACATTATTTACACAATGGGCTGCACGTGATTGGCTAATTCCGGAATTCTCCTGTAGGCCAATCAGGTTGTGGATTCACTTCTATCTGGAGCTGGATTGGGTGGCTCCTGCAGACCAATCATACTGCTGCATTGTCCTAGGACCAATCAGACTGCTGCATTCTGAATCCTGTTGTTCTAGGACCAATCAGACTGCTGCATTTTGGATCCTATTCAACTCAGAACATAACATCTGGTCTACACAGATTGGAAGCAGCTCCAGAGATTCTGGAGATTAAACCTAGAGCATCTGCAGGCTAAACAGGTGCTTTATTGTTTTCCTCTAAAAATAAAGTGTTATTTCAGTCCTTCTGGTTCTAAACACAGGTCTGATTTAAAGAGGAACATCGGAATCTGCCTTCTACTGAGTCAGACCATTAGTTCAGTATAGTGGCAGCAGCTTTCCAGTGTTTCAGGCTGGGGTATTCCCAGCCCTAAATGGAGGTGTCAGGGATTGAAGGTCTGGGACCTTCTGCATGCCAGGCTGATGCTCTTAGCCCAAAGCAGCCACTGCTCCCCTCCATCCTCACCTTGGCAAGCCCAAAGAGGCTCTCATCCACTTCTGAGCTGGCAGCCTTGGTTCTGTAGCGGGCGTGGGAGCGCGAGCGGGACCGGCCCGAGGAGCTGGTGGAGGTAGCACCCAAGGAGCATACACTGCCCGGCTGCAGGAAGGAAAGAGAGGCAGAATTTTGGAGTTATACATGATGGGGAGCTGAAAGGAAAGATGCAAGGGATTTGTGTGTGATGATTTGCAGGCCTTTCCCATTCAGAAAGATCATTCTTAAGAAACAAGCTGCGAGATCCTAAACTGAATTTAGCTGGCCAAAAACGTAGGGCTGCCTCTGTAGATGGTTCGGAAACTTCAGTTGGTGCAGAATTCGGCAGCCGGGTTGCTCACGGGGGTAAGATGGTTTAAGCATATTACACTGAGCCTGGCCTGACTGCATTGGCGGCCAGTTAGTTTCTGAGCCCAATTCAAAGTGCTGGTTTTGACTTTAAACAGCTCAGGACCACAATGCCTCAAGGATCGACTCTCCCCATATGAATCGACCCAGGCCCACAGACATAATCTGAGGCCCTTTTTCATGCGCCTCTTTCACCAGAGATCCAGAGGGTGGCAACACAAGAACGGGCCTTTTCTGTGGTGGCTCCCCATTTGTGGAACGCTCTCCCCAGGGAGGCTCGCCTGGCACCTTCATAACATACTTTTAGGCACTCTTCAACCAGGCCTCTGGCTGATGGACATCCGATGCCCTTTTAAATGTCTTGTGGGAGGGGGGATTTTTTGTTTTGTTTTTATTATGTACTTGATTTTGTCTTCTCATTTTGTATTTTTTATGTTGTGAACTGCTCTCTGATCTTTGGATGAAGGGCAGTATAGTACTACTACTACTAATAATAATGATAATAATTGCCTCCAACTGTGGAGGGCAGAGCCACAGCCCGTCTGGCTAGTCACTTATATTTTTAAATTTATTTATTTATCACTTGATGATGATGTTTAATGTATTGCCTTCCACCTATACGTCTCAAGGTGATGTACACAACACAATCAAACCAGTTAAAAACAGCATGGAAAATAAAAGCAAAGGCCTTGGAAAAACAGTAAAAGGATATACCCTCTGCAGACACCTAAACAAATATATTCGTTTGCTTAAACGTGAGATATATTTCTATATTCATAAAAACCATTTCAACTGGGGGTTTTTATTTTTTTAAAAACCCAGTTAAACTTGCTTAATCAGCCAGGACGCTGCTGTTGCATTATTTGCTGTGTGACTAAACTAGTTTTAATAAAAGTATTTTAAAACCCCTCCAACGAGGTCTCTCTAGAGCAACAGGCATCTCCCCCCTCCGCCTCCCGACGAAGTGGCCACGCTGACATAACCTTAGGGGGCTTCAGGGCTTCCGTGTGCCCCGGCACCCTTTTTGGGTCAGATTCAGCCCCGCGCTCACCATCTCGCCCTCCGCTGCCGGCTCCGGGAAGCTCCGCCTCCTGTTTACCCGTCGCCATGGAAACAGCCGAACCCTCCTCCTTCCCCTGCCCGCCACGTCTCACCTTGGCAACGGGAACGTAGTCAAGGGAGGAGCGCGGGGTTCCCCGGGGCGGGGAAGTGACGTCACGAGCGCCTGCTCAGAAGTCAGCCCCGGCTGAGCGGGGGGGAGGCTTTTTCCAGGGGTCGCTTTACTTAATGCAATGTACCGACTTAACGAGGAACGCAGGAAAACGACTTACCCCTGAATCAGACCCATTATTTACCTCAGCATTGTCCGCACTGACTGGCAGCTGCTCTGCAGGGTCACATTCCCTGTCCTGCCCGGAATTGCCCCATCTGGGATTTGAACCCGGGACCTTCTGCCTGCAAAGCGGACCCTGGCCCTGTGGCGCTGCGGAGGTGGCGTTTGCGGACGCTGCCTGCCGGTGGTGTGCTTGAGCTTCGGCTTTCCCTAAAGACGAGTCAGCAGAAATATGCTGTGGAGTAGGAAGGGAATTGCGGGACTCCAATTCCCATCATACCCAAGCAAGCAAGGCCATTTGCCAGATGTGATGGGAGTCCAGTGACGCCTAGAGGCCAGTTAGAGATGCCCATGCCATCGGAGCAAAGCATATGGAGTGGCCCTTGTGTACTGTGCAGAGCCTTTGGGATGGCATGATATCTATAACTATACTCAGTGCTTTTCTTTTCTAAAAAAATGTTTTGGGGTACAGTGTTACATACGCTTCAGGTTACAGACTCCGCTAACCCAGAAATAGTGCTTCAGGTTAAGAACTTTGCTTCAGGAGGAGAACAGAAATCGTGCTCCGGCAGTGTGGCGGCAGCGGGAGGCCCCATTAGCTAAAGTGGTGCTTCAGGCTAAGAACAGTTTCAGGTTAAGTACGGACCTCCGGAACAAATTAAGTACTTAACCTGAGGTACCACTGTACTCTCATTTTCCTACTCACATTGAAATACTGCCCCTCAATGAGGCCAAACTTAGATTCACAAAATGTTTAGGGGTATGCGTACCCCTGTGTCCCCCCTGGGGAAAAAACACCGTCTATACCTATACAGGAAATAAATAGGAAATAATAAAAATACTCTGACAATGCCGAATGTTTAGTTATTGTGCTAATAATACCGGGTACAGTGGTACCTCTAGATATGAACGGAATCCGTTCCGGAGCCCCGCTCACATCTAGAAGCAAACGTAACTAGCGACGGCACGTCTGCACACATGCGCGTCGCTTTTCGCCGCTTCTGCGCATGCGAGTGACGTCATTTTGAGCGTCTGTGCATGCGCACGCGGCGAAACCGCTCCGTTACTTTTCGGGCTGCCGTGGAGCGCAACTCGAACGCACTCAACTCGAAGTATATTCAACCCGAGGTATGACTGTATAGGGCTGTATAGGGTTTATAAATTCAATAAATAACAGAAAATGAAAATAGCAATCCATTAATAATACAGTCTGTTTGAGGGGTAAATTACGTTTCCCATTATTCTTGCTGGGGTGGTAGTGCTTTAAATGCATGATGTGTATGCAGCCTACGCTAAGTCTCTGTGTTTTCAGTGTGTGTGTGTGGCCTCATTCACATACGGAATGTGGCCCCTGACAGCTTCCCACCAGGGTAAGTGGCCCCCAGCCACCAAAAGGTTTCCCTACCTTACAGGATAACTAGTGAATACATGTGACGGGCTTTCGAACTCTCAAAAACGCTATACCAATTATTATTCTCCTGCTCCCATATGCAGTGGCCACAAGGTGGCACATGGACACCACAACCCGACACAAATATCTTAGCAGTAGAGTACTTTTTAATGAAGAGCACATACCTAAAGCTTTTGGGGAGGGGAAAGGGTGTGTGTATGAAGGATATTATTCTTCCTCTACCTGTCAAAATATTCTAACCCCCCGCTCACCATGTAGACCAGGGCTGTCAAATCACTGAGGTGGCCTTACTAAGTTTTCCTCAGCGTATCCAGTGCCAGGAAGTTGGAATGCATGAAACTGCTGGATGTGTGCTTACTGAGCAGCTGCTGGGGGCTGAAAAGCAATGGTAATATCCTCCATCCCCATTGCAATAGTCTGGACCCTTTCCTGACATGTTCAGCAGTTTCTGAAGGCAGTGTGGGTAGCTGGATACAGGAGGCACCAAAGCAGTGTGGCCAAACTTTGGAGAGTGCTCTTAACTTGTATTTTTATCATCACCATCATCATACCAGCAGCCTTGTACCCACAGTTAATAAGGAAGTCTAAGAAATGAAAAAAATCATTGCTGCGGTCAAATTCGGTGCCGTTTTGACAAGTTCTTGATTCTTGATTCATCATGGCGCCTCATTGTATCCAAGCAGAGACATAAAGCCTGCTGGTTTGATCTCAGGAACCACCCTGCAAAATTTGGTAGCAACATCTTCAGAAAGGTCCAAATGCACTGCAAGCAAACAGCTTTCTAAAACACGTGGAAGATTATTAATTTTTTTACCAGCAATATATATATATAAAGACAAGTACAGTGGTACCTCGTGTTAAGAACTTAATTCGTTCTGGAGGTCCGTTCTTAACCTGAGATACCACTTTAGCTAATGGGGCCTCCTGCTGCTGCTGCTGCACCACCGGAGCATTATTTCTGTTCTCATCCTGAAGCAAAGTTCTTAACCCGAGGTACTATTTCTGGGTTAGTGGAGTCTGTAACCTGAAGCGTCTGTAACCCGAGGTACCACTGTAACATGTAAATGGAAACCAAACAGAACAACATAGAGGTCTACATGATGCCTTCTGTATAGATAACAATTTTGCAATAAAAGAAGGTTGAAAAAATTCTGTCTCGGTGCTCAGTGGCCCCTTGATTCCAACCATAACTTTTGAGTTATGGTTTGAGGTCTTCTTTCTTGCCCATGCAAGTTTATCAATTGAATAAATGGACACAAGATAATAGGAAATATGTCTGTGCAACTGGGAGCCTTCTTAACAAAATTTGTACGCTTTTCGGACAGCTCTATGTAGTTCACATGCAATTATATCAAGTAGGGGGTGAGATGGAAGTAGTCTTGCAGATCTGTGACTTCCTGTATAGGAAATTCATGTTTGGAACAGCACCCATTCTGTAGCTGAGGGGCAGCCAACCTTTGTGGGCCGGTGAACACATTTGGAAATTTGAAAAAGTGATGAGGGCGCCAGTCACAAAATGGCAGCCATAACGTCTTGACAAGCACAGAGGCATGGCATAGCCCAATATGGCCATGACGTTTGAGAGAGCAGAGAAAGAGAAAGGGGCACAAAATGGTGCTGGCCTGCCCCCTCACACCAAGGGAAGAAAAGGTGCCTACATCAGTCTTTGCTGTGTTTGCTGACAGAGAGAAGTTCTTTGTGTGTCTCCTCTGTTCAGAACTGGAGGGAGGGAGGGAGGGTGGGGTCCATTCCTGACACCCAGTGAAATGTGGGCATGTTTAAAGGGTTTCGCTTCACGGTGAAGTTGAGCCAACGTGAACAGGGACATAGCAGGAGGAGCAAACAGCCGCTTCTGCATCGTCAGTTTTTGAGGGGATATTTACAGGGACCTTTCGCGGGCGCCATAGGAGAGCCCCCTGGCGCCCATGGGTGGCAAGCTGGCAAACCCTGGCAACTAAAATGGAATCAGAACAATGAGAACAGCAACACCAAATTGGTTATAAAACTGCAGGGTAGGCCTGAAAGCTGAAAAAGAAAGCAGGGCTATTTGTTTCTTAAGCGACTTCAATTGAGAGTTCAATGAGGTCACAGAAAGTTTATTTTTTACATCATTTTTTATAAAATGTACGGCCCAGCTTGTTCTTGCCACAGTCCTGACCATTGCTATGTGCGTGGCACAGTGCCCAGCTAGCCAGGAGAGGGAGAGGCTGCCGGCTGAATCCGCCACAAAATCTAGACAGAGGTAGCCCCCCTGGCCTGCTACTACTGAACACTGTTTTTGGGAGCCCTGCCAAACAAATCAGTTATGCCACCACCAGCTTCCCTGCTTCCCGCCCTCCTAGGGTCAGGCCTCTCCATTGTGAAGCTGCAAGGAACGGTTAGGAAAGAAATCAGATGTGAGAGGGGGTGCAACTCTCTAGCTACGGCAACAACACAATTGAGCGCAAAGGATAGTTGAGAGATTATGAAACCATAGCAGCCTTGTCTGGCACAGCTGCCTGCCACATTCCTCTTGGGTTCTCACAGCAGTGGCTCACAGCTGCCGTTCCCCAGGAGCTGAAGGAAGCATCCGCGGCAAATTCCTCCCCACCAAGGAAACCATTTCCCCTTCGGGGGTGGGGGATGAGGGAGAATAAAAGTCATGCAGAGGTTGGGGTTTTTGAGGTGTGTGTGGATTAACGTGAACCCTAGAATCTTTGCCCAGAGTTCCAAGGCTCAGTCTGTGGGAGCATGTACCCACAAGACAAAAGAGCATCATAGAACATGTGCAGAGTGCTTTTCGTCATCAAGTTGTTGCAGCCTTCTTTTGCAGTGCTAGCCTTAAGAGGGACACGTCATTGCATCAGAGGGAGTTATCTAGAAAGGTGAAGTGCCAGTTCTTTCTCGTTGGCACAGCCTTCACTAAGCGTTTCAGACTACAACTCCCATCATGCTGGTTGGAGCTGATGGGAGTTTTAGTCCTGAACATCTGGAGGGCACCAGGTTTTAGGCTGCTTTAGCAACTGGGTGGGTTAAATTTGCTCTTTCATAGCCGCAATGGAGATCCCAAATAAAAAGTGGAAAAACAACTTTCATGTCAGCTTGTCACAGTTTTGCCAGATATTTTACAGCTGCTTGGGACAGCAAGCCAAGTCCAGCTCAATAGCCTGCTTCGAGGGTGGCTGAAAGCTCAGCTTCTTGTTTTCTTTCTGGGCTGAAGGGCGTTCTTTTGGCACTGGAACAGAAAAGGGAAAGTTGCCAGGTCAACAGGGATAAGAAGGAGCTGCCAGTCAAATGCTCCAAACGCAGGTGATCAGCTGTGTGAACAAGCACACCCTTTCAACTGGTCAGCAGGCCTAAAACAAAGAGGCAGGTTTTGCAAGAAGAAACCAAATCACAAAGTACTAGTGGACAGACTCTCCTTTCAAAGGTAACTGCTCCGTATCTTGCCACTGGAACCTCCTGCCACTTGAGGAAGTATGAGATTGCAGTACAGTTAAGAGATACAAACCAGAGGTAGGGAACCTCAGGCCTGGGGGCCGAATATGGACCTCCAGTCCTCTCTTTCTGGCCCTCAAAACTCTCCCCAGACCGCCCCTTCAGCCCTGTTTTGCACCTTAATTTTTTTGCCTGTCCTGAATGTGGACTTGAATGCTGATTAATGTCTTGTGCTTGCTAAGTTGGATGGTAGAGAGGGGTGCTTGAGTGTCTGTAGAAATTTGTCTATGCACAAGCATAAAATCTGCATCCATTGCTCTGCCCATTTTAGCCTCTGGCTCTGCCTACCATGTGGCTCCCAGAAGATCACTCAGAAAGGAATGTGGCCCTTGGGTTTCCCCACCCCCCAAAAAAGCAAAGCTTTTCATAACCTCTCTTCTAAAAACAAAACAAAACTTGGGTTAAATCATGACTTCTAACAAATCCAGACTGGGCTCTAGCCTAGTGAGAAACTGGGCGGAAAATGCTCTGAGGTTCTGACTGGGCAATTTCTAAAAAGTCCACCTCATATTCCCCCTTCCTTCCACTTGCCCTGAGAATACCACAAGCAAGTGAAATTTAGCCAGCATGTCCAATTTCTCACACTTTTCCAGCAATGCAGCATTTTCTCAGCAAAGCAGCCCCTCTTTCTCATCCCGCCCCCCATCATATCCCCCCTCCCCGCTGCCTTGTGATTTTCCACTATACAAATGGCGGGAAGTGACTCATTTTGCACTGACTCCCCTGCCAATCTCCTTTTCTGGTGGTGTGTGACAGCCATCTTGGCCTCGAGCCACTGGGCTGCTGGATTCTCCATTAAGCTAACGAGCGTTTCCTTTGATGTACTTGACAGAGAGAGGGGAAAACACAGAGGCTAAAGCAACATCCTCCAGCAGGATGACAACACTGCCCCCCCCCCCGAATGCCAGGAGTGAGGGGTGAGGTGAGGAAAAAGCTCACCGCACATGCTCAGTGGTACTCTCACCCTTCCTTTGGCTCAACAACAAAGCATCTGCTTTGCATGCAGACGGTTCCGGGCTCAATCCCTGGCAACGTCCCTAGATAGGGCTGGAGAAAAGCCTCAGCCTGGAAAGCCTCTGCCAGCCTGTGTAGACAGTACTGAATTAGATGGTCCCTGGCTGAATGGAGGAAGTGGTTTATATCAACCCCCTGGTATCAGTGGGACTGAGAGCGGGCGGCTGAATAAAAACCTGGGGGTCGAAAAGGGCCTAGGGGTGGAAAATAGATTTATGGGATATAGTGTGAAATTTTTAATTTGAAACTATGATCCTCAAAAATAAAGAGCATGGACATGTACAGAGTGCACCTCCCTTGCCATTGCAGAACCTCTGCATGATATCATAATTATTTTCACTTGTAAGCCTTCTTTATTTTTTATTTTATGCTTCCTAATAATGGATCAAATGTTGATGACATATTCATATTTCATTTGCATTCCTAAGAATTGGAACTGGGGCCAACAGGTTTGAGCAAACCTGGTGTACAAGCAGTACAGAGCAAGACGGAAGAACGGCAGTCGGACTCAGTGTAAGGCAGCTTACACCCCAAAAGCAGATTGTGAGATTCCAGGAAGTTCCAGGCACTTACCCAGGGTCTGTATTTACCTTTGGGCATTGAGGCACAGCGGAGTCTGTGGTGTCTTTATGACATATGATTTCTTTAGACTTAGTACAACCTCAGTCTACGATGGATGGTCTCCCAGCATTACGCTCCAAGAGGGTTCCATTTATCCTCTACCTGCAGCCTCTAATTCCAACTGTCAGCCCACATTGTGCTCAGACGCCCCTCAGCAGCTTGCCGCATTTAACAAACTGCAACCTCTTTTCCCCCAGGTCATATCATCCCCATTGCAATCCTAAACTCAAAACTGATTTTTCTCTGCTAACTATCTCTCAGTAGAAGGAGGGACGCCACCTGCTTGCTGTTTGGTACAGCCTATACCTTCTTAATGGCTTTTCTCCTCTTTTAATGGTCTTCTCCCAGATGATTTCCTGATCACAGAAGAACTGGTCTGGCCTGTATTTCAGCACTTTGCTAAATCCAGCGTCTGGCAGCCCCATTCCAATACTCCAAGCACTGATTTAACTTCAAAACTCATCAGACCCAGGAATTCAGGAGAGTCAAAGCACCCACAAACTCTTAACAACTGCCTTCGGTGCCAAGCGCTGCAGGAATGAGAAGCTGGGCAGAGACTACAGCTCAGTGAGAGACCATTTGCCATGCTGGCTGGGGCTGATAGGAGGCAGAAGAAATCCAGCAACATCTAGAGCAGGGTTTCCCAAACCAGCTGTTGTTTTTTTTGGACTACAATTCCCATCATCCCTGACCACTTGTCCTGCTAGCCAGGGATGATGGGAGTTGTAGTCCTAAAACAGCTGGAGACCCGAGTTTGGGAAACCCTGATCTAGAGGCCCAGATGTTCTCTAACCATGAGCTAGAAGTATCAGATTATGCGAAAGGTTTTTCTTCACCTACCCAACACCTTGGGGCAGCGGAAGAGGAGTATGGGTACAGCACTCCCCCGCCCCAGGGCAGGAGCAATGACGTCATGTGCCTGGGCAGCAGAAGAAATGACAGACCTCGCCTTTGCATGCGGATGAGGCAATAACAAGGCTTTCAAGTTGGCTTGTAAAATTTACATTCATTTTCATTTGCCCACTTTTGCCTCTGGCTCTGCCTACCACTGGAATGTGGCCCAGAAGGAAATACGGCCCTCAGTGTTAATTTCCAGGACCCACCCTATTCCTGTGACTGCAACTTTATTTTATCTGGTTTTAATACTTGAATTGCTATAACCTGCCCTGGGACCTGCTGGTGAAGAAAGGGTAATAAACGGAATTATAATAATTTATCCTAATATGCACATACAGCAAGCCCGCAACTTACTGTGCATTTAACTTGTGCACATTCAGCTTCACATGCTTGGCATATATATACCTTAAATGTTTTGACTTATACGCAGTTTTGGCTTTAGGATCAATCCCTGGAATGTAACTCCCACGTACGTTTCAGGCTTAATGTATGCAATTTTGCCCTACTGAATGTATTGTGCCCATTGTTTTCATTGATCTTTGTATTTATATGCACAACTTAACACAGCAGGTACATTTTTGTACACAGTACTTGGGAGAACTGCATTGCAAAATTCAGAAAAGTGCAAATTTTGAAGCATAGCTGTGCTTTGGTTCGCTTATTGTTTTGGAACGTGTGAATTAATTAAGTTTGTTGTTATTATTATTGCTTCTTAATGGCATTTAGCTAAAGGGACCCCTGACAGTTAAGTCCAGTCGCGAACAACTCTGGGGTTGTGACACTCATCTTGCTTTACTGGCCGAGGGAGCCAACGTTTGTCTGCAGACAGTTTTTCGGGTCAGGTGGCCAGCATGACTAAGCCGCTTCCGGCGAACCAGAGCAGCGCACGGAAACGCCGTTTACCTTCCCGCCGGAGCGGTACCTATTTCTCTACTTGCACTTTGGCGTGCTTTCGAACTGCTAGGTTGGCAGGAGCAGGGACCAAGCAATGGGAGCTCAACCCGTTGCGGGGATTCGAACCGCTGACCTTCTGATCGGCAAGTCCTAGGCTCTGTTGGTTTAACCCACAGTGCCACCCACGTCCCTAATGGCATAATATCCCACCTTTTTATCTGAGGAGCTTAAGGTGGCATACATAGTTCTTCCCCTCCTCAAACAACCCTGAGAGTTAGGTTAGGCTGAGAGGGCACTGGCCCCAGGTCACCCCATGAGTTTCATGGCCCAGTGGGGATTTGAACCGATGTCTCCTGGGTCCTCGTCTGACACACTAACCACCACACCACAGTGGCTCTTTAAATGCAGACAGAGTTGAATTTCTCCTCCACCTCCAGTCCCTAAGTCTAAAAATTACCTGACTGTGCCATTGGTTCAACGGCTGAAACTTGGGCTGAGGACTAGGGCCCAGGATGCAACAGTCTCTTTGGAATGCATGGAAGACGACAGAAATAAGGGTGTACGCCCCACATTTAAACATAGGGAGCCTGGGTCTCGCTGCAAGTACAGAGGCCCAGCCCAGCTGACACACACACGTATACACAGACTAAGAGCAAATACCGACACACCCTTTGGGGGCAGACACACACACACACGACAACGTGGAAGTAGCACAAGTGTCAGGCGGGCGTAAGCATAATGCTCCACTTGGAATTGCTAGGAGCTGCTTCCACCCCCCACAAAACAGTTCTTTTTCTCCCCTTCAGGACTGGCCCTAAACAATTTGGCAAAGGACAAGGTGGTGCCCCGCCCATTCCATGTAGAGAAGGCATAAAGGTAAAGGTACCCCTGACCATTAGGTCCAGTCGTGACAGACTCTGGGGTTGTGGCGCTCATCTCACTTTATTGGCCGAGGGAACCTGTGTACAGCTTCCAGGCCACGTGGCCAGCATGACTAAGCCGCTTCTGGCAAACCAGAGCAGCGCACGGAAACGCCGTTTACCTTCCCGCTGGAGCGGTACCTATTTATCTACTTGCACTTTGACGTGCTTTTGAACTGCTAGGTTGGCAGGAGCAGGGACCGAGCAACGGGAGCTCACTGTCACGGGGATTCGAACCGCTGACCTTCTGATCAGCAAGTCCTAGGCTCTGGTTTAACCCACAGCACCACCCGCGTCCCAGAGAAGGCATAGTGGCAGCCAAATTTTTGGCCCGATCTGCACCTTGCATTTAAAGCATTATTGCGTCACTTTGTCATGGCTTCTCCGCAAAGAAGCCTGGGAACTGTGGTTTGTAAAGGTGCCGAGTGATGTTAGGAGACCCCCTATTCTCCGCACCAAGCTACAATTCCCAGAATTCCCTGGGAAGAGAGACTGACTGCTAAAATTGCAGTTTGCATCCAAGCAAGTTATACTCAAAAGTAGACTTACATTGCGTGAACTCCCACAAAAAGGGCATTTTCAACCTGATCCCCAGGGACCAGGGGTGCCAACTTGAATATAATATGGGGGATGGGGGACAGGTAAGCCCCACCCTTCCCCCCATACCATTTGAATAGCAATGCCCATCGGCTTTGGGGGCCCCCTGCCACCATCAAATATTTTATTGGACAGGTGGCAAATAGACCTCAGTTTAGGAGTTGGCTCCTGTGTCTGGGACAAAAGCTGCTGACTTGTTACCGGAACTTAATGTTACCTGCATTTAACGAGGGCTGAGCATGCTCCGTGGAGGCAACAAAATGCTGACTGGCTTTTGGGTGGGGAGAATGGAAAATTAGGAAGGAGTCGGCGTGGGCTGTTATGGAGAAACGCATGGCTGACTCAGACAGTAAACAGGAAGGCTACACCTCGCAACGGTGCGGCAGGTCCCGCTTCTAACTTTAGCGAGGCACCCTAGGCGTCGCTTTCTCAACGATAAGGCTAATAAGTGGCAGATAAGCTTCCTTGGGAAGAAACAGGATTCCCACGTAATGTAGGAAACCTCTGTGCGCCCTTGCGCTGTACACTCCCTGGCAAAACGGTCCCAGTTTGGGCTTCACGAGAACCAGAGGTGTGCACCTCAGAACATTACCCAGAACCCTCTTTGTGGGGCAGGCAAGTTTCCATGATAAAGACACACTTGGGTGGAAAAGGTTTGCCCTGTGGACAAAAAGTTTGGCATGAAACAAGCTGCGATTTCTCCTTGGACTTTTGGCAGAGAGGAGAGCCCGCTTGACAACAAAAGATCTCTGTTGCCAAGGAAACAGCGGCCGGAGTTATGCTAACAGAAATTAACCTCTGGTTCCTGGTTGAGGAGGACATTTTCTTGGAACAGCCCAGAAGCTGGAATCCTGCCCTGGCTGCTGCTTGGGTCCACTCGGGCAGAATTTCTCAAGATCCGCTGGGGGTGGGCAGGAGTGGGGAGGTGCAGACTATGAATACTTCTTTTCTGCACAGCCTAGTTTAAAAATCCAGGGCACTGTCCAACCTGGCACCACAGCCCCTCCCAAAACACATCATGTCTTTGAACCTGAGGATCTCCCTTGCATTGCTTTTCATGTTCTGCTCCCGTTTTATAACCAGGTGGGGAACAGGACAAAAGGCCCTAGAGATGGACTAAAGCAGCTGTGGGGAGCCTGTGGCCCCACAAGCCTAATCAGTCCTGTCAGGCATCCCCATTTTGACCCCTGAGACTGCTTTGGTCAAGCAGCCACCTGCTCACCTGTGTACAAGATCTTAGGTGTGGGGCAGATGGAGACACGGCTGGGCTACAAATGGGTTTTCAGGCACTGCCAAGCGGCCCCTCAGCAGAACCTGGAAATGGATAGCTGCAAAGGTCCATGTGCGGCTCTTTTGCAAGACCTAGCACATCACGGGATCATCGGGGCTTGCAGAGAAGCATGTGTCATGCTTTGAAGCCCAGGCCAGCAGCTGTCGGGCTGCAGTACAGGTAGAGAGGCTTTTTGACAGCCGGGTCTTCCTGATCCAGTTGTACTTGCTAAAAAGCTCTACCCCCTCAAGAAACAAAACAAAACGCCCCGCCCTTTCCACCCATCCCAACCCAGATAAGAAATACGCAGGGGTTATAAACAAAGGACTGAGCAATGTTTATTCCTTATCAGTGATCTTGAGGCAGAGTACATTCCACAGTTAAGAATGCCACACAGTTTTAAGAGTTCAGACTCAGCCCTGTGCCTTTTTGCCCTGGAGAAGAGGCAAATTTGGAATGGCAAGACAGCTCTGACCAGGCCCCCCCACCTGAAGTAAAAAAAGAAAGAAAGCCTGGCAGGCAAGCAGGAGCACCCAAATGGGTAGGAATTAGCAGCAGAGAATGAGGTTTTCCACTGCAAGACAAATCAGAGGATTTCCAGGGTGGGGAGAGACTGGCTGAAAAGTTAAAAATCCCCCCTTTGCCCCCTTAAAAGCACCCCAAATGAAACAGCTACCCAGGAATGTAGTTGTAGAGAATCTGAACCCAGCACCAGGAAGGATCACCTTGTGATCTCTGGAGGTTGTGCCAGCCAAAGAGATCCTCCTACCCTGCGGGTGTGAGTGTTCTTTGCCAGGTAGACACCACAGGAAGAGGTTAGCTGCCCTGCTCCCCTCACAGGCGCGCAGGAAAAAAAAGACATTGCAGTGCAGAGTGCTGAGATTCTCGATATTATCCAGGACTGCTTTGCTGGCAAGTTGCTGAGCTAACACTGCCAAAAACAGTGTCCAAAAAAGAAACGGGCATTTATTTACTATTTTTTTGGTCCAGATAAGTGTAAAAGGAAAGCAGGGTTTAAGGGGCCAGATTCTGGAATGTGAATAGTGAGTTCAGTAATAATAATAACAAAATGTTGCAGTAGGAGGGGCATTTGGCCACTAGAAAAACCACATTGGCATTATGAAGGGTGGTGGGGAGAAAAAGGAGACACACACCTTTTTTTTTTTTTTTGGTCCCTGTATTCTTCAGATGAGTGGTTGGTTGGCCCCAGCATTATATTGGGGGGGGGGGAGAGGGGAGGTGTTGTATGGAGGACACGCCCCCCCCGGAGGGGGGTTGAAGAGCTCTTGAGAAATGAGATCAAGAGTAGGCAGGGAGAAGGAAAGAAAGTGTACTCACTCCAGTCGTGCGTGCTTAAGAGGAAAAATATGGGTAAAAAAAGGGGGGCAGTAAAAAAGAGAGGAGGTTACAGACCAGGGCTGGCACAGGGGGAAAGTGGGCACCAGAAGGCCCCTCTCCTCCTGGTCTGCCTTTAAGGCTTCTCGTGGTAGCACAATTTGGAGAGAGACAGAGAGAGATATTCTTGGGGATATGAGGTGTCGGGAAGCAAGGAGCCATCGCTTGGTGGGGCAGCCCGGCTCAAAGGATCTGGCGTGGCATGCCGTAGCCCGTCATGCCCGCTTGCGAGGCTCCCCGGTTGGTGCCCATCTGCAGACCGATGACGCTCTGCCCTTCCTTGAGCTTGTCCTCTGGGAAGGCACGGCGGTTCTCCTGGGACTTCCTGTCGGGGGGGGGAAGGGGGAAGGCAGGAAGTGAGGGGTAGAAAGAAACAAGCACACACATCATTGCAGAGGACATAGCCTAGGAGGTTTGTTTTTTTAAAAGGATATTCTAAAAGATTATAACTCGGTCCATTCATATTGCTTGTCTTTGTTCAGCTTAGAACAGGGTTTCCCAAATTTGGGTCTCCAGCCGCTTTGGGACTACAACTCCCATCATTCCTAGTTAGCAGGACAAGTGTTCATGGATGATGGGAATTGTAGTCCAGAAACAGCAGGAGACCCAAGTTTGGGAAACTGTGGCTTAGAGGAACTAGATAGCTAAAGCACCATCCAATCACATATGAAGCTGCTTTACACTGAATCAGACCATTAGTCTCTCTGGAGTTGGATACGGGAGTCTCTCTCAAGTCTCCCTCCCTGCAGATCCAGAGGACTGAACCCCAGTGGGCTTTCTTCCAGCAACATTTTTTTGAGCACCAGATTTCAAAAACATGCAACTGTTTTCTCCAGACCTTTCCGCTCAAGAAACTTAACACAGTTTTATGACCATTTGGAAAGTCCATTCCGACTTTTGTTTTTATGCTGCTTTTACCCTGAATTGTTTATTTGTAATTTTTCTGTAAGCCAAGCTTACAGAAACTGAAAAGGTGACATTACAGTAATATCTACATTCCTCTCCTCACTAGGTCCTCAAGGAAGACAAAAGGCTGTATCATAGGACCTAATTTTCTTGTAAAATAGTGGTTTTGCCTGAGACTTTCATTATGGAGCAATTTCATTCTTGGCTACCAGGTGTTTTATGGTTATTCAATAGCATATGAAAATTGATAATAGTTAAAACACACCCCTGTAATCCCCCACCGTCCAAATTCGGTTGTGATCCAGCATTGCAGCGTGTGCCTGGGGAGGGGGGAAATCTGACCTGTCAGACCGTCCGTCCCCCCGATGTTTCTGGTCTGTACCTCCCAGCATCCCCTACCACTGGCCATGCTGGCTGAGTCCAACAATATCCAGAGCAGGGATGGCCAATGTGGTGCTCTCTGCAAATCCCATCATATCCAATCATTCGCCACAGAGGCTGGGAGCTAGGAGTTAAATCTGGAAGGCATAGGGCCAGATATGCTGTGGTCTAGAGCACCACAAAGTCATCACCTGTGCAGCAGCAGACTCCGAGCCGCCAGCTGAAGTGCAATGGATAAATGACGTTATGCAGCCATGTATTGGGAAGTTTTAAAATGTTTTTAATGTGCAGCAGCAGCCTCTCATCTCCTGCCATTGTCACTCAACCTTCCTCTTCTCACAGTAGCTAAATGGGAATAATACTGGCTTACCCAACAAGGTTGTCCCAGTGATGACTGAATACAGTGGTACCTTGGTTGTCAAATGGCTTGGATCCTGAACAAATTGGCTCCCAAACGCCACAAACCTGGAAGTAAGTGTTCCGGTTTGTGAACGTTTTTCGGAAGCCGAACGTCCGACGCGGCTTCTGATTGAGTGCAGGAAGCTCCTGCAGCCAATCGGAAGCCACGCCTTGGTTTTCGGGAGTTAAATGGACTCCTGGAACGGATTAACTTCAACAACCAAGGTACCACTGTAATGTTACAGAGTGCTTTTTGGAAGCATTATAATGCAACTACTTCTGGGATTGTTACAGAACAACCCTACGGTGAACAGTGATTTTCTTCCCTTATTCCATGCCTTACAAATTTGAATCCAATATGGAGTTAGCACACACACACACACACACACACACACACACACACACCCTCTTGCCACAGCACTTACTTAGGAAACCAGTTGGGGTCCCCAACGAAGAGGCCGTCTCCTTTAGAGACCGCCAAGCCTCCCAGGTTCATCAAGGTTCTCTGCACGCTGGCCATGTGTTTAGCTGTGGGTTGGAAGAATTCAGAAGTTGATCAAATATATGCACCATGTCCAACCTTAACACCATTCTCAAGATCAAGCAGGAGCACTGTGCTCTTTTACAGTCTGGAGAGACCCTAAAGTGCTGAGGCCAAGGACTGCAAAAGGCCACCCCCTTTTACAAGTTAGGCAAGGCGATCTTGCATCGTTTCCCCATAATTTTTTCCTGTTTCGGCTCACCATCACCAGGAAGCAGCAACAGTTACACAAAAAGCTGCTTTGCAAGAAGGCTGAAACCACCAAGTCCAGCGCAGTCTGCTCAGCACAGACTGGCAGCAGCTCTCTAGGGCAGGGGGAGTTTTTCCACACTACTTTCTACCCAAGGCCCTTTTGATTGGAGATGGCTGGGAATTAATCCTGGGTAAAGAAAGAGTCTGGGACGTGGGTGGCGCTGTGGGTTAAACCACAGAGCCTAGGACTTGCCAATCAGAAGGTCGGCGGTTCAAATCCCCGTGACGGGATGAGCTCCCGTTGCTTGGTTCCTGCTCCTGCCAACCTAGCAGTTTGAAAGCACGTCAAAGTGCAAGTAGAAGGCAAGTAGAAGTCTGGCGGGAAGGTAAACGGCGTTTCTGTGCGCTGCTCTGGTTCGCCAGAAGCGGCTTAGTCATGCTGGCCACATGACCCGGAAGCTGCATGCCGGCTCCCTTGGCCAATAAAGCGAGATGAGCACTGCAACCCCAGAGTTGGTCACGACTGGACCTAATGGTCAGGGGTCCCTTTACCTTTACCTAAAGCAAGAGGCAGTGTAATGTAGTGGCTAGAGTTTTGGACTAGGCAGACCTGGGTTCAAATCCCCACTTAGCAAAGAAGTTCACTGGGAGACCTCTTAGTCTCACAGCCTACCTCACAGGGTTGTTGTAAGGATAAAATGGAGGGGGGGGGGACAATCTACACAACCTTGAGCTCCTTGGAGGAAAGGTGAGATAGAAATGTCGCTAAGTAAAAGCACTCTACCAAACACCAAACAGGCCATTAAGAATCCACCCTCATCCCGCAATGCAGGTTAGGCAAAAATGGAAGCTCTGATCTTAACTTCTCCAAACGGCAAGGAGCTTATTTTATAAAGTGGACCGATTTGGCAGAGATCTGCGTTGTTTTTAAAAGTTGTGCCAAAAGAGACACTTCCTTGGCCTTGCTCCTGTTTTTCTGCCCTCGACCCTTTAGAAATGGAGGATTCAATGATCCATATACTAGCTCAAATCAGAAATGTCATTTCCAAGCAGAATGCCAGCCCCCCAAGTCAAAGTGGTGAGGCGACTTCATGCCTGCCCTTTACTTGCTGAAAAAAGCAATCTAGGTTTCTTTTCCTTTCCATCCCTAATTGCCAAGAGGGAATGGGGAGACTTTCCTGGAGACTGCAGCTGTGGGAGGGAGCATTAACACTGCAGAGCCCTGATGCGCTCTTCTGGAAGACTGCCGCCCCATAGCAGGCAGGCTTTGAGGGACAGCCTTCAACCCTAACTGCAGTCAGGGAGGAGTTGGGGAAGGCTAGGCTTGGGGAGGCTGGGAGCCAGGTGAGGTGGCCTATGGGCTCCCCACCCCTGCCTTAGATCACACGTGGTTTCCCCTCAGAGATGCTCCCTCTGCCCTCCCTCCTTCTCCCTGCCCTCCGCTGCAAATACTTTGTACCTTCCCAGAGGTCCACCGTCTGGAATATGTCTGTGGCCTGGATGCCATACTGCTCGGCTGCACGCAGGAACTGAGAAATCTGCTCCATCTGCTTGAAAGCCATACTAGAACTCTGGATCTTCGCCACCAGCTTCTGTCCCTTGGGGCAAAGGCTGTTGATGAGGTGGCATAACACCTAATCAGGGGCCAGGAAGAAAATGGAGTCTGTTATAATAAATAATAATAATAATAATAATAATAATAATAATAAAATTATACCATGTCCATCTGGCTGGGGTTTCCCCAGCCACTCTGGGCAGTTCCCAACAGAATATTAGAAACACGATAAAACATCAAACATTAAAAACTTCCCTAAACAGGGCTGCCCTTCAGACGTTTTCTAAAAGTCAGATCGTAGTTTATTTCCTTGACATCTGATGGGAGGGCGTTCCACAGGGCAGGCGCCACCACTGAGAAGGCCCTCTGCCCGATTCCCTGTAACCTCACTTCTCGCAGTGAGGGAACCACCAGAAGGCCCTCGCCGCTGGACCTCAGTGTCCGGGCTGAACGATGGGGGTGGAGTTGCTCCTTCAGGTATACTGGACTGCGGCTGTTTAGGGTTTCAAAGGTCTAACACTCTGAGTCAGTGTTAGAAACTCGGATAAATAAGCTAGGCACCAAATGGTTCCTTAAACCAGGGTTACTGCTGCCAAAACGAAATGTTCAGCTGTCATTTTGGGGCCAGGAAGCTCGGAAGTTGTATTTTTCAATACGACCTTTCGGTTCCTGAAATTCATTCCGATTGTGTGCAGATAAAATATATCAGGCAGAATTCTAAAGGGCATGTTGCGAGTGTCGTGAAAGCAGTCAAGATCCAAGGATCCCCAGGCAGGCACCTCCAGATGGTGGAGCCGTCAGACGCCATCCTGGCACCGCTTGGCCGCAAGTGGCCAATAGTTAGATGCAAAATGTGCCTGGCGAATTTCGAATGCTGCTCTGAGCAGCAGCACTAGGCTCCAGTTAGTAGATCTTGTACGAAATGGAATAGATCAGGCAAACCTGAAGCTTGCCTGCTCTAGCCCATGGGAGCTCACACCAATGAATACCTGCACCCTCTCCTTAAAGGCACTGCATGACTTAGATTGCCTTTTTGTAACGACAGAGGGACCCCAAACCTTCTAGGCTGAATGAAGCCACACCAAACTCCTTACCGTTCCATCTTTCAGCCACTCTTGGAAGTTCTTCTTGCCTGGCTGGGGCTGCCCGACTTCCGGCCCACACTGGGCAACGATCCACTGGATTAAAATCTGCTCCAGTTCGTCGTCATACTGCTTGTCGATCTTGTTCTGAACCTCCCTGCTGAGTCCGTAAGCGGGGCCTCTGTTTGCCATGGCGGCTGTGTGGGGGTTTTGTGTACCTCGGAAGGCTAGATAGAGCAAAGACACACAGACCTAAAGAAAGAGAATCATAGAATCATAGATCTGTAGTGCTGGAAGGAAACATGAGGGAGGAGCATCAGCCTGGCTCTCCAGGAAACCTCAGGAGCACATGCTGAATTTGAACTCCCAAAAATACCATGGGTACCATGTTGCTGCCTCCTTTTTTTGTTGAAATTTTAACGTTACAGAGAAATGCATATGCTGAAGGTTCTTACAAATAGCTCGGTTTGTTTGAAGTGCTTTTTTTGGCAGACAGCTAAGTTCTACTTAAGAGTAGACCCACTGAAATTAATGAGCCCAGGTTGGTCACGTTGATTAATTCCAGTGGGTTTACTCTGAGTAAGATTAACATCAGGGTACAACTTATAGTACTCATTTTTCTCTAGACTTTAAGAGGTTTTTAGAAAAAAATTATAAAGACAAAAGCGAAAGCTTGAAATAAAAATTGTTTCTTTAAAAAAGAAAAAAGAAAACTATTTTATTAAACGTCAAGGCAATATAATCCTATCATAACCAGAAAAATAGAGACTTTTCTGAAATAATATAAACGCAACAGACAAAAAGTCAGGGGAGAATCTTTCTCTTATGAAACTGGCACTAACCCTCTAATGTCTCAGCCAAGGACCTGCTTTCAGTTGGAGAAGACCGTGATCTCATATCTGTATCTGAGCTGCAGCCCCATGCAATAAATTGGAGTGGGGTGTGGGTGTGTGTGGGTGTGTGTGTGTGTGTGCGCTGCTTTTCACTTCCAGAACACTTGCATGTAAATGCCTGCCTGCAATGAACCCTGGACACACTCTGCGGTGTACGGCTTGGGCTAATTACCCATTATAGGTGGTTTTTAGAAACTGCCCTTCCCAGGAACACGCTGCACCAGCTGAGGAGCAAGTAGGATGGGCTGCTGCAGAACAAGCAGAGCAGGCGGTAGTGAGCATTTAGCAAACTACACGGGAATTCTCAGGCCGTGTTCCTTGGCCCAGAGATGGTTAGGTGGAGACAAAAGAGCGGTGGCCCTTCCCAAACGCATCCTAGCGCAGCTCCTGTTCCAGCAGTTTTTTTTAACACTGACACTAGCCAGCTAAGTCTTCAACCAACCCCGGTTGACTCTTATCATTCTGGTAAGGCAAATCAGGTAGGTTGGTTTAAAAAAAACAACAACACAAGAAGAATGTGGCTTTACAAGAAGCATCCCTAGACAAGGGTTTGCAGGAATGGAATAGAAGACTGCAACAGCCCTGGCACCTACAAGTCGTTGGGTTGCTAGAAAAGCCAGAAAAAGTTTTAAGTATGCCAGACCATGAAAACAACCCACAAAACATAATGATATAAAGAGGAGCTTGCTGGATCAGACATGTGGCCCATCGAGTCCAGCATTCTGTTCTTGCAGTGGCCCACCAGATGCCCGGGGTGGAAAACCCAAAAGCAGGACCTCTGAGTACAAGAGCCCGTTCTCCCCTCTTGCGGTTTCCAGCAAGGAGCATTCAGAAGAATTGTGACTGTGCAGGCAGAGCGCAGAGCCATCATGCTCAAAACAGGAAGCTCAGCAAGCAAACTGGCACCGGCAGGAAGGAAGGAGGCGGCGGATGACCCAAGTAACTGCAGAATGGAGAAGCGTTTCCATAGGAAGGGCAAAGGAACCTGCCTTATACCCCTGAGCCTATTGAGCTCAGAAATGAGATTTGCAGCAGCCTCCCAGGATTTCAGACAAAGGACGTCCTTAGCCCTACCTGTGGACGCCAAAGATGGAACCTTATGCATGCAAAGCAGGCACTCTATGACTGAGCTACGGCTCTTCCCTTAAAAAATAAATATTCCAGTCCTCGTGGCTTTAAATAAAGGCCTGCTTTAAATAGGAACACGGAGTCTGCTTTAAACCAAGCAGTGTTAGGCTCCTTGGGCAAAGGTTGCGGTTGCCAAAGCGGAATGTCTAGTTGCCCTTTTTTCAGCCAGGCGGCTCTAAACTCTTCTTTTTCAAATGATGGGTTTCTCAGTTAAACATCTGGCTAGTTCAGATGACAGCCATGAGCCTAGGTTAAGAATTTTGAGAACTTAAAGAATGAAAGTCTCTTGATCCAGGACCAGTCCACATATAAATTGGCCTAATCCGACCTCTTTTTCTTAATGGCGACTGCTCCTGCTCAGGCTGCACAGCTGAAGCATTTTGGTTCCTGAAATTCATTCTGATTGTGCAGATAGAAGTATAACTGGTAGAAATCTATAGGATGTGTTGTTAGTGTGTGTAAACAGTCCAGATCCAAGGATCCTCAGGCATGCACCTCCAGCTGGTGGAGATGTAAGGCACCACCCTGGCACCTTCACTTGGTCGATAGCCTGGTGCAAAATGCACCTGGCGAATTTTGAACACTGATGCCAAGCCAGATCATTGGTCCATCTAGTTCAGTATTGTCCACACTGATTGGCAGCAGCTCTCCAGGATTTCAGACATGAGTCTCTCCCAGCTGAACCTGGGACTTTTGGTATGCATGGCAGATACTCTATGGTCCACCATTGCGGATTAGCAATGCCAGCTACTGCATACCTCAATAAATCCCTGGAGAGCACACAGGCCCTTTATAAACCATTACAGCACCCAGCCCAAAGGCTATGTTGTTTTGCAAGAGGAGGGGGAGAATGGCAGTTGTATGGGGGCGGAGGCGATTAAATCCCTTCTCCTGGGGCTTTGGAGAGTTCCCTTTCAAGGGATGCTGTTTTACAAGTAGGTGGGGAATCTCTGCTTGCTCAGAGGCCAGGCACACCCCAGTTTGCCTTTGCCTGCAGGGCAGGATCTGTGCCAAGATGCAAAGCAAGGGCAAGGCCTGAGTGGTTAGATCAGGCTTGTAAACAGACAACTCGCCTGGGGTGATCAGAAGTTGCTTTCAAGTGATCAGAGAGAACATGTTAAAAGAAAACACACACCAAAACCCCAACCTGCAACTCCCCCTGCCTCCTATTGTGTCACAAATTCCCATGTCTTACTGTTGTTTTTTTATATGCACTATCCAAACTAGGAACAAGGGAAACGGTCTGAGAGAAAGTCAAGCTATTGATCCATCTAGCGTATTATGGTCCACAGTGACTAGCAGTGGGGATCGAACCCAGAACCTTCTGCATGCAAAGCAAATGCTCTGTCCCTGAGCTACAGCATCTTCTTCCCCATATTCAAGTGATCTGAAGTGCTGCCACACAGAAGATGGGAGCAAGCTTGTTTTCTGCTGCTCTAGAGGGGAGGACCCAAACCAACGAATCAGGTTACAAGAAAGGGGATTCCCATTACAGTCATACCTCGGGTTGAAGTAGCTTCGGGATAAGCATTTTCGGGTTGCACTCCACGGCGACCCAGAAGTAACAGAGCGCGTTACTTCCAGGTTTCGCTGCTCGCGCATGCGCAGACGCTCAAAATGACGTCAAGCACATGCGCGGAAGCGGCAAATCGCAACCCGCAGATGCGGGTTGCGTTCGCTTCAGGATGCGAACGGGGCTCCGGAACGGATCCTGTTTGCATTCAGAGGTACCACTGTATGGGAAATATCAGCAAGAACTCTCTGACAGTAAGAGCTGTTTGACTGTGGAACGGACTCCCTTGAGAGGCGGCGGACTCTCGTTCATTCTGCAGCCAGCTATCCCATCAATTATTTTTTTTAAATAAGAGAGCGTGTGCAGGCCTTTTTGAGTATACGGTAACTGAGCCTGCAAGTTTCGATTCAGGAAAGAGCAAGAACACTTTGAAAAGAACACTGGGCCAGAAGCTTCATTTTGCAAGAAAACCCAAGATCGACTGGGGAGGTGGTAGTCAGAACAGAAGCCTCCTTCCAGGAACAGCGCCCTGAAAATGGGAACGGCTGTTCTGCCAAGGAGCCAGTTTTACACTCCGGCAGATTCTCACAGGCCTCCCTGCCTCAAATCCCCCAGCAATTCTCAAAAGCTTACAGAACCACCCACCGTAGCCCATTGTCCGACCCTCTCCAGACAACACTGCCAGCCATTGTCTCTTGCTCTCTCCAGACCCTCCGTGCCCCCCACCCGCCACAGTCTGGGAAACTGGGGTGGGGGAGGAGAGAAAGGAAGAGAAGCCCCCCCCCCAGGCTGCTCCGCAGGAGGCCTGAAATTTGGAGCCAGCCACAAGCTGTCCAAGGAGGAGCGCCTGGGGCCTTCTCAAACCACACTGGGCTGACAGTACATCTTAGGGGCTGCCAAGTTTTTAAACACGTGGAACCTCAAGCCTCTGAGCATGTGCAGTGTGCCTCCCCCCAAACACTCATTTTTAAAAAAGGAGTGGCAAGGTCACTCTCAGTGCTGGTTTTTTTTATTTTTTTTAAAAATCATCCCTCAAAATAAGAGCATATACAGTGGCACCTTGTTTTTCGAACGTAATCTGTTCCAGAAGACTGTTTGACTTCCGAAATGTTTGAAAACTGAGGTGCAAAGGGCGGTCTGCAAATTTAATTGAGAAAATTGAGAAACACTCAGCGGAAGCTGTCCAACTTCTGAGGAGCATTCAAAAACAGAAGAATTTACTTCTGGGTTTTTGGCGCTTGAAAACCAAAAGGTTCAACTTCTGAAACATTCAAAAACTGAGGTACTGCTGTATATGGTTCATCCCACACTATCACCCCGTTGCATTTCATCCTCGCAACAGCCCTGTGAGCGAGGAACCAAGCTCCAACCCGCAACTCAAACCACTTTGCTACTGTGGTTCTGAGGTAAGCAGAATTGTGGAGTTGGACGGGGTCATCTAGCCCAACCCTCTACAACGCATAAATGTTTTTGTATTGGAGGCAATCTTAACACCGTTAGGCCATCTTGCTTGGCACTGTCTGCCTCAGGCCCAAGGACGGGGCATGACCCCCAGGGCTTCTTTATCTGACCCTGCTCCCAAAGCCAGGCCTCTCATAGAATTGTCGGGTTGGAAGGGGGCACCAAGGGTCATCTAGTCCAACCCCCATGTAATGCAGCCTTTGAGTGCTTTGTCTTTGAAACTGTGTCCACACCTGAGCTAGAGTTGAACTAGAAATGGCTTAAGGACTCGAACTGGAGGGAAGATGGTTTGAATAACAGTATCTTAAACAGTAGCATTTTACACAGGGTACACAGGCATTTCAGATAACGGTTGTGTGAAGGCGGGATTAAAACCTCAGCACTAGGAATGCAGTAAATGGAGAATGAACAGGAGCCTGAGTCTACAGTCCTAGTCTACTCTGCAAAGAGGTAAGACTCTCATGGAACAGCAGGCAGGTGAAGCCAGGTGAAGCTAATGGCTATGGGCTACTGCAACAAAATACGGTTCCCCCAAACCCATTTCACAGAAGGCCTGAAGTGTTAAGGCCTGAGTTAAGACACAGTGGAGAGTTTTAAATAGAGGTCGGGTGCCTGTCTGTTAGGGATTCTTTAGTTGCGACTCCTGCACTGCAGGGGGTTGGACTAGAGGACCTTTGGGGGTGCCCTTCCGACACTGCGGTTCCACGACGAAAAACACAGAGCAGGCTGCAATTCTATGCGTACTTACGTAGGAGGAAGCCTCAACACACTCAGCCAGACTTGCTTCCAGAAGCACAATAATATTAAGGAAGTTTTAAGCAAATTCGCCTCGAGCCCCCAAACTCCACCAGGAGGCAGCGTTCAGGGACCCATCAATTCAGAAAGGGGGGGGGGAGTTATGAAACAGGATTAAACCGAAAGGTCACAGATTCCTCCTCTTCACACACTCAAGACTGAAGCCAGGCTTTCCATACTGATGTGAATCTCTCTCCCTGGCACCTTCTAATGGCCCCCCAAGTCTTCTAGGAAATAAAACAACTCTCCCCCACCTCACTCCCCCACTTTTGAACCCTTGTTGGGGATGTCTGAGACCTGAACTGATTTCTATTTTTAAAAACAGTTATATAAACAGGAGGGTTGTTTTTTGTAAAAAAAAAGGAAAAGAAAACAGGGAGAGGTTGAGTAGTATCACAACGAAAGTTCTGTGCAACATCTTAAATCACTGGATTCTCTCATTTTCTCAGAGGCAAAAGTAAAGGGCAGAGAAAAATATATAATTTGCCTTTGCACGACAGGGAGGATTCTGCATACATTCACACAGTCCTCTCTATCCTTTCTTCCAACAAGGAAGAGGCATTATCAACTTGCAAAGACATATTTCAGCCAGGCAAAAACACTCAAAAGAGGTGCAAAGCAGGGTTGGTGAGGTGTGAAGTTTGGGAGGAGTCCTGAGGGTCAGCCACATAGGCCACCTTATGGCCCCCGGGCTGAGGCTCCCCCATTCCTGGAATTAAGACTCTGCTAGAATTCACCCATAATCCATCAGGGTTTTGCACCATGGATAAATGCACTGAGAGTTAGGTATGATGTGAAGGATCAAAGTGGGACAGGTACAGCACCCTTGCAAGGTAGGCCGGTATTCTTGTCATCCCTTATTAGATGTGTGTGTTGGTGGACTGCTCTTAAAAGATTCAGGGATAGAGAAAAAACCTCTCCGTTTATTCTTTGAGCCTTTTCACTAGTGCTACAAGCAGGCACACTGGGGCCTCATCAACAACCCCTTGAAGTCTGTTCAAACCAATTAAATAAGTACACACTGCTTTGTTCAGACCAAATCTGAATTCAGGTGTTCAAATTAATTCCGCCCAACACCACATTAGGTGACTGGGCCCACAAAGTGTGTCGTCATAAGACACCACACTTCATCCGAAGATCACAGGGCGGCTCACAACATAAAAATTCTAAAATGAGAACACAAAACACATAATAAAATAAAAACAAGAACAAACCAATAAACCCCCTTCCAACATTTTAAAGGCCATACAACAGGCATGTCCAAAGTCCATTTCGGGAACCTAATTTGGCCTGCTGGTCGATTTAATCCAGCCTCTGTGGCACTAAAAAAAAAGTTCAGCAACTTCAATCCTAAAAAAAGCTCAACCACCTTGGGGTAAAATTGTAAAAAAGCTCAACTTGGTTGGCCCTCACACCTGTTCACGTCATCAAATCTGGCCCTTTTTGAAAAAAGTTTGGGCACCCCTGCCATAGACTGTTCAGCAGCCAAAGGTTATATAGAAACATTTTTGCCTGGTGCCTAAAGGATATGTAGTGAAGGTGCCAGGGAAGTTTCCCTGGGGAGAGCATTCCACAAATGGGGAGCCACCACCGAAAAGGCCCATTCTCGTGTTGCCACCCTTTGAACATCCTTCAGAAGAGGCACATATGGAGAGAGGTGGTCCTTAGACACTTAAAGTTCTATAAGTCGAAGCCAAGAGGGAGGGAGAAAGCAGCAAATTGCAGGTGTTGCGGACGGAGTCTGGATTATTATTCGATTTGTTGCCCACCCTTCACCATGCAGTCCCTGGAATGGAGAGGATAGAGGGGTGCAACTCAGCTTGCAGAAGAGGGCTTTGCATGGTGTTAGACAAGAGTTAAGGACCCCCAGGCTGTCCCCGTATCTTTAACTTCAGCTGATCTGTCGTGGTTTAGACTGATACTCTCAGGTTGCATCCTTTGTTCTTTCTTTTTTTACAACCTCCTCCTCCTCCCACTTCTATCCTGGACCTCAAAATTAGAGGTTATCTTTAACTATGAGAGAACAAGCATGGCTGCCCTGTTCTTCTCCAGACTAGTACTAGAAACCTTTTTTCTATCCAACTAATGCAGATCCTACCACACACAACAGCATCTCTGTGCATGGTTGCAACAAGTCTACCCTCTAACCAAAATTCACTAGGTTAAATGCTGCTTGCTGCCTACTTAAAGGGGTTTCAATAGGCAATTGGACCCTGCGAGCCCATTAGAAGGGGACTTAACCCTTTGCCCTCCACTGCAGCCCTGCACCGCCCCCTACGCCTGCAATTTGCATTGCCAAAAAGAGTAGATGCATAATGGTTGGAGAGTGTGCAAGAGGTGGCTAAGAAATGCACATTGGTCAAAGGCCCTCTTCATAGACAAATTCCATGTACGCTGCGGCCCAGCTCAACTTACATTACCCCTGGCATACATTGTCTAAAGCTCATCTCAGTCCTTGGTGCGCATCTGTGTTCAGGGCATGTGATGTGTGTCTGTTTGGTGCCTCTATTAAGGCAGCCCATGGAGGCTTTCCACTGAACAAGTTCCCAGCCCCAGCTAGAAGGCAAGGGAAACAAAGCTGGGCAAAGAGAGAGAGAGAGAGAGAGAGAGAGAGAGAGAGAGAGAGAGAGAAAGCTCCCCATCTGATCATCACCTGCAGGCAATTTCCCTTCACCCCAAGCAATCAGGAAAAAAGTGTCCGGGTGGTGCTGTGGGTTAAACCACAGAGCCTAGGACTTGCCGATCAGAATGCTGGCGGTTCGAATCCCCGCATGGGGTGAGCTCCCGTTGCTCGGTCCCTGTTCCTGCCAACCTAGCAGTTCGAAAGCACACCAAAGTGCAAGTAGATAAATAGGTACCGCTCCGGCAGGAAGGTAAACGGCGTTTCCGTGCGCTACTCTGGTACGCCAGAAGCGGCTTCGTCATGCTGGCCACATGACCCAGAAGCTGTACGCCGGCTCCCTCAGCCAACAAAGCGAGATGAGCACTGCAACCCCAGAGTCGGGCACGACTGGACCTAATGGTCAGGGGTCCCTTTACTTTACCAAGTGCCAGGTTTGCCTGCCCTTTTGCAGCAACCATTTGCCAAGCAGAGGGCAATGCGGGGTCATGCAGTGGAGGAAAAAGAGCGCCAGAATGCTCAAAGATCAAACTCAATCATCTAGAGAGCGCAGAGAGGCCCCACCGGATTTCAGAGCGGAAGCCACCCTAGAAGAGGCAGGCACAGGGCCAAGTTAGCAATCAGGAAGCAAAGGAGGTTTCAGATAGGGACAATTCCTAGAACCGGCAAGGCTTTGCGGGGAGGGAGAGGGGACTCTCAAGGCTTTTCCTGCAGTTAACCTACAGCAGAGACCACTCTGGAGCCAGATCAAATGTGCCAGCAAGAACGTTTAGGAAAGAAACAGGAAACCCTTTCCCCATCCCAGCCATTAAGAAGGGGAAAGGAGGAAAGGGGGGGTCACCTAGGGACACCAAGCCGGCTGTGCTGCTCTAGCCATTATACTGCCCCTAGCTCAGGAGTGCAGAACCTGTGGCTCCCAAATGCTGCTGTACTATAACTCCCATCAGCCCTAGCAAGCATGGCCAATGGGAATTGTAGTTCAGCAATATGTGTAGGGCCAGAGGTTCCTCGCGCAACTGGTGTAGATTTTTTTTTTAAAAGCCTACGTGCCTAATTCAGAGGTGGGGTCCAGTGCAGCCCCCCAGGCCACACTGTCTGGCCCTTGCAAGGCCACATTTCACAGCCTGTGCTCCAGCGCTTTTGCAAAAGGTGAAAATGTTTTAGTTGTCCAGCTTAAAATAAAAAATTGCTACCACTTTCTATTGCTGGTTTAACATCACTATATAGTACTTTAAAGGTTTTAGTTAGTGCTTTTTTCTGAGGCGACGCAGGGGTACGCATACCCATGATGGCGGCCTTTTGTCCATTTACTGTATTTATTTTTCCCAATTTGAACTACAAAGTGGTGATTTTCTTCAGCCAAAATGAGAGTACCCCTAAACACTTTTTTAAAGAAAAAAAAGCACTGGTTTTAGTTTATTCCTGTTCTTTGTTAACGAGATGATGGTGCTAGAGAAACACTGTAGATATCTGGACCACCTGAGTGACCAGCCAAGCTATGCAAGGTAGACAAGGATTTGCATGCATAGCGTCAACTTTTCCCTTTTCTTGCGAGGAATCCTATTCGGAATAAGGGAATTTCCCTTAAAAAAAGGAAAACGTTGACAGCTATGTTGCATGTGCCAGTACTTTTAGGGACTCATCCACAAACCTGCTATAAAGCTACTGTTTGCTTCTGCAGGCAGCCTGCAAGCCATGAAGGCAGCTGCCCCATGGAGGCTGGTCCACAAGGGCAAACAGTGTGCTGACCCACCAACCGGTCTGCCTTCTATCTTACAACCAATCAGGAGCTGCCTCTGTCTATCATTGGCTCTGGCTTCTCCTATCCTTGGTTTCCCTCCTGCCTTCCACCCCACCAGACAACCTCTGTAAATGCCAGCCCACGTCCTCCATGCACACTGCCCAGGCTTGCGCCTGGAAAGGTCACTTTGGTGCTGCCAAGGCAGCAAAAACAATGCAAGAGGCAGCCGTTACAAGTTACCAGTCTCTGCAGCCACAGCAGGCGCCGCGATTCTCCAGCGGTTTGACTTCACACCTAGAGGCACACTCCATTGTCTCTTGAGACAGATGGATACCAACAACAGTGAGCCAAGGGGAAGAGTTTTGCTCTAGAGCAGAGGGCGGGTGATCTTGATTCTAGGGGCCAAATGCAGCCCCCCAGGTATCTCTCTCTCTCTCTCTCTGACCCTTGGGACTTTCTCCAGACTACCCCCCTCTTTACCCCCCCCCCCACTCTCCTGCCAGGCCACACTGTCCTGCACTGGCTCATTTGGAACACACCTCTCATTTTCTGAAATAGAGGGGGTTACCTGTATGCTGGTAAGAGTTAAAGAGCCAGTCTAGTGCTTAGAGTGCCAGACAAGGACCAGGCAGGTCTAGGTTTCACAACCCTGAAACTCGCTGAGTGACTTTGTGCCCCTCACTTCTCTCAGCCTAAGCTACCTTGCAGGGTGGTTGTGCGGGGAGAACGGTGTGCTGGACCAACTTGAGCTCCTTGGAGGAAACATGGAATATAAGTAGAATAAAGCAAGCGATCAGAACCCCCTGCCAGGTTCATGTTCAAATACATGGATTTAGATGTTAAAAAGTCTAATCCAGGGTAGGTCAGCCAAGAAGAGTCTATTACGAGAGCGAGAGAGAGAGAGAGAGAGAGAGAGAGGGAGAGAGAACATCCTCCAGAAATCCTTTGGGGCATCTGGATGAAGCACAAAGGCTGCAGCTGCTGACGTTTTATTGGGCAGTTACACTTATGTAGATCCACCATTCAGTCTCAATTGCGGCTGCCTGTAAAACTCTCCCAGCCTCCGATCTCTGCCTGTCATTATGGCTCATAAATAGGTTGCTGCAAGGCCTTCCTTCCTTTTCAAATAGATGTTCCAAGCCAATAAAGCTACAGTTTGGTTCAAGCCTGCTCCATTTCAGCAGCACAGTCCAAGATATTATATATATATATGTGGGCCCCAGAAGCAGCTGAGGAAGGAAAGGTTTGTCCCTGCTCTGGCTCCAGATGGGGTGTCCTGCAGCAGCCATAAGCTGCCCCCCCCCTGCAACCGCAGTATAATATTGCAACCCCAGCTTTCCCTGCCCTGATACGGTGACGCATGAAAGAGGCAGGGATGAATGCATCATGCAGGCAGCGCCTCTTCCAGGTGAAAGAGCCCACGGAAAACACCCTGGCAAATCACCTCTCCATTCCAGGTTTTGAAGCCAACAGCCAGTCTCCGCCCCAGCTGTTTATTCCATTCATCCATTTGAATAATAAGGACGGGGTCTTTCTCAGCCCACTCCAAGATGCTGGGACTTGAACCTGGAGCCTTCTGAGCACCAAGCACAGGCTAGCAACACCAAGCTACGGGCCTTCAGCCTTGCTTGGAATTTGCTGACCACACTAAGCCGTCCTTTACCCGTCAGCCCGACAGACACCAAGCAAGCCTGGACATGCTAAATCTGGATGATGCCAGGGGCCTCCTAGTCTCAGATTGTTGCTTATTATCTGGCAGCGCCAGCTCTGTAGGAAAAGAAGCTGGGTTTTGTGGGAAGATGTGCCAGGTAAGGGAGATTGTGGCAACACGGAAAAAAGTGCAAGAGTCATTTAAGGCTGTGAGTTGTGAGACTCACAACTGTGGCAGAATTCTTTGTGGTGGCACTAGTCCAGGTTTTTAACCAATGAACTGGTGAGGGGTTGAAAAAAACACCTTTGGTTAATATATAGCCACCCTAAGGGCTTCAAGTTACACTGAAAAGCAGCTTATTTTTAAGGTAAACACAGCCCTGTGAACAGCAAGGTGGGGGAGATTTGCTGTTGTGTTCTGGTCAGGTCCAGCTTACAGATCCATCTACTAGGCAACTGTTGACTTCTGAGTGTGCCTGTACCCAAAAGGTGTGAACCCTTTGACAAGGCATTTGCCAGCCTCTGTTTTCTCAGCTGTAAAATGGGTGAAAAACTGGGGCCAGTTTAACTGACAGAGCAGAGACACCGCAAAGGAACTCTAACTAAGGCAGGTGATGCCGACCAATCCTGCCACGATGTGCTTTCAAAACAAACGTCCCACTTTTACACTGAAGTCACTGAATAACAGGCTTCTGAAAGAAAAAGAGAACTTTTCCTTTCCAATATGGATACTTCCCAGCCAGGACAGTTAAACATCTGATGGGAGAGACTTTCTCTGAATTAAAATATCTTATAAAACCAGAAGAAGCTTGGCATGTGTTTAGAGTAGAGAGTGGAAAAAGTTATTTTACCCATCCTCTGGGTTACCCAGAAGGAAGGGTTCAGCGTCGGAACATCTGCCTTTGCTTGCAGAAGGCCTTGGGTTCAATCCTTGGCATCTCCACTTTGGGTTGGGAAAGACTTCCTGCAGGAGACCCTGAAGAGACGCTGCCAGTCCGTGTGGGCAATGTCAGTCCTTGGCCTGACTCAGTGCCAGGCAGATCCCCATGTTCCTAAAGCCAGCACAATTTATCACACCAACGCAGCAGACAGGTTTCTGAGAATGACGGCCTTAATTTTAATCTGCACACTAGCATTCCTTTTCCATCCACAAATGTCTCCTGGCACACTGTCTCACGTTCCCGACTCTGCCAGTTTGGGTTTTTCTCGCCGAGGTAAGAAGAGAGCATCTTCTTCCAGCCTCGCCCACGCCTCATTACGTACTCAAAGGCTCTCAAACATCCTGCAAGGCTGCTGACACAAAACCCATTTCATGGGTCCTTAAAAGGATGTAGAGGCCATGGTTGCCCCTGGTTACGCCACCTGAGAGGCTAAGGCAGGGGTGGGGAGCCTCAGGCCCGAGGTGGCCCTCCATGCCTCTCCGTCTGGCCCCTGAGGCTCTCCCCAGCTCACATGTGGTTTCCCCAGGACAGACCCCTCCCTGCCCCACCTAAATACATTCCTCAAAGTTTTGGGCCTGGTTGGAAATCTGTCCCTGAACTCTGACAATGCCTCTTGCTGGCTTGAGCTGAGGAAAGAGACACAAATGTGTGCGAAAGGCTCAGAACAGGCCTACTGAGGAAATGTAAAATCTGCATTCAGCGTCCCACCTGCTTTTGCCTCTGGCCCTGCTCACGACTGTCATGCGGCCCTCGGAAGCAGTGTCAGAAATTAGCCAGGTGCATTTTGCTACTGGTACAGGTCTAATCTGCGAACATGTAGAGATCTCTGGATACCAGGCTGGTGACCGACGTCTCCACTTTTGTGATTTTATTTCTTTAACATATAAAGCAGTATAGAAATGAAATGAAGAATTAAAATAATAGCAAATCTCACTGGAACAAAATAAATGGCGCCTAGGCATTCTAAGGAATGCAGGGTGGAGAAAACCCATGGGGAATCGTCAAGCAAGGGCACATTGGAGAATCACAGAGCCAGGGTGGTGTAGTGGTTAGAGCGCCAGACTAGGACCTGGGAGACTAGGGTTCGAATTCCCAAGCTGCCATGAAACTCACTGGGTGACCTTGGACCAATTTCACGGAGGAAGGGGAAGAATGATGTATGCCACCTTGAGGTCCTTGTAGAAAAAGGCATGGTGTAAATGCATTAATTATTATTTTTACACCCCAGCCACTCTGGGCAGCTTCCAGCACATATAAGAATGATAAATAAAATTCTGCAATTATTATTTTTTAAGGTACAGGATTGTGTTTCATTCCTCCATTGCCGCTTAACAGCGCAAGCTTTCCGAAGGATGAAGAGAGGAGATAGCCTAGGGAGTCAGGGGTATTTGGACATTTTATTAGCCTGTGTTTCCTCCTCTTTCTTTTCCCCCTTCATGAACCTGGCCTAGCCCCAGATGCCGGAGGAGTAAGAAGATCTCTTTTCGCCCGCATTCCAAGTAACAGCTACTTTTCCCTTTTATGTGCAAGAGGCGAGGGAAGTGGCAGTTCTCAAAAGCGTGATTAAGCACCGCAGCCAACACCCCGGCTCACCCCATCTCTTGCCTCCTCTTCCAGTACAGCTTTTTTCTGAAGCCACAGTAGCCCTTGCCAAAAAAGGCACATTTTTTCTCTCTGCAAAAGTAGGGAGGGCAGTGGAAGATGGCCAAAGGCAGGAGCTGCAGCTTATGGGGTCCCGGGTGTGTGTGTGAAAAAAAACAAACATTTTACTCATATTTATACAAACCTTTCCTTGCACTCTTGGTCCCATAAGGCCTAATTTGGGTGGAAGAGGCCACAGACAGCTCAGCCAGACTCATACAGGCCTGTTCCGCCAGCGTCTTCGTGCCACCCCCCCAACGACCCCTGCCAGGCCTCAGGCAACCAGCCAGGTGTCTGTGGGAAGTTCACAAGCAGGGCAGCTGCTCTCTGGCATTCAGGGGTAGACTGCTCCTGAATACAGAGGCTCAGCTGCCGACAGGTCTAATCAGGGGCATCTTAACCTGCCCCCACCCCCCAGATGTTGAACTCCAATTCTAGCCATCATGGGCAGCAGTCAGGGTTGCAGTGTCAGAAACTCAGATAGGTAAGCTAATTGCTAAATGGGTTGATGGGAGTTGTAGCGGAGGAACATCTATCCAGAGGGGACACAGATTAGCTATTGATGAGATCAGCTACCAAGAATGCTCCTTAGTTTGATCCAACATGCAAATCCAGCCTTGCGATCCCCTTGATCGAGGATCTGCCACACAGGGAAGGCTTTCAATGGTGCTGTAGATTTCAAGCTTTCGTTTTCTTTTTTTTACAAATCGTCCTTAACCCTCCTAGAAAGGAAGTCATGGGGTAAAATGTTCAGGTACTTTCCAAGCGGTTTCTGAAATGAGAGAGGGTGGTACAAGTACCGTATTTTTCGCTCTATAGGACGCACCTTGTTTTAGAGGGGGAGAACAAGGGGAAAAAAATTCTCCCCCTCTCTGCTCAGCGCCCCTTCAGCAAAGCGGCAGGAGAAACGGAGCCCCTTCCATTTCTCCTCCCGCTTGGCTGAGGGGGCGCTGCGCAGCTCTCCCTCTCTGCTGAAGGCAGGAGAGTCTTGCTCTTCAGGCTTCAGCGAAAGGAACCTGAAGCCTGCGGAGCGCAGTGGGAACTCGTGCTGCACTCCGAAGGCTTCAGGCGGCTATCCCTGAAGCCTAGAGAGTGAGAGGGGCTGGTGCGCACCGACCCCTCTCGCTCTCCAGGCTTCAGCGAAAGCAGCGCGAAGCCTCCAGAGCGCGGAGGGAGCGCTCCCTCTGCGCTTCGTAGGCTTCGTGTTGCTTTCGCTGAAGCCAAGCATTCGCTCCATAAGACGCACACACATTTCCCCTTAATTTTTGGAGGGGGAAAAGTGTGTCCTATAGAGCAAAAAATACGGTATCTTGTATATGTTTTTCCTGGTAACGAGGATGCTGGCTGTTGTGTGTGCATGTCTGTAAAATCAATACTGTGAGATCTCCACAGTCAGGACCAGCAGGACACAGCTGGCACCCCATGGTAAAAGCACAAGGCTGTCGGAATCAGCTCTCTCTTTTAATCTGCGCTATTTCATGCTCCCGCTGCCCGCCACCATGGCCAACTATTTTGTGACCGCCGCCTCTTAGCAATACCTCAAAATTCTAACCCCATAGCAGCACAGCCATCTGCAGGTCTGTCTTGAGTCGCTGGAAGGCCCCCCCCCAAGTTCAGGATGGACAAAATCGTCCGGCGCATGTGCTGGGTAGATGTGCAAGCATGTTCTTCACACTAGAGATCCAGGGTGCTTCCAGACAGTCTCTATTTTCAGGTGGGGTTCAAATCACACCAGCAAATTCAGGTTGTGGCAAGTAATTGATTTGGCACAACAAAACTGCTTAACCCAACTTTTAAAAACAACAGACTTTTTTTCAATAAAGGAGACAGGGAAACGCACTGGAAAATGGGACACGAACGAGCTAACTGACGCAATTGAAAGCTCGCCAAGAACAAACCATAATGAATGCTCAATATATAGCCGATATTTACTAACCTCCCCACAAAATTTGCGCAAACAAATCAGAAGGAATGCTTAGCAAACAGGTCACCTGGAAGCAACCCAGTTCTTTACACATGCTCAGGAGCACTGCCTGGGTTTAGAAAAGTTTACTTTGCCCATACTTTTGCGCACACGTGTGCCTAGGAGGCGAGGAATTTGTTCCACTTGCCAACACCTTGAGTAAGGGGTCTGCAGAGGTCATTCCCACCTGTTTGGTTGCTGTTAAAATCCAAAAGGCACCAGATTAAAACCCCACCTTGGCAACAACAATGGAGTGCGGACGGGGGTGGGGGGTGGAATTGAGATTCTCTAGGACCTACACACCCTCCAAGGCAGCAGAGTCAGTTAAACGTTTATTTAAGAAAAGAAAGCCAGGATTTGTGTCTGAGCCACACCTTTTTCCAAAACAAACCAAACCAAACCGCTGATCCTGGAAAGAGGACAGATAACACACGCAGAGCTTGCGGCTCCTGGCTTCCTCTGCTGCAGCCAACTTTAATTATTTTAATCAAGCTCTAGTCATATTTTAATTTAGTAGAATTAAAATAAAATGCTGACCTGCTAGTGACATGGGAAAGGGAGCTTCCCCATTTGCATTGAAGGTAATAAGGAGAGGTGCCTAATAAACACGGGATCCCGGAGTTCAGGCCTCTGCCATTTCACAACAAGGCCTCGCAAGGCCTGCTCTCAGCCACCCCTCCCGTCTCCATTTCTGGAGGTGGACTCAGCCACTCCACCAATTCCAGGAAGTAGCAATCAAGTTAGCTAATTCCCTTCCTCACTCTCCAGAAGCGATAAGCAGAGGCTCAGGTTGTACATTCCAAGGCAGAGGCAAGGAAACCTCAAGCCTCCAATTTTAATGGAATGCAGGCAAAGTAAAGCTCACACCTGTTGCCCACCCACCACATGCATGTCCGCCCCCCCCCCCATTTGCTGGCTCTGGTATACCAGGCAGTATTAAATGCTTCACTGCCCCATCATTCAGCAGGTGACGGTGTTAGGGAGAAGTAGTCCCTGTGTACAGACAAGCGCATGCACATATCACTGTGAACCAAGAAACGGCACAAAAGGGGGCAAAAACGGCCTTAAAAATAGCACGAAATGGCAAAAATTGTACCTCGCAATCCCAGAAGCCTTTGCACCAACCTTTGAGTCCTGTGGAGAGTTGGGAGTTTGAGCAAGGGGGCTTTGAGGGAGCGACCATGGTGGGGTTTTGTGGATTTTTTGTTTTTAAATGGTTTTTTGAGGGTTTCCAGAGGTTTAGAGGGTGTTTGCAGGCTTTTCCAATGGTGTTCCCAATATATGCAATTTCATTTAAAACATACAGTTCCTCAGAAATCAGCCCCCATGTAAACGGGGAGTTGCCTGCTACTGTATGTAGAAATCTAACACCAGAGATAAAGTTCGGCCTCACAGCCTCTCCACCATGCAGGAAGTGCTGCCACCATCTGTGACGGCTGCAATGCAACTGCAGGTGGTACAGCCCAGGCTGAGATTTACCGCTTGATTTATGCCGTCAACAACAGCAGCAACTTACCCTGTCAAGGGCTGTGCTTATTTAGGCTGTGTTCAACACCCACCCCACAAACACACACCTCAACCAGGCAACTGCTAACCACAGTAACATAGGCCAATGTGCAAGACACAGACATACGCACCCATGTTAAAAGGCGAGTTAATAAATCACACACGTACCCAGCTGTGTCAATCATCCATTTCCATCCTCATGGTCACCTGTATGGATCACTGGACAGCTGGGTCTGAGTGCCACCTGCCATTGCAAGATTCCCCACAATGCCCTGGGAATAGCACTACTACCTAGCAGGGCATTGTGGGTATCCCAGCTCATTGCCAACCACCAAGACCCTTGACAGGGAAGCCCACCTAGGGAAGAGCCCTCTGCCCACCCGAGACGCTCTGCCAAACGCCTCTTCAGACCCAAAGCCAGCCTTGATCTGCATGACTACAAGTGATTTTAGATGAAGCTCAGGCTCCAGAACCTGAAGGAAAGCCACAACCCAGCCTTGAAGCAAGAAGCATTATCAGGCACATTCCAGCCAGCAAAAATATTCAGGGCCTTATGAGGGGCATGGCCTGGGGAGAATGCCAAGGGCTGGATAGAGAGGCTTTGAGGGCCACCATTGGCCCCTCGGCCCAAGGCTCCCCACCCCTGGTTTATGACTTCCTGGGCCCAAGGCTCCCATTGCAGAATTGACCCAAGTCTAACCAAGGAAGCTGTGTGTGTACTGGAGGAGAGAAGGCAGGCAAGAAATAGGGCGGTTTCCTTTTGCTTAAAATTAAAACGGGTCCTATCCCTTATTATCAGGGTGTTCCACACCCATTTCAAACAATGCAGCATCAATTACCAGCTCTATATGTGTGCCAATTGCTTGCATAGCTTTGGGAGACAATGGGGGTGTAGCTGAAAGGAGGCAGCTTCCAGGTCATGGAGGTTTATGGTATAAGTTAGCCCAGAGCTTATTTTGGGGTGCAGGGGTGTGCCAACTCCAGTTCCTTATTCAGGCTGCACAAAACAAGGAGCCCACTTCAGCCTCAATGTCAGCATATCAAAGACTACAAAAGTCAGGGCACCTAGAACATTCAATATGCATCTGGAGTTTTATAACTCTCTTCCAGCACCCAAAGCAATTCTGACCTGTCTTATCAGGTTGTCAGCAGTATCCACATTACAGACATAAAACCAGGTTTGCTTCCCAGGTGAAACACAGAGCTGAAAACATATCAGGGGAGTTCTACACGGGTCTGCTGCATCCACACATTACTTTTGCCTTTCAACATCTGAAAGCGTGCCAAGGGCCTTGCAAGTTTTTAAGGCAGAGGCAAGCCCTGAACACTTTTTGAATTTTTGTTAATCAGATCAAAGTTCCACCTAACTCACTGCTGCCTATGCAGCAGTCACTCTCCAAGGCCACAGGGCTAAAGGACTTCTCCCTTATTATCTGCTGCTGATCTGTGAAAAGGACATGTCAGAATTCAAAACTGGGGTCATCCGCATGCAAAACAGGAGAGCCACCTTTGGGCTACACCCCCATCCTGCTTACCCTGTATTTGGGAGGGTCACAGAATCACAGAGTTGGGAGGGACCCCTAGGGTCATCTAGTCCAACCCCCTGCAATGCAGGAATCTCACCTAAAGCATCCATGACAGTAGCCAACATGTAACCGTTACTGGACTCTGTGGTTCCTCTTAGCCCTGACCATTGGTCCTGCTAGCTGGGGCTGATGAGAGTTGGAATTAAACAACTTCCAGAGGGGCACAGCCTCCCCGTGATATGAGAAGCTCATGAGTTAGGGCCTATGCCAGTACCTAGAAATCCAGGATACACTGGGCCTTGCTATGGAGGCTCTATCGTGGGTCAAAACCCATGAAAACAATATTCATGGACAAGGCTGGGCTTAAATCGTACGAAAGATACTTCACTCTCCTGTATAAAACTGAAACCCTTACAAGTGCCTTGTGGCCTAAGCAAATATCATCTCAGTATGTGGACATGAGGCACACCTAAAACCACCTAGTGAGCATGAGACAAAGAGAGAGAGAGTTTTGAAAAGGCAAGGTCCCCTGATCTCAAGCTCATCCTCAGCCACAGTGCTATACTGAGCCCGGCTTTGGCTGGGGAGGGTGGGATATAAATAAAATATTATTATTATTATTATTATTATTATTATTATACCAATGCCATAACTGAGCAGCCACCGCCGCCACTCCCTCCTGTGGCAAGGAGTTCCACAAGGTAACAACGGAACCCACACATGCCTTTCTGCCCACCTTGTTATCTCCCACTAGAAAAGTAACTAGACTTCTTCTGTTTTGTGACCACAGCCCTGGGGCGGCTGAAATCCTTCCCTAAGGAGTCATCATCAGGGCAACTCAGTCCCTTTCTTGCGTAGACTGGAAGCGGGCTCAGAAGAAAACTTCACTGCCCCCCCCCCCACAGTTTCGTCATCCCTACATTCCGACCTCCGTCAGAGATCAGTCGAGGACGTGCCTCAGTTGAAAGAAGCAAAAGACAGTCTGCAAGGAGACATTGCCAAATTGTCTCATTTCCAGGAGAGGGTCTGCTCAGTGATGCGGTTCAAATTCCTCTCTCCCCCCCTCCTCCTTTTTTTCCTGCATAAATAGAGACAATTACTCATTCAGACCTCATTACTCAAAAGCAGTTGCACAGAGTTAGGAAACCACATTCCCCCTCCGCCTGCTCTATCCCATTGATAACAGATTTTGGCGCGGGTGAGGCAGGCCCCACTGAAAAACCCAGTAGAGATTCCAATCCAGAGCATACCCAAAATTGGAAGGGAGATAGAGCAAATTGGGCTGGCGGGGGGGGGGGGGAGTTGCAAAGAAGCGCCAAAGAGGGGTGAAAGTACGCTCAGGAGAAACTTTATCCAACAAGTTAAAAACTCCAAAATAAAATTGTACACGCAGTCCTACGTACAGTCAGTAGCAAGCCCTGTTGCTTTCAGTGGGGCTGGCTCCCAAGTTCGGGCACCGATCCTAGCCATGCCTACTCACAAGTTAAGTCCCACTGAACTCAAATGGGCTTGCTCCCAGGCAAGAAGAGTTAGGCTGCCGTTTAAGTGTGCCTAGGATTTAAGTGTAGCTTAGTCTGGATGAGCGCTCTTGTCCTAAACATATTTTCTTTGGATTAAATTTTGTCAAGTGTACACACACACGCACACGTGTGTAGGAGTAAGTGAAAGATACGTACAGCTGCAATAGCTCAGTCGGTAGAGCACGAGGCTCACAATCTCAGGGTTCTGGGTTCGAGTACTGCTTTGGGCAAAATATCCTTGCATTGCAGGGGGCTGGACTAGATGACCCATGGGGTTCCTTCCAACTCTACAATTCTATGACATCACTTTCAAGCAAGGAGACTAAGGGTCACAGCCACCTAGTTTCTGGTGTTATGGCAGTGAATACCTATAATCCGGTTGATGAATCAAAGGAGAGTAGCGGAGGTGACATCATCCCGCAACGCACATGTTCGCACAGGCCGGCGTTTAGATGCGGGGCAAGGCAAATCAAAGGGCCTCGAAAGATGCCTTAGATGCTGCCCACCTAGCTCAGTATTGTCTACACTGACTGGCAGCAGCGCTCTAGGATTAGAGACAGGACTCACTCCTATCGGGGAAATAGAACCTTCTGAAAGCAAAGCAAATATTCCGCCACTGAGCTTTGGCCGTTCCCCAAACAGAACAGGGCGACTGGGCGGGGAGGGGGGCGGGAAATACATCGTTTACACAGGAGCCCCTTAGACCGGAGCGCCGTTTACCCTAAAACTTCGGAAAACGCACCCAGACTCTTTACTTTCAGACCAGACCTCCCCTGTAGCAGAAAGGGTGGCGATCGATTTGAAAAGACCGCACATAATTAGGGAAAAATAGCCTGCCCACAACCCTCTTTCTCCCCACACGAAAAGGGGGCTCCAAGTCTCTCTCTCTTTTTTTGGTTCTCCCAAAGCACCCACCCCCGACCCGTCCCACGCCTTAAACCGGGGTGGGAACTATTTGGGTGTCGCGGTTTATGAACCACAATTATCTGCACAGCATTGCATATATCGCCCTTCTCCTCCGGCTCTGCCCTCTGAAAATCAGGACCGAGGCCTCTCTTGGAAACTCAGGCACGGAACAGACCACGCTGAGAGAGAGAAGAGTTCACCAGCACATGTGCAGAGCGCGGCGGCTTGGACCACAGCTCCCCGACGGAGCGAGCGCAGCTTAAGGCTGAACCCCGGCCCCTCTCTGCCGCAGCGTCCCCTTACCTTCCCACCGGGGCGTCGCAGGCGCTGTTGCGAGCGAGACACCGGGTCGATCAAGCCGCGTCTTGCGTTGCGCCTCCACGCCCAAAGCTGGGACTTTTAAGGCTGATGTCAGCGCTAATGAGGGGCGGGGAGGCGGTGCCACCCCCGGCGGAGGGAAAGCGGAGGGGGGAAGACGGGGAGAGGTCTTAAAGGCGCAGGGCGGCCACTGGGAGCCGGGCAAAGGGTTTCCTCGGGAGCAAGCCTCGAGGGGGATCCACTGGCGCCCTAAGGACCCCCGCTTTGGGGAGTGAAGCGCTACTTGATTGCAGTTTGGGAAAACTTGCTTGCAAGTAATTCGCTCGCGGTGGGACAGTCCCGGGGAGGCTGCCGGTTTATTCGCGAGTAAGTGGTGTTCTGCTTGCAACGTGCTCCCGTCCCAGTTGCAAGCCCGTCTTAAATCCAGAATGAAAATAATAACCCGAAGTCCAAACGGGGCTTATTCCCGAGTAAACGTGCACCACGCACAGAATCACACACTCATTACATACCCAGTGGACTTCCTGAGATCTGCACCTCGCACACGCCTGCTTGTTTGCGAGTAGGCTGCGGTGAATGCGGGTGGGGTTTTGCAGCGGCAGGACTCGATCCTAGACAAGTTCTCGGGTGCGTTCAATGGAGCTGATTCCGATCCAAGGAAAATTTGCAGAGGCAGCCAGCCCTGTCTCTGGACGGCTGCGTTCCCATGCATGCTTACTCCTGAGCAGATGCCATGAAGCGGGACCTTTTCCCGGCTGCGCAAGTTCAGGCTACTGGAACTTAACCAGAATCAGTTCCATGAGGACTAGCTCCTATATATAGTTTAATTTCAGTGGCACACTTAGCGAATGCTATTGCGCTCAGTCGGTACTTACTTTTGGGTGAAAGCTACTAGGGCCCCGAATTAGATAACGATGCTAGATTGGGTTTTTTATCTGTCTTATAAAGTGGGGTGCCCCCCAGGCCTCTCCAGCTGGCCCTGGGAACTCCCCCCAGACCGCGTCCCTCACTGGCCTTTGTTTCACACCTTGTGCAATAGCCTATCTGGGAATGGGTCCTTGAACTCTTAATACTGCTTGGCTGGATGAAGGAGAGAGAGAAAAGTGTGTGTGTGTAGTTGCTGCTATGGGCAGGGACATGCTTGTTCCCCCATCCCTTCCCGGCACTTGCAGAATTTGGCATCCTGAAATGCACACGCTAGCTCATTTAAACAAAACATCACGTTGCTAGTCCTCAAGGCTGCACAGACAGGCGCCCTCTTCCCCCCCCCCCCCTTGCAAGTCTCCAAAGAGATGGTTGGGTTGCTGAGAAGGAATGGCTTCTTGGTCTACTCGGGGCATTATTCCCCCCCCCCCCTTTGGTGGCAAGAGGTCTCAGACATCAGGGGGAAAGTGGGGACATATTTGTAGAAATATGGGAAGCGGCCTTATGCAGACTCCAACCCTTGGTCCATCTAACTGAGCATTGCCAACACTGACTGGCAGCACCTCTCCGAGCTTCAGGCAGGGTTCTTTTCCCTGTTATAACTCGAGATGCCCTTGGGGTGTGAACCTGGGGCTTTCTGCATCCAAAGCAGATGTACAGGATATCAGCTTAGTCGGTAGAACATGAGACTCTTAATCTCGGGGTTGTGGGTTCAAGCCCCACATTGGGCAAAAGATTTCCTGCATTGCAAGAGGGTTGGACTAGATGACCCTTGGGGTAACTACAATTCTATGATTCTATGAAAAACCTATTTAAAACAATTAAAAACACTGGCTATGACCCCTTCCTTGCCTTCCAAGAAAGGGCATATCATGGCTCTGTGGCAAAGCAGGTGCTTGGCATGCAGAATGTCCCAGCCTGGTTAGAAGAATCAGGCAGCTAGCAGGTTCTGGGAAAAAGCTTTCCCTGCCTGAGGCCTCCTGTTACCAGTCTGGGCTTTATGGACCAGCAATGCGACTGAGCATAAGGCAGGTTCAAAATATCTGTCTATAAGTGGTCAGCCAGCTCTAGAATTCAGCATTTCTCAGTAAGGGAATTTCTGAATCTTGGGTTGTGCATTCCCATGCTGGAAAACAAAAGCTGTTCTTGTACTCAAGGGAAAGCAGTCTGTTGTTGCTTTTTAACTGGAGGGTGGTGCTTGCACGATGGGGGGGGCATTAGAAAGGTTAAATGCACCTGCAAGCTCTCCCTGCCCACACAACAGATGGCAATGGGAAGCTGGAAGAAAGCGACTTGCCTGTGGCTGTTTAGTGAGTCTGCGGCAGAGGTGAGCGTTGAACTGAGGACTCCCAGGTTTGTTGGCTTGCCACCACACGGAACCTGATGCCCTCCAGATGTTGCTGGACTCCAATGCCCATCATCCTCAGCCAGCACAGCGAGTGGAGAGGGATGATGGGATTTCAAATCCAACAACATTGGGAGGGCCGCAGGTTCCCTATCCCTGTGCTAGAGCCTAAACCCCAACAGAAGGTGAACAAAGGAGCCGTATTCTGGAGTCAGAACATTGGTCCATTACTGACTGGCAGCAGCGCCTTCCCAGTCCTACCTGGAGATGCCAGGGATTAACCTAGGACCTTCTGCATCTAAAGCAGATGTTCTGCCACTGAGCTATGCTCCTTCCTATGTTCGTGGTGTTTTTCAAATCCTACCTTGATTGAAATAATTTGGGGAACCTCTCAGAGCCTGGACAAAGTCGCCTTGATGTTTGCATCTGGCCCAGGTAAACTGCTGGTTATTACAGTATGAAAGAACAGTTAATAGAACAGTTGAGGAACAGAGCCAGTGTGGTGTAGTGGTTAGAGTGTCAGGCTAGGACCCGGGAGACCAGGGTTCAAATTCCCATTGGGCTGTGAAGCTCACTGGGTGAACTTCTCTCTCAGCTTAATCAACCTCATGGGGCTGTTGCAGAGATTAAACGAGGATGTACACTATCTTCAGCTCCTTGGAGAAAGTATTGGGATATAAATGCAACAAATAAACAAATAAATTGTGTTCAACAGGGCTGCAATATTCTGTGAACTGACTGGAAACAAAACAAATTGATTGGCTGTCCTGAATGTATTGGCATAGAAATGGAAACAAGAACTACCGACAACAGAAGAATGGCAGTCCAAATTAATGGACTATGCAGAATTAGATAAGATGACAGGAAGATTCGAAACCTGCGGGATCAGAGATTCCCAGAGGACTGGAGTATGTGAATTATTTGAAAAGCAATTGTAATCAACAGATTACGCTAGTAGGATTGCAATAAGTTTTGTAAGGAGGACTATGCGAAACATTGCAGAGAAAAGTATGAAGAGAATTATTAGTGAAGGATTATTAAAAGTAATAGTGAAACTAATGAAATGCAGATTAAGTGATAAAGACTGAAAAATCTTCAGATGTGGTTGATGGAAGTCCAAAACATTGTATAAGATAAGAAAATATGTTGTATGCTTTTTGGAAACTTTATGTAAAAATCAATAAAAACATATTATTTTTTAAAAAAGATTATAAAAAAAAGATTGGCTGTCTTGCATGGCACTGATGGGAGTTGAATAACATCCGCAGGGTGTCACATCACCTAAGGTGATGCTAACTAATGCAGATCTGAGCAATCAATTGCAATATGATTCATCAACTTAAGGTTTCCCTTACTGGGCAGCAACACTAGTGCTAGGGGCTTTCTAGGCTGTCACCATTTTCACATGAAATTCAACCATACCAGCAAATTCAGGTTGCACAATTAAAAATCCTTTTGCGCTCTTGCACAACAAACCATGTTCCCTCTTGAAAACAGACTTTTTGCAATAAGGAAAGTGACAAAGTGAGGGGTGGCGATGACTTAATGCAGCTGTTGTCTGACCTTCCCACAAGCAAATCAGGCTGAATGCCCCCAAAAAGCAGGCTGTCTAGAAGTTGGGACAGGAGAGAGATTTGATTCTGTTTGAGTTTAAAGGCAAATCTACTATCCACTTCCTGAAACAACATGCAGACTGAAACACGGTCGTCCTTCGAAAGTCACACTTCTCTGAATTTTGCAGTGCTGTTTTCCAACTGAGTAATGGGTGCAAAAATGCACGTACTGGTTGAAATGTGCACAAAAACACAGCGAGTGCACAAGGATCGCTTGCTAAAATGTGTATACTGCACGCAAAATGTGCATTTTAGAGATTCTCACAATGCTGACAAATTTTCATGGGGACTTAAAAAAGAATTTGCAAAGTGATGTAGAAACGTGGAGGGCTGGACTTAACAATGTAAGAAGAAATGGAAAGGAAACCAGAATGGGAGAGATTTGCCCACCCCTAGCTGCCTTGGAATAATTCACCGGCTTTGCTCGCTTGGTTCATCGTAAGCAGAACGCCCTGCGCACACAATCGTCTGTCTCCCTGCTCCTTCCTGCTTGCATTACTGTGCCTGTTGCTGCCCTTCCCTCCAACTGCGTTCCTGCAGGGACTCTTCCCTAGAATTCAGCCCCTTGGGGCCATGTGACTTGCAAGAGAAAGGCCAAATTTGGGAAAAAAGGAAGCTCGGGAGGATTTTTTCAGCACAGGGTCATCAACCTCCTTTTTAACCCTGGATGGTCTGTGGGGAAGCCACTCTGAACAGAAGCTCAACAACTGTAATTGCGGGGAACCGGGATGCGGAATCTGATTGGGGTAGGGCCCACCAGGAAGGACGGCCCTTTTGGCACACTCTGCGCTTGGGGCGTGAGTGTATGTTGCATCCAGCCCACGAGCAATCTCCAAAGCGATCTGGATTGCCCAACTAGTTCATTCTTCTGAAAGACCTCCTAGTGGATTTTTTTGTTTCTTGCTTTTCTTCCTTGCTTGTTCAACACTCCAAGTAGCTTCGAGAAACCGGATGTAACTCGACCCTAGGCAGCGCATCACAGTTCTCTGCTTTGGAGACAGGCGTCAACATTCAAAGTCGCTTCCTGAAGACCTGGTCAGTGAGCATGCATCCGGATCTGTTTGCTCAAAGGCTATTATGGTAAGGTTAGGCTACAGAGGCGCTTCTAGACGGTAATGCGCAGGACTAGCTCCAGGTTTCTTTTTTTCGTGGTTTTTGGACAACTGAGTACCACTGGGATCTTCCTTTGAGGTTATTTTAAAGCCCTGGTTCCTCCCAACACGCCGCCCAAATTGACCCTGATGAACAAAGTATTGAACTGCTGCTTGAATGCAATGCTGCTGACGTCAATAAAGTTTCCCTTTTAGAACACCTAAGGTTCAGAACGACCTGGCCTACCTGTTGCACTTCCATGCACTTTGCTATTCTAGGTGTCCCTCTCTGAATGAAAGGAGCTGTGAGTTGTGCAGAGTCCAGGCAGTCTCCCCTTGGAGGACGGGTCATCCTGCTGCTGCTTTGCATAGGGAACAGTTGACGGCTCCTGTCCTATCCAAGGTTAAAGCAGATATGGGGCAATGGGGAGATAAGAACAACATGGTGGGCAGCCCTTTCTGTGGCTATTTGTTTTACAGGCTCTTGCAAGTGCCCTGGTGAAATGGATTTATTTCCGAAGATACACATATTGAATTGTTGAGGAAACATTTTTTTCTCTCCAGCTTAAATTGGGCACCCTCACATGCAGTGTAATGGAGTGGGGGGGAGGGAGAGGACTTCTGGGTCTTGCAACGAATTGTTGCAGCATGGAGTGTTGCAGTTTAGTGGTCCAGGCAGCCAGCCATGCCTTTTTTTCAAGCTATTCCATTCCATTCTTCCTCTACATCCTGGTTTTCCATTCCTTCCCATAACAGCATTCCATGGCAATTGAGCAGCCTCAGTCCTCGTTGGGCTATTTTTGGCGACTTCCAGCCCAACCTCCTTGGGGATTCCCCCCCCCACTATTTTTCTTGTACTTCTGCCAACCTTGGGGCTCCTTTAAGCTTACCCTCCTGTGCTTGGATGGTGCAGTCTTGGCTACATAACGGTTCGACACTCACCTCTCGGCACTGGAAACAGGAGGAGCAATGAGGCTGATGACCTGTAACTCGAGGCACGGATTTTGCCTGCATTGGCACGGCCCCTTTCAACTTGTAGAATGCTTTTAAAAAGCCAACCAAACCAGTGACAATACAATGTGGCAGCGAGTTCCACAGCTTAACTATCCCTTGGACTAAGTGCTAATTGCATGGGTCTGTGTGGGGAGGTGTCTGCCCTGAACTTGCTGCCAGTCGAATCGATAACAGGTAACACTCCTCCCCACATGCCTCAAAATTTTATAAACCTCTATTCTACCTTTCTGGGACCGATGGGAGCTGTAGCCCAAATGTCCAGAGGGCACCGGGATGGCAAAGGCAGCTCTTCCCTCTTCTCCACGTTAACGTAGGGAAAGTGTTGCTGTTCTGCTCAGGGCCCTGCTTTCAGGCTTCCCATAGTCATGTGGCTGGCCTCTGAGAGAACAGGATATGGGACTAGGTGGGACCCCTTTGACCTGATCGGTCAGGGATCTTCTTCTCTAAGCTAAAAAGCCCCCCAGCGCTTTGGGCCTTTTCTGAAGGTGCCCATAACCTCTTGAGTCACCATTTTCCCCTGCCTCGGCTCAAACTGTCTCCATGTGGTTCATCAAGCTTATCTTATGCCCTAGCATTTTTCGCAGTTCCAGTTTCTACAACTGACACGACACCAGACTCAGTTCAATTTCGTTTTTTCTTTTCAAAGTCCCGTTTTACAAAACAGCACCCCCCCCAAATTCCACCCCACCCCACCCCAGCATAAATCAAAACACCAGTAGTTTTAATATATCGTCTCCCAGCAGGGTTAAGAAGGTCCAGAGTCCTCCCCTCCCTATGTCAGCCTCAAGGCTTCCCCTTCATGTCTTTGGAGCCAGTAGCTGTTCCGCGCAGGACGCAGTTCCCTTGGTTAGCTCTAAAGGGCACTGTCTCTCGACAGGAGCGTGGTCAAAATGGAGACACCGTCCACCTCACGGCGTGTGTGTTGGGGGGGCAACATGGCCAGCTTAGGCTGTTGGGGGCCCCTCACAACAAGGTGGCCTGCTCGAACCGCTCGTCCCCCGGCTTCCGGCCAGAGCCCAGCTTCTGGCGGCGTTGCTGAGTGGCCTCCCGGCGCCGGCGGTAAGCCAGAAATTCTTCGCGCAGGGCGGCACAGCGCTCCTCAGGGCTGGGCAAGGGCACCGGGGAGCTGGACCCATCTAAGGCACCCACTGACTGGGAGTTCAAGGGCGAGCCGCTGCTTTCGCTGGAGGTCTTTGAGCCTGCGGAAAGGAGGGGGTGGGAGAGTGGTCAGAGGGGGCAAGGCAAGAACAAGCTCTCTCCCAGCGGGACGGGTATATGGCAGGGGAATGAACTTAAGCAACATAAACACACCCCAAGTTACCAGTCGTAGTGGATCTGCTGTGTGTGTGGAAGGCCCCGGGTTCAATCCATGACACCTCCAGTTAAGAGCCCCCAACCTGGGCTGAGATTTTGGACAGGCGCTGCCAGTTAGTGTTGCCAATGCTGAGCTAGATGGACCAATGGGTTTGACTCAGCAGAAGGCAGCTTCCTATGTTCCTACTCTGTTAATGGAGTAGCTCAGTGGCAGAGCACCTGCTTTACATGCAGAAGCATCTCCAGGTAGGGCTGGGAATGCCCACCCCCTGAAACCCTGCAAAGATGGTGCCAGTCTTTGCTGACATTATGTAAAGCACCTGACTTCCTACTAAGAATTCTGGGAACTGTAGTTTACCCCTCACTAAGATGCAATTCCCACGATGCTGAAACCCCGCCCCCACAGTTGACAGGATTCTATTGGGGAAAATGTGTGATTTAAATGTATGTTGTGTGGATAATACAGTGGTACCTCAGGTTACAAACACTTCAGGTGACAGACTCCACTAACCCTGAAGTAGGAAGGACCTCGAGTTAAGAACTTTACCTCAGGATGAGAACAGAAAACATGCACCGGTGGCGCCGTGGCATCAGGAGGCCCCATTAGCTAAAGTGGTACCTCAGGTTAAGAACGTTTTCAGGTTAAGAACGGACCTCCGGAACGAATTAAGTTCTTAACCCGAGGTACCACTGTACTCCTTTCCTGTCCAAGAGGATCCAATGGTCCGTCCAGAGCCAGAGGGACATCAGAAAAAAGCTGTCACTTGGCAGTTCAGTGGTTTGCCACATGGGGCAGCTGTCCACAAATCACTCACTCTCGACATAAATCTCTCCTTCTGGACACTGAGGGCTAGTAACCTGACTGTGTTTTAATGAAGGTTGGGGTGCTGAGGAGGCCTGGTAATGTGTGTTGTACACCTCTGCATACTTAGCATAAGCCTCCCTGTGGGCTCCGATGAGCCACCATGAAACAAGGACACAATTATATATATATTTCTGCTTCTGCTCATCTGTGGCCTCCTTCCCCACCCCCACCCCCAATGCTTACTCTGCTTCTCCAACTCCTGTGCTGCGATGGTGGAGACTGGCCTTTTGGGGTTCCCACTCCGATAAAGCTGCAGTGCATCCAGCAGGTCAGACTCCAGGGCGAACTCAGAGTCCCATTCATAGTTCTCGTCCACAGATGTGTTCCTCCTGGAAGCGATAAAAGGGGAGTTAGATACGGGGTGTGTGTGTGAGGAAACATGGAGGCCGAAAAGGCTAAGACTGAGAGAGCGTGAGATCCTGTCCACCAGGCTGTTTGCAGTGCTGACTGGTGGGGTGGAAAGCAGGGAGCCCAACAGGAAGAAGACAGAGCCAATGGCAGGCAGAACCAGCTCAAGTCTAGTTCCATCCTACCCTCCTTGTCTGTTGAATTCTATAAAGGCAACACTGAGGATGGCAGTGACCGCCACTGGACAGACTGCTAAAAGTAAAAAAAAGGCAGGCAGATGGTGGAGGGCAGAGTGAGGTCGGTAGGGCAGTGCCTGCCCCATTCTATAAATTTACTCATATATTGCGTTTTCTGCAAGTAAATCTGTACTCCAAGCAGTGCACGCAAAAATAGTAGCAGTACAGTCACAATACATTGTAAGACATGTAACATTACTGCAATGTAACACTAATAAGAAGTAATCAACAATTAACGGTTCATTTAACATACACAAACATTTACGTAAACATACAGCTTACCAATAGGACAAGTTAAAAGTATCCATAAGCAATGCTTCCAAATCGATCCCCCTCCACTCCTGTTTGGGTCTTTTTTTTTCTTTTACATTTTATTTATTGATCCCCCCCTGAAAAACCTTTACAGATTTTAACATAGACCATAAATTACTTTATTCATCGACTTACCATCTGCCACTTCCATGGTTTCCAGATTTACTCTTAAATGATTCATATTTCACGTATGACATTCAATATATCCATTTTGACGTATTTATTTTAATGATTAATGCTGTTGCTCCTATTTCACGTCTTGCTGTTCTAGTTTGTTTGGAACTTTTTCTGCTTCCACAGTTTACCAGCGTCTGTTTAAAGGAGCATCTCCTCCCACCCCACTTCACGGACAGAATGGCAGAGATATGGGGGTAGGCTTATATATTGCAAAGATCCATGGAATACAGGTGGACTCAGACAGTGCACAGAGCAGCCCCCATTATGACAGGAGAGCGGGCACAGGGTTGGGGAACCCCAGGTCTTGGGGCAAAATGTGGCCCCCCAGGCCTCTCTATCTGGTCCTCAGAACTCTCCCCATGCCGCTTCCTTCACCGGCTTTGCTTTGCACCCTCCTTGGGTGCTTTTGCCTGGACGCATTGTCCTTGAACTCCGATAATGCCTCTTGCTGGTTTGGATGCAGGGCAAAGACGAGTGTGCAAGCATGTGCAGAAAGGTAATCGAAAAGAAACTGGCTACAAATGTAAATTCTACACCTGTTGCTCCGTTCCCCTTCCCCTCTGGCTTCACCCAGTCCAGGTATGTGGCCCTAGGAAAGGTGCTTAGAAGGGAATGCAACTCTTGGACTGAAACAGGTTCCCCAACCCTGTAATACCAGGTGAGTCCAATTCTCCAGGTGGCCCTGGACTGGCAGCTGCTCTCCAGAGTCTCAGGTACAGGTAATGGCAAAGACTCTGATTTTCTGATTTTTTTTAACCTGTTGCCTTCTGCATGCCAAGCAGGTGCTCCACCACTGAGCTATGTTCTCCCTTAGAACACAGGAAGGTGTCTTGGTCCAGCTCAGATTCTTTGCTCCTGTAACCCAGTATTGTTTACTCTGACTGGCTGTTTCTCAAATTACCTGCTGCTCCTTGAACCTTTGTAATCAGATATAGCAGGGATTGAACTGGGGACCTTCTGCCTGCAGAGTATAGGTGCTCCACCACCAAAGCATGGTCCCTCCCCCCTCCTGTATTGCAAAGGACCTTTGGGTGGTACAATGTGTCCCTGCGTGGAGACATCTTGCACCCTGACCAACCTCCAGGTTTCAAACGGTTGGGCTCAATTATGAAAAGTTAAATTTAAAAGAATGCACAACTTGGGAAATACTTTGGAAGCTTTAAAAAGAGCAAAATTAACACGGAAAGGATGTTTAGAAGGGGGGCTCCATCCTGTGGACACTGAGAGTATGGCAGGTGTGTGTCCTGCCTCCTCACATCCTGTTCTGCTTGCCTGCTAAAGCTGGAGAGCCTAAGAAGATAGGAAGCCGCCCTATACCAAGTCTCAGTATTGTCTACACTGATTGGCAGCAGCTCTCTGGGGTTGGAGACAGGAGCTGAAGAACCTAGGGGTTGAACCTGGAGCCTTCTGCCTGCAAGGCAGATGTCCTACCAGTTAGCAGCGTCCTTTCTCCACCAGCAGCTTTTTCACTGGGGTCAGAATTTTGTTTGCATTGGGCTCCTGTTATGATTTTTTTTGCAGTCTCTATGCCCACTTAGGGTTGCAGAATTAAGACCCCGAGAGGGCTCTAAGTGTGGAAAGGAAGGGAAAATTCCTACCACGGCTGCTTTCTCATGTGGGGTTTGTTGCATTAGTTTTAGTGGTTATAACCTCTTGAAATCCCATTTATTCCTCACTCCAGCTTTTGCAATTTCATCTGGCTTCCAGGTCTCAATGCACAGTCATAATGGCTAGAAACTTTTTAATTTGCTAGACATGTTTCACCCTGGCTCATCCTTTGCGAGGTGCTTACTTGAGGCCCCCAAGCACTCTTCCAACCCACCAGAGCCTCCAGGGAAAACTGCAGGCCTAGTTCACCTCCGCTCCCTTGCCTGCCCTCTTGGTCTCACCTTTTACTGATGGCAACCACCGAAGGGTCCTTTTTGAGCCTGCATTCTTCTCCTGTGGAGCTGCTTTGCCAGCCGGTCATTTCTGCAAAGGGGGAACTGAGGTAGCTGCCCGCCAGCGATGGCGCCAGCGAGGGAGGTCTCAGGAAGGACACGCTGCCTCGGCCGCTGCTCTGGCTGGTTAGACTGCCCCTCGGCAGTTTCTCGGCGGGCGGCCCTGCCAGGGCAACGGCGATGGGCGACTTGTGTCTCTCGGGGGGCAGAGACTCTGGGAGCTCCTCCGCTGCGTGGAGCCAGTGAGGCTCTGAGGGGATGGCTGTGTAGGCAAGCTCTGCCTGCCTGCTGTCCATGGGGGGCTGAGGGGGCGACAGCACCTCCAACCAAGGCCCTGGTTCCTTGGGCGAGGGCGTTTCCGAAAAGGAACTGAGGTAACTCGGGCAAACCGAGGTCCCGGGAAAGGCAGCCTTAGCTGGGCCTGTGTTGGCGTGAGGGAGCCTGAGGAGAGATTTGGCCAAGGCCTGTACCTGAGCAGGGTCTAGATTGGCTTGCGTGTCCATGTAGGCTGGACACACGGTTTTGTCCTCATCCCCCAACCCAGTGAGTTCAGTGCTGCCCAGAGCCTCATGGAGGGCTGGTTTGGAAGGTTGCTCCTCTTCCTCTTCTTCTTCTTCTTCCTCCTCCTCCTCCCCCTCTTCCTCTGGAGGCCAGTCACCATCCACATTCATCTCCTTGAAAAAGGGGAGACTCAAGTACTGCAGAATCCCACTTTGGGCTGAGGTATTTGCATGGGCTTGGCTGATCGGGGGCTTACAGCAGGTTGGCGAGGAAGGGGGTGGCGAGGAAGACGAGGCGGCAGTGGCGGGCCCATCCACATGCCCCTCGGGGCTCTGGGTGGTGGTCTGGGTGCGCTGCTTGGTAGCCCCGTATGGCATGGTCGCCACTGGGCTGATGTTGACAATGCACAAGGGCTCGGCCTCCTCCGTTGGGCTGCTGCTGCTGTAGTCGAAGTAGCGTCCCTGGCGGTAGCCGGAGGCCTTGGCTTCGCGGCGGGAGCGGCTGGCGCTCTTGGGCCTCAGGGGGACGCTTTTCTGCCAGACGGGCTCTTCAGGCCTAGGGGGGGAGTAGATCTGCAGGTAAGGCTCCAGCTGGCCCAGGCTGCTCTCCGAAGAAGCCAGGGACAGGGAATAGCGTTCCAGCATGGCCGCCAAGCGTTCCTGAGGCGGCGCTTCGCTCTGCACCACAAAGCGGCCGTCGGGCCCGCGGCAGATGCGCTCCAGGGGTAGCGGCTCCCCGACGTGGCTCTCGTAGAGGGTGTATCTGGAGTTGTTCCTCGCATTGCCGCTGGTAATGTTGAGGCCTAAGCTGGTGCTGGCTTTCTCCCCCCACAGCAGGGAGCGGCGAAGGCTCTGATACGGGGAGGCCTGGAATTTCATCTTCACAACGCTGTCTGGGCTAGCAGTGCCTGTAGAATTTCTGGAGCGGGGAGAAGCCCCAAAATATATTTATATTGGTCAGCTGGCAAGAGATTAGGCCCAGTTTCCCACCAGCCCCAGGGCTCCCTAAAAGCTGTCAAGAACAGACACCACCCTGCCCAAGAGGGAGGACGGCCAGCCTTGCAGAGATCGAGCTGCACAAGGCAGAAGGCACGCAGCGGCAAGCAACAGGACTTGTGGCCAAAAAGGTGCTCAAGGTGAGAGCCAAAACACAAACTCAGGATCACCATGTGGTCCGCTGTACCACTTTTTGTAGCTGCACTGAGAAAACTAGCATGCTAAAGGAAGATGAGGCTCTATAACTTCTCCCTGACAAGGCAGGTATGACTCTTTTTTTTAAATAAAAAAGCAGAAAGTGTATTTCAATAAGTGATTGTTTATACCAGCTCCCCAAATGCATGTGAACATACAAACTTCTAAGGGCCTTTCATCAATTTCACCCAGATAAAAATGTCTTTCTTGATCCCAAATATGGCAGTTGGACAGAATTTGAAAGGGAGCTTGAGAAACCTCTGGTGGTAACTCGTGGGGTGAATGAGGGACTCTACACTTGGCATCAGACATGGACAAAATGCTATTGCTGCAGATGATTCTATAAGCCAAAAAGGCATTTAGGCCTATGCTCATGTGGTACCAGGTGCAACATTCAGCTTACTGAGAATCGATGTTCTCAATTATTATTATTTTTAAGATGGGTTTCAAGTCCGTAGCATTGCTAAGTCTGTGTGCGGGGAAATGCCTGGCAAAATTTTGGAACCCAGATTGCCATTTTGTGCTTTGCACAGCAACCTCGCTATGACCAGCAAATAAGTCCAAATCATGCAGATTTTTTTTTAATGACAGAATTTTGCAAAATGCGTACTTATCCAGTTCCTACAGGCCACAGGATTCGGCTTTGAAGGTCACAGAACTTCTGTGCTTTTGCATTTGTGAGTGTTGGGATTCACAGAACATACACGCAGTGTGTATATGACTAGGATTGTGGTTAAGAAGATTCCCACCAAAGGCAGCTGCACCATGCGCTTTCACAGTTCAGATTACAGTGCCGGGACTAGATAATAGTAATGATCAGACATATTGCAGCTCATCTGGTGGCTATGGAATGTGGACAAAAATTTAAACTGATGCAACTGGACTCTTAATAATTTGTTTTTATTATTTTGATTGGTTTGTTATCAGTTCTGTTTCAACCTGAATACCACTCACTGGAAACAACAGTGGGAGAAGGCTATGGCATTCACGTCTGGCTTGCCTAATGTTGGAAGCTGCTTTATGTTGAATCAGAATATTGGCCATCAGAGTCACTCTTGTCTACATGGACTGGCAGTGGCTCTCCAGGTTTTCAGATGGGGAGTTTCTCCCAGCCCTACCTGGAGATGCCAGGGATTGAACCTGGGACTTTGTACCCGCAAGGCGGATGCTCCACCACCGAGTTATAAGCCTTGCCTGTTGTGAGACTCTGTTTTTGCCGTCCTGTGGAGCCCTGCTGTAGCATTTCCCTTTCCCACCCCACTAGATGCTTCCTCCCTCTCCCCCTGGCTGTGGCCTGCAAAACACAGGATGGGCTGAGCAGAAGCAACAGGGGAAGGAGCTGCAGGGTTGGCATGAGTGGGAGCAGGAAGTGATGTCATGCGATGGCGTGACTTACTGTGAAGGCAGAAGCTTCTTGTTGGGGGAGAAGACGGTTGGTGGATCTGGAAGGTCACGAGAACATAAAGGGGAAATCACACGGAGAGCAACTCAAAAAACAAAAAAGAAGTGACAATGAAAGGGGACGGGACGACTGCCACGTCACGGCCAACAGACAGATGCACGCACACACATGCCCGTGTCAGCTTCAAACTTGCCCTGACCCCCACTCCCTTCCAGCTTCGGTTCCAAGGACCACTTCCCTGTCCAGCTCAGAAAACAAGCAGGATTTTCTTTTTCCTCCTCCTCCTTTTTTAAAAAATGCAGTCCCTTGCAGCTTGCAAGCAACTCTAGTCATGCAGCGGCACAAATTGTGAGAGGGGAGAACTGCACATCTTCTGTGGTCACAGACATCAGCATCGGGCATAGAATTCAACCCTCTTGAGGATCCCAGCTACTACTTAAGACACCAAGTTTCTAGTCTTTAAGGATGAAAAGACTGAAAGGGTGTGTTTGTGTGTGTGTGTGGCACCCCCCCCTCAGGTGCTGAGAAGGGATTTAATGTGGCCAGGAGTGGGTTTAGATGTTGCATGTGTTACTCCTCTCCCCACTGTCCCCCTTGGAAAAACAGCAGACTGAATTACCTAGGAAAGAAAGCCACCGAAGGCATTTGCTTAATAGAGAATAGAGCGGAGAATCTACTTCCTCTTTTAGAATTTAAGTGACCTTGATGGCAAATTTTGCCCCCACCCTGGACAGGGTATTCTGTCCTAGCTAAAAGGTTAGAACAGAAATGTAGACCATCTTGCAAACTCTCCTGCAGCCTCTGCACCCCTGCATTCGCCTTGTTTCCTTGAGTTTTTGTCTGGCTGGAGTGTATCCTTTACTCCTGATAATTCCTCTTGCTTGTCTGGATAGATGAGAGATGAGCAAGCAAGCACACACACACACACACACACACACACACACAGAAACTAACCTTCTGCCCAAAGGTAAAATTGACATTTGTGGCTTTGTCCATTTTTTGCATCTGGTGCTGCCCCTGCCGCCCCCCCCCCCCCCGGCATGTAGTGCCTGAAAAGTTGTCCAGAATGGATTGGAGCCATCGGGCTGAAAAAGGTTCCTCACCTCTGGGACAGACCCATGTAGAGAGAAATAAGTAAGTGGACTCATGCAATAGGCTGAGAAAAACGTGCCACCTTGTCTCAGAACTCCTAAGGACAGCACAGTGAAAACTGGCTGGCGGCAGGTTCTGGATATTATCCAATGACAAAGTATGCCTGTATGAAAAGCGGAATTAACCTCCGCAACTCATTGCCCTGAGGCAGAAAACTTTGAAGAAAGAATTTTAGATTCATTCATGGAAGAGGTCTTTTGATGGCTTTCAGACGTGACGTGTACATGGACCCTCCACGTTCGGAGGTAAGAAGATGACAAATATCAGACACTGGGGGCGAACAACTGGGGAGTGCTTTGGCAGCCAAGTCCCACTTGGGGACTTCCAGGACGCTTCCAGCTGATTTGGGGAGGTGCAGAATGCAACTGGTGTAGCTCAGACCTGGGCCTGCTTCCTTCGATCACTTCACTCCGATCTTGTGCCTTTCTCATCGGCAACCAGTTTGTGTCCAAGCCCAATTAGAAATGCTGTGTTTGGCCTTTGCAGTCTGATGGTGGGAACCTATGGCCCTCCAGACGTTGTAGACTACAACTCCCATGATCCCTGACAATTGGCAGTGCTGGCTGGGGCTGATGGGAGTTGGAGTACAGTTGGAAGGGACAGAGATTGCTCAGCTGTGCCTCAAAAGGTTTTTGGATGCAGTCTATCACCTCCCATGGAAAGCTACCTATGCACAGGTCCGCAGTGGTGGCCCTGTAGAATTTCTCATCACCCTCTAAGCTGCAGCAACTGAGCACACAAGACGGGGCCTTTTTGGTGGTGGCACCCCGGCTTTGGAACTTTTTGCCCCTGGAGGTCCTTCTGGCCACCTCTCTGCCTTCAGGTGTTAGCTTCAAGTTCCCCTCATGCACTTTTGACCTGGGATATGACTCTTAGCATATAGTAAGCTTTTGGTGGACCATTGCTGTTGTTGTTTCCATTTGCAGCTTAAAAATAAATAAATCCATCGTATTTTTGTTTCGTATTGGTTGTGTGTATTTTTATATAAAAAAACCCCGTATTGCTAATGATTGCTAACATCTTTGGGGGTCCCATGTGCAAACATAAAAAGTTGGGAGAGAAGAAAAAAATATTTTGATAAATAAATGTTTAAAAGCTAGATCAGGTGAATTCCACCTCCAAGAAGCTGAAGGAGGACCTTAGCAACTGCTCTCAGGTGGGACAGGAAGGGGAGCTTGAACTGATTCTGTTTGGGATCTTGCTTAGCCTGCTTTTGCTGCTACGTCTTGTAACAAGGGCTGCCAACATGGCACTCATGGGTGCAGTGGTGCCCTTGAGGTCTTTCCCAGCTGCCTACACAGCTTCTGAACCCCTCCTGCTCACTGACAACCTTGGTCATGAAGTGATGAGGATGCTAGGGTTCCCCCCACTTTGAAAAGTATGCTTTGTCTCTTTCTGTTTTGGGAGCTGATCTGGGAAAAATTGCAGAGAGCTTCAGCAGAAAGTTGGAAGAGTGGCGCTCTGCCCTACTTGCTATTTCAGCTCTATGCGCTTTTATTTGGAAAAGCACAACCTGCATGAATGTGCTTTCTCTTTTCCTGTCTCTCAAGGGTGTGCCAATCTGGGGAAGGGGGAGAGAAGTGAATGGAAGGGCATGCACTCAAAAATCCAAATGTGCCCACAATGTTAAAAAAAAGGGTGGCGACCTCTATCCTATGAGTTGCTTTCCAGGCTTTAAAATAAATAAACGAAGAGATATTATTTTATGCCACACTTTAAATAAATAATATTTTTTTAAAAAAGAAAATTCCTGGTAGATAGCAAACCAGGGTATCCACAATGAAAACTGCTAGAAGCAAACGCAAATGTGCCAAAACATAGCAGCTCTTAAAAAAATTAAGCCAGATGCTGTTGCCTGAATGGATTGTGCGAATCTGTGCACACTTTCTTATTCTGCATATTAAAAGTGTATCCTATAAATGCAATGGTGGGATCCTCAGAAGGCTGGATTCTGCACCAGACACCATTTTCTGCAACCACAGGGTCTTGACTGTTTGCCTCACAAAATCATCGGGTGGTATTCAATGCTAGTCCTACTCAGAGTAGACCCACTGAAGTTAATGGCCATGACTAACTTAGGCCTGTTCATTTCAGTGGTCTACTTTGAGTAGAACTTAGTTGAATGCAGCCTATGGAGTTGGGACAGTGGAGGTTGTGTAGACCAACCTTGTCCAGCTCAGTGCAGAATCTACAGAGCAGGATGCAATGACAACATCCCTGACAAATGGCTGCTTGGCCTGCTGTCACCACCTGAGGCAGCCTGGCCCACCACTGAGTTTTATTGTAATGTCCCGTTAAAATCTGTGCCCTGCAATTTGTACCCACTAGCTCAGGGGTGGGGAATCTTTTCTGGCCAGTGGGCCCAATCCTTACCTCCCCACCCCTGCAGAGATGCAGCTAACCTGCCAATCACTTAGCATTGCTACGACAGCAGATGTGTTTTGAAGCCCCGATTATCAGGACTTCAAAGCGCAGTGTGGAGCTGTTTAAAAGCCCTTTTGCAATCAGCCCCACATTGCCCTTTAAAACTTCAGAAAACAGGTTTTCAAAGGTTCAAGGAGCAGCACTGGGTGGGAGAAGTGGTTTCAGTGGGACCAGCACAGAAATGATCAAAAGCTCACTTTAAGCCCCCAATTGTTCCTCAGACATCAGGTGCAAAATGGGCGGATGTAACTTGCTGCAAATGGTGCGGCAGACCAAGTTTGGCTCGCGGGCTGGAAGTTCCTTATCTCTGTTATTAGGTCTGGTCTCGCCCTCTGGGGCGACAGGAGAACATGTCTGCTCAAACTTTCTGCGCAACAGCTCCTTACCTTGCCTGCGTTTGCGGAGACGGGCAGCTCGCCTCTGGTTCATGATGCAAGCCGCCATTGTGCTGAAGATGACAGCCGTGCTGAGAAAGCAGACCCCGCCAATCACTCCTGCCAACACTGGCTGGGGCAGGAGCTCAGGGAGCTGGGTGCGGGAGGGATACACCTCCATGCCTGGTGGGAAGACGGGGAATGTCACACTATCACAACGGCAAGGGTAGGAAGAAACCTCAACATGGAGGAAGAATCACTGTAGGAGCCCTGTTGCATCAGAACATAAGCACTTTTCTTTTTTAATTGCAAATTGACATGGAAATACTGGGAAAATGAGAAACCGAGAGATTCGCTCATCCCTTCTATTAATAAGAGTGACATTTTAAAGGAGCTTTGAACAGCTCCAGTGGCCTCCAGCAAAGTGAGCTAATCCTGAGGCTGCTGCAGGTTTTGCTGCCCCCTTTCTGGCCCTTACCTATTGTGGAGACATTGACCGTGTTGCTGGGGTCACTGATGTAGCTGCCAGCAAAGGCCACCAGGCGGAACTCATAGAAGGCGTCCTACAATGCGGCAGGGGGTGGGTAGGAGAGAAAGCAGGGGCACACTGTGAAAACCCTCTTATGGTCACTGTGGTCGTATTGTAAACCCTTCTCCCACTTAACAGCATCCGAAGGGGCATCATTTTGCTTAACTAGTTCCACTTTTTGACAGTCCCAAGGAAGGCAGGGAGCTATGCAGTGCCCTGAAGTCAATGGAAATCCCGCCCAACTTGATCCCAGCTTTTGGTATTTTGACACACTTTCAAGCAGCACACGTTCTACTCATGTAAAAACACCAGGCAGGCCCCACAAATAGCCCAGAGATGCATTTTAAACAAAAGGACACATTCTACTCATGTAAAAACACGCAGATTCCCAGACCGTCTGCGGGCCGGATTTAGAAGACCATTGGGCTGGATCCGGCCCCCGAGCCTTAGTTTGCTTAAAGGTAAAGGGACCCCTGACCATTAGGTCCAGTCGTGGACGACTCTGGGGTTGTGGCGCTCATCTCGCTTTATTGGCAGAGGGAGCCGGCGTACAGCTTTCAAGTCATGTGGCCAGCATGACTAAGCCGCTTCTGGCGAACCAGAGCAGCGCACGGAAACGCCGTTTACCTTCCCGCCGGAGCGGTACCTATTTATCTACTTGCACTTTGACGTGCTTTTGAACTGCTAGGTTGACAGGAGCTGGGACCGAGCAACGGGAGGTCAGCCCGTCATGGGGATTCGAACCGCCGACCTTCTGATCGGCAAGTCCTAGGCTCTGTGGTTTAACCCACAGTGCCACCCGCTGCACACATGCACTAACCTTTCAAAACTGTATCTCTGACACCCTTCTAAACCCACCTTGATTAGCCCAGGCACCAGGAGCTGCGTCTCAGAGCTGGAAATGGATCCATCGAGAACCTCCCAGCCGCCCTGGTCTTGTCGCAGCTCCAGGGTGTAGCCTGTTAGAGCCACAGAGAATTGGAATGGGGGCTCCCACAGGAGGAGGACCCCCCGCGTGGTCTCGTTGGCCATCAGGGATTGAGGTGGGGATAGAAAAATCTGTGAGGTCGTAGATGAGGGGTTGGGCGGCATGGTGTTTGTTGGGAAACCTGAGAAGGAGGAGAAGAAAGAGAACGGGTGTTGAAACTGTGCATTGTTCCTTTAAGGGAATCGCTGATCAGAAGGAAAAGAGTCCTGTGCCTCTCACCTAGTGGCACGGTGGTGACGATCTCACTGAAGGGACCGCTACCCAGCTTGTTCTGGGCCAAAACGCTGAACTGGTAGCCGGTATCTGGCTGCAGATTCTCCACCAGGATGTAGGAGGCCCCAACAGGCACAGGCAGTGAAACCCAGTCATGGTGAGGGCGATTGAAGCGTTTCAACCTGTGTGGGGCACAGAAACGGAGGAGAGGCTGCAGTCATTGAGAAGAATCCAAACCAGAGACAGAAAAGCCCCTGTGGTTTCGAGCAGAAGGAACTTGTGAGCTCCTGGAAGAAGCATTCCAGTAACGTTTATATTTAATTAATCTATTCACCCAGTTTATCAGGCACCCGATAGATTACAAGAGTTGTCTGGGCAATGTATAAAAGCAAAAGCAACCTAGAAACCCATTGCAATAAAAGAAAATGGGAAAGCAGCAATTGAGACAACCATCACGGCATTGACAAAACTGATCTGTTGGAAGAGAGAGTAAATAAATGTTTCGTGGAGCTATAACAACTATATTAATTCCACATCATAAATGTAACTTAAAAGGCTTGTTTTTGTTTAAAAGTCTTTGGTACGCAAAAGACATTCAAACAGGGATCACTGCCCAATACTGTCAGTGTGCCTGGAATGACCTCCTATGGTAACCATGGAAGGTTTCAGTAAAAATTCCCTGAAAAACTACATAGTATATGAGAGGCAGTTTGCTGTTCCTGTTCCTGCACTGGCTTAGCCTCTCCTACGCCGAACACAAACAAACTAAACTTGCTCACATTTCTTTGGGTGCCAGGACAAGATGCCCTCCTTTCGGCTCTGAACAGAGGGGAGGTGGAAAGAGCATATATTTGTGAGGAAGTGTGATTGATATAGGTGCCTTTCCCCCCACTGAGAAAGCAGCTGATGGAGAGGGGGCATCCTTGCCCCCATCCTCTCTCCCCCCCCCCAGCACTTTTGGGCACAGCAGCCATTTGGGGCCTAGCGCCCACAGCCTCCATTCCAAAATCCTAACCAAGGACTCACAGCGGCGTATACCAGATGCTGAACCTCTGGAAGTAGCCCCCGTCAAAGCCTGGCTCCCAGGTGATGTTGACAGCCTGTTGGAGAGGCAGCACTGAGACGTTGGCCACTGTGTGGGGGCTGGTGCCTAGAGTTCACGAGAGGGAATGAAAAGCAGAACTGAATTAGCTTGACAGGATTAGGATGAGGCTCAACGGGGTTTTGTGGGTGGTAAACTCCGCAGCAGCAGCAGCAGCAGCAGTTTTATCAACTAGTGCCCCCCCCAGCCCCTCCAACATTTGTTTTTGAGGATTAAACCAAGTACACGGAAAGCTTCCTTATGGTACTCCATCCATCAAGCCTGGTAGTGTCTGTTCTAGCAGGTGGGGAAGGGTTTTTCCTATCACTTCTGACCCAATCCCTTTTTAACTGGAGATGTCCAGGATTGAATCTGGACTCTTCTACATGCTCTACTACTAAGTTATAGTCCCTCCAGTAAAGGAAGCTGCCGATTACACTACATCTTGCCGAGTACTAGCTGCTCCGAGTGGCAGAAGCTCTCAAAGGTCTTGAGCAGACATCTTTACTCATTGCCCGCTACCCAATCTACCACAAATTTAACTGAGGACTGGCTTGTGATCTACCACAGAGTTATGGCAGTTTTCCCACCCTGCTCCAGATGCTTGCCGAGCAAACCATAGTTAGAACAAGCCAAGGTTTGTAAGGCAAAAACAAACTATGGGTTGTGACCATTGTTTGTTGGAACAAACCACGGTTAAGCTGCTGGTCAAAGAAACCATGGTTAAGCCATACAAACCTTAGTGCCAGCAGGCAAACCAGGCCAATATGTGCATACACACTGCCCTCCCATGAAAGTTGCAGCACACATCCCTTTTCGCTCAAAATAGTTCTTCAATGCATTTCTGTACAGTTTGCTTAATTCTGTTGTGCTCTGAATGAAGTACTCACCCAATACGTAGACAGTGGTTGCAGTGCTGATGCGGGCCACACCGTTGTTGGCGGCGCATTCCCATAAGCCATGCTGCTCCTTGGTCAGTGGGCGCAGGACCAAGCTGTTGTTCTTGTCTACCTGGGCATTGGCTAAGCCCTTGCTGCCCATCTGTGGGGGGGGGGGGATACCAGAGAGATGTTAGTAAGCTCTTCAAGACCCCAGGGGAAATCGGGGCTCTGCTAACTATACTATGGCTGAAGCCAGTTTAAATTGAAATGTTGCCAGTTACTTTTAAATTTCCTTCAAGTTCTCAAATATATTGCAAGGGATTGGACTAGAAGATCCTTTGGGTCCCCTTACAACTCTATGATTCTACATACTAGTAGGTACAGTGGTGCCCCGCAAGACGAATGCCTCGCAAGACGAAAAACTCGCTAGACGAAAGGGTTTTGCGTTTTTTGAGTCGTTCCGCAAGACGAATTTCCCTATGGGTTTGCTTCGCAAGACGAAACGTCTTGCGAGTTCTTGCGAGTTTGTTTCCTTTTTCTTAAAACCGCTAAGCCGTTAATAGCCGCTAATAGCCGTGTTTCGCAAGACGAAAAAACCGCAAGATGAAGAGACTCGCGGAACGGATTAATTTCGTCTTGCGAGGCACCACTGTATAAACCAGGGGTCAGCAACCTTTTTCAGCAGGGGGCCGATCCACCATTCCCCAGACCATGTGGTGGGCCAAACTATTTTTGGGGGAGGGGGGGAAGAAATGAACAAATTCCTATGCCCCACAAATAACCCAGAGATGCATTTTAAACAAAAAGACACATTCTAACTCATGTAAAAACACTCTGATTCCTGGACCGCCCACGGGCCGGATTGAGAAGGCGATTGGGCTGCACCCGGCCCCCAGGCCTTAGGTTGCCTACCCCTGGTATAAACTGAGAAGGAATTTGAGCCTAGCTAAAAGGTGGAGCTCTGAGTAAACCAGCCAGACTTAACAGGGAAGCCTCTCAGCCTGCCTGTCGGCTCCTTCAGTCTCAGTGTTACCTCAGCAGAGAGGAGGAGGGGGAGGAGGATGGGGAGAAAACTAGAATAAAGTTGTCTCTGCCTCTCACTGGCTCTGGCTCTGCCTCCTGTTGGCCTCCCACCTGGCCGGTCCCAATGGGCAGCAGCCACCACCTGCTGGACAGCCTAACTAGGATCTACCTAGTTTATGCAGAGAGCCGCCTCACCTTTGTCCAAGAGATGATGGGCAGGGGGTCACCTCTGGCAGCGCAGGGGATGAGCAGTTCCCGCCCCACCTCCTGAAAATACTCCTCCTTGGGGTGCAGGCTGAACACGGGAGGGTCCTAGGCCGTAAAACACAACACATATTTGGCATCCGAAACAGGCAAGGGTCGGCCACAGTGAACACAGGACGCTTGACTTGATGACCCAGCAGTCAAATCTCTTCTTATGCTCTAACACACACACACACACGGCCGTCTCTGCTACTCGCCTTCAGGAGAACGCGCGTAGGTGCCGAGGAGCCAGCACTGCCGTAACTGTTGTATGGGGTGCAGGTGTAAACACCCACGGCATTGTCGTTGCTTGTGGCGATGACAATGGCACCATCGGGAGTTGTGGACCAACCTGGGAGCTAGGAGAGGGAGAGAGTTCTGTTCAGAAGAGAGTTATCCCCAAAGGCCTATGAGCCCAAAAAGGTGTGGTGGACGCTTCTGCCAAGCACCTTGCCTAACTCCAGGGGCTGCCCGTCTTTGGTCCAGTTGATGAAGAGCAGTGGAGGATTGGCCTTGTTGGGGCACCTGATGGTGCCTTGCATCCCTATTGGCAGGAGAGTCTCAGGGGGCATGTCGATGACTTGTGCTGGATCTGCAAAAGGCAGGGAGGACACGGCTTCAGACGGTGGGATGGCTAGTGGGAGAAAGTTAGAGGAGAGATGGGGCACAGCCAGGGCTGGGTTGCCTCTCCAATCAACTGCTGGGATGTCCCACTAGTACAGCAACCTGCACCTTGCACCAGCAGCCCTGCAAAACAACAGGATGTGGATAATGCTGCAAGATTATTCTTTCTATGGAGTCTGATCCAAGCCGAGGGGCAGGCAGAGCTGACAATTCTGGTTTCTTTCGGTTTCTCATTTTTCCGATCTTGTGATCGGTTCTCCACATTTCCATATCAGAGCATGATTATTATTTTTTAAATCGTCAGAATTTTAGTGCACATTTCCCCCCTAACATATGCACTTTTGCCTTTCACACACACTTTCACCAAAGCAATTTCCCCAAATATAATGCATGCTTGTATGTTGATTTCGCTAATGTATGCATTTATGCACACTTAACATGCATTTCTGTATGCATTACTTGGCTGGAGAACCGCGCCGTAAAATTTGAGGGAGTGCAGATTTTGAAGGATGGCTGCATTTCAATCCACATATTGTTTCAGAAAGTGCAAGGTCAGTAGGTTTGCCTTTAAATGCCATCAGAATTGCATTTCTGCTCCATCCCTGTCTGAGCCCCACCCAGCAGGCTGAACACTGAAGGTGCCTGTCTTCGTACTGTCTGCTTTTTCCGCCACCCTTAGACTGTGTCTACCAGTTGGAGGTCTAGAATGATGGGAAGATGCCATGCTTACACAGAACTGTGAGAAACGCTGAGGCAGAAGGTGGTCTCCTTAGCCCATTGCTAGGAACACAGGTATATTGCCCCGAATCCTCTGGGACAGTTTTCTGTACCAAGAGGCTCCCGTCCACCAAGACACGAATCCGGGACTGGAGATGGCTGAAGGAGGAGGAAGGAAAGAGAACTTAAAGAGAGCAGGAACGAAAAAAGTGCAACAGAATTGTATGTATTTAAGCACTTGCCTGGCTAACATGGGCAACTGGGAGTTCTATGTATCTTATATATAGTTAAGGATATATCTATATCTATATCTATGAATGAGAGAGAATGGAGTCAAATACACACTATCTGAGTTCAAAGAAGAAGACCAAGTCTAATCAAGTGTACAAACAAATGTAACTGCAGCAATTATTACATATTTCTCCAAAATAATTTACATTGAGAGAATATAAATGAGTCTGAAAATGTCGATTCACATGTAACGAAACTTTCCACCATTATGCTGCCTAGTCTTCTGGGTTCTGCTTGTTCTTTTTAGGTGCATAAATGATGAGTGAGTTTCTCACAAATTGCCATCAATAATGCTTTTTTTTGTACCAGTTCTCTGAAGTAAGTGATGAAACATTCTTGTGAAATAACTAGGCATACTGCCAACTGTCAAACAAATAATTAGGGATTTCCAAACAAAACCAGCATTTTATCCATCATATAACAAACATAACTTGCAACACAAGACCACTCTGTCTCCCGGGATGGCATTCATCTCTATATGCTCCCAAAGAGGACAAGCTTTAATTTAAGCCCTATGCTGTACTCCCTTTCACTTTGCTGCCTGGAGCACCCTTTGGGAGGGAAATATTACATAAATAAAGGAAAGAATAGACCATCATTTGCGGAAGAGCCCAGTGAGCCATTCTGCTTCCCGCTCACACAAAACACTCACACCTGGAGTTTCCTACCTGAGGTGAAAAACATTTGTGTCCCCCTGGAACCAGCTATACGTGAGGTTGGCAGGGTAGGCCTCGGCTTGGCAGGCCAAGAAGGCATCTTGGGTGATGTTGACAGTGACGTTCTGTGGGGGCACCACAATTACCGGAGGCCCTGAGAGGAAGAAAGTGCCCGAAATGAGTGGCTAAGGCAGGGGCAAGGAACCTTTTCCATTTCCTTCTGCAAAACCTTGCTGGGGGGTGGCGGCGGCGGGAGACACATGCCAGTTGTGGATACCGCCAGAGGTAAGCACGGAGACGTAATCAAATTTACCGTATTTTTTGCTCTATAAGACTCACTTTTTCCCTCCTAAAAAGTAAGGGGAAATGTGTGTGCGTCTTATGGAGCGAGTGCAACCTGCACAGCTATCCCAGAAGCCAGAACAGCAAGAGGGATCATTGCGTAGTGATCCCTCTTGCTGTTCTGGCTTCTTGGATTCAGAATATTTTTTTTCTTGTTTTCCTCCTCCAAAAACTAGGTGCGTCTTGTGGTCTGGTGCGTCTTATAGAGTGAAAAATACGGTACATTTTGCCTTTGTACAGTAGGCTAGTTTCTACACCAAACACACACACAAAAAACACACACCAGAGGTTCAAAGACACATCCCAAGCATTCAAAAACATCCAAGACTGGTGAGGGAATGTGGCTGGGGAAAAGTGCCAAGGGCCAGAAAGAGAAGACAAGGGAGCTACATTGAGCCCCTCTCCCTGAGTGTGAGGTTCCCCAAATCTAAGGACAGAAAGGCATTCCTCTCCCCCAAACCCTGCCAGTGATAAAATGTGGAACTATTGACTCCAAACTTATGCCAAGATTCCCTTTGGAAATCAGAGACATGCTTGACTCCCATAGCTATGCACTTGTATCCGCCAGAAAGTCTGGATGGTAAACTGGGGGAGTGATCGTAGCTCGGTGGTAAAGCACATGCTTAGCACACACAAAGTTTCTGCTTTAATCCCTGGCATCTCCAGTTAAATGAAGGATCAGATAGCAGGGTTGTGCCTGATAGCAGCAGTCCTGGGCTAGCTCGGCAAATTTTGGCAAGGCACAAACTTCCTGTGCTCCAGGGAGGGAGAGCCCAGCTCAGTGGCAGAGCGCAGGACTGTGACATGCAGAGAAGGTTCCAGGTTTCATCCCTGGCATCTCCAATTTAAAGGGTACAGTTGAAGGTGATGGGAAAGATTCTTTTTCTGCATGACACGCTAGGGAGTTGCTGCCAGCGAGAGCAGGACAATTTTGGGCTAGGTCAGGGGTGGGGAACCATTTTTCAACCGAAGGGCCACATTCACTTATGAGTAACCTTCCAGGGCCAGGCATACATCCCATCTCCATCCTGGCAAGCAAGTAGCATGCATACTACCCTCCAGCCAGGTAAAGATCACTGGAGGAGGCTGCAGAGGAGGACCAGCCAGGGGTGTGGCCTGGGAATGGGAGGAGCTTGGGAAGAGTCTCTGGAGGGCCGCATTTGGCTCCCAGGACTGAGTTTCCCCTCCCCACCCCCCATGGGCTCTATGGACAGATAAGCTTGTACAGCAGCATCCTGTGTTAAAATGCTGCTTAACCCAGTTTGGGAAAGATGCTGCCCCTTCTCCTGTTTACCTTGCACCAACAGGCGGGTTGTGTGGGTGATGGCACCCTCTTCGCTGGTGGCGTGGCAGGTGTAGGCCCCAGCGCTGGCCCGCTCCACACCAGCAAAGACAAGGCTCCCATTCTTCACCTGGTGGGAAGCACATCATTTAGGAAAGGCTTGGAGCAAGCAAGAAAAAACCCCTCCAGCATCTCCTCACCAAGAAATTGTACGGCCAACGAGGTGGTCAAGAAGACCTGGAAAATCAATTCCTCAATGAGTTTCTGTCAATTCCCTCAACTAGGGATGGGCAAATGTCTTCTCTCTGTTTTCCAGTCTTCAGTTCTCTAGATTTCCAGTATAGTTCATGATTTTTAAAAAAAGTCCTCATAAAAATTCATCACCGTTTCAGCATGAATTTCTCTAAATATATCACCATCATTACTAATTTGACTTCATACCCACAGCAGGTCACATCAATTTAAACTTCAATACTGAAAACAGTTTAAATCAAACTGCACTCACAGAAATAGGGTATGCCCTGAAAATATATACCATAGGTCTCATAGGCCAAGATAAAGAGCGGTGTCTTTGGCATACGCATTCATATATGCAATTTTACCTAATATACACCTTTTGCAAAGCTTATTTTCCCTAACATTTATATTTCCTCAATATAATGCAGTTTTGTATGTTATCTTCACGGATATATGAATTTCCACACATACTTTACTCAAGTATATGCATTGTTTTTTTACACAATACTTAGCTGGAGAACTGGATTGCAAAAGTTGAGAAGGGCAAAATTCAAAGGATGGCTGTGCTTCAGAAAGTGTGACTTAAGCAGGTATGTCTTTAAATGAGAACAAAATCAAATTTCTCCCCATCCCTCTTGTTAACTTGAGAACAGCAAGGACTAAGTATGTGAGCTTGTTCAGATCTCACCTGAGTTCACAGTGTGACTCTAGGAAAAAACACTGTCCTCTTGGTCTCAGCATTCTCACCTGAAATACGGGTTTTATACAGGGGTGCAAAACTTCTTCTTTTTTGCATGAGGGTCCAACTCCCATTTGGCTAATATCCTCCAGGGCTGCATGTCAGTGGGGGGCATGGATCAGTCTAAGTGGGATTTCCCACCCCCCAAAAAACAACTGGGATATATTGGAAAAGGTCAGGGCTTGCTAGCACTCCAAACAGTAGCATACCACACTGCAAGGCTTTCTTGAAGAGAGCAAGTCAAATGCTTGTTTCCTTTGAGTGGCCAGCAGGGGTCAGCCAGACCTTAGGTATATTTGTTAGAGAACGGTCCTAAAATGAGCTTGACAATTAATTCAGTGCCTATGCGCCCACTAGGAAATCCATCCCTTAGGGTTTCTGAAACTAATTATTGGTTTTTTATTTCTCTGGGTGGGGAAGGCATGAAACTCCTCTTCAGAATAAACAGCACTGGAGAGTAAACTTAGACAGGGAAGTCCTCAACCAGCTGCAAAGGCTCACTAGTTGCCCCTAAACAAATCACACAAAACAGCTTCCCATTCCGAGGCGGTGAAAGCTGGGGTGGGGTAGCTCAAACATTTTCAGGAGGGGACAGATTAAAGGGGGTTGGCTAACAGGTTTAACTGGCCTGCACTTCCTCAATGAGAAGAAACAAACAAAGGCAGGGGAATAAACTTGGGTGTTAATTACACCAGTGGTGGACCATAAACTAAGTAAGCAAAGAAGTGTAATAGCAAAGGTGCCCTATGATGAAAAAAAATTTTTAGCACAAGGAAGCTTGCGCCCTCCAGGTGTTGCTGACCTACAGTTCCCATCAGTCCCAGCAGGCTGATGGCCAAGACCCAGGGATGATGGGAGTTGCAGTTCAAAGGTTCTTCACACCTGCTCTGAAAGCTTTACTAGGCACCCCTGACGTAAGGGAGATGCTGGGTTTCAGGAGACACATGGGACTCACAGAGGAGGATGCTTTACGGATGGCAGTAACACGAATACTAGTACAGTGGTACCTTGGTTTGCAAACAATACGCTTTGGATTACAAACACATCAAACCCGGAAGTGTGTGTCCCAATTTGCAAACTTTTTTTGCATTACAATCCTTGGGGGGGGGGGGGGTTATGAAAATTTTTTTTGGGGAGGCCCCATTGACGAAAGCGTGCCTTGGTTTACAACCTGTTTTGGTTTACAAACAGACCTCCGGAACTGATTATGCTTGTAAACCATAATCCACTGTAATGGTCATAGACTGGCTGGATGCAGAGGAATGGCGGGAGGTACCAGCTGGGGAACCCCCAAGGGAACCCCTCCAGGGTAAGAAGGCTCAGAGCCAGGGGGTGGTGGGACAATGCTGAGTGGGTCAGAGGGAGCAGACTGGGAGGAGAAGGTGTCAGAAGCTGAAGAGGCAACAGGGTTTAGTGAGCAGGAAGAGGCTGCGGCAGAGGGCAGTCCTGATTCAGAGGCAGAAGCAGAGGGGAGGTCAAGAAGCAGAGTGGAGACAGGCTGCTGAAGAAGCCAGGGAATCTCCCCCTCCTGCAGCCAGCTCCCCTTCTTCCTGGTCTTCCAGAATGCACAGAAAAAGGAAGAGGGCGGGTCCTTGGAGAGCAGTGGGAAGGTGGGGGCTTTCAGTCCCTGAAACTCCCTCATTGGTGCAAGCACTGCTGGGAAGAGGAATAAAGTTTCTGGAATAAAGTGTTAACATCACTGACACCAGTGTTGTTGTTTTTAATTGTTGACCTACTCCTGACTCTGGCTCCTGACAATAATGTTCTCTTAAATACCTGGATTTGTTAAAACCCTAAGTTGTGAACCATACAAACTGCTCATGTAGGGGAGGGAATCTGCCACCATTTTCAGCTGTCTGTAAGACTAGAAAACACTGGAGGTATTCTGAAAATGCATTTATTTAAACACCTTTTTAATTTTGTGCGTATGGAGCAGGGGGAAATCTCACCAAATCCAATAAATGTGAACACATTCATTTATTGCTGACATGTTACATCCTGCCCTTCAATGTCAATGGCATTTCCAGGGAGGCTAACTGAGAATGAATACACTATTAAACAACTATAAAACGAAAATGAAAACAGCATATTCTCATTTGAGATTTGTAATCTGCACATTTTGAGGAGGGTTTTAAAGCAGAGTATTGGCTAAAATGGCTTAGGATGATGGGAGTGGAAGCCCAACAACACCTGAAGAGCCAGGATGAAGGAAGGGAGAAGGCACTATGCAGGGCATCTGAAAGTATGTTCCAGGCAAACAGGGGAGGAAAGAGAGAATTGAAAGTCATTTAAAACAGGAGTCAAGAATGGGGCACTTCCAGAATATGCTTGATTACCATGAGGTCTAGAAACATACTCACGCCCCCTTTAAAAATAAAACAATCACACTATTTCCAGTTCAAAGGCCAGGTTCCCAGCTTGTAAGATGATTGTGTCTACACACATTTCTAGACTAGGGGTTGGAGACTTATGGTCCTCCAGATGTTGTTTGATGGTCACTCTCATTCTCCCTGACCACTGGGCCATGCCAGCTGGGACTCTTGCAGGCCAACAACTTTTGGGGGGACCACAGGCTCCCCACTCCTTTTCTTGACCAGAGTTCTTCAACTTCGGGTCTTCAGTTGTTGGCTTACAACTTACATCATCGCTAACCAATGGTTCAACCAGGCTGGGGGTTGTGGGAATTGTAGTCTAGACTGGCATCCCCAACCTGTGGCCCTCCAGATGTTTTGGCCTGCAACTCCCATGATCCCTAGCTAATGGGACCAGTGGTCAGGGATGATGGGAATTGTAGTCCAAAACATCTGGAGAGCCGAAGGTTGGGGATGCCTGGTCTAGACCCTTGGTTCCTGGGCTACATGCACACGCCTTACCTGAACCTTGTCTCCACTTTCTATGGCTTGGTTGTCTCTCTTCCAAGTGACGACTGGCTGGGGGTTTCCCGCTGCAGAGCAGGTCAGCGTGAGAGACTTTTGGTCTTGCACTTCTATGAAAGCTGGCGGGGTCTCCTGGAAGGTGGGGGGAACTGCAAGACAGACCTTATGAGAACAGCACCCGAATAATCAGAAATGTTATTCTAAGATCATCAGATGAGCCCTGGCTAGATCAGGCTGAAGGCCTATCTAGTCCAGCATCCTGTTCTCACTGTAGCTGACCAAATGCCGATGGCAGTGGTTTTCAACCAGTGTCCTGTGGCACCCTGGGATGCCCTGAATGATGGTCAGGGCAACACTGGCCCCCGTCCCTCTTTCCTTCCCTCCCTTCCCCTGATGCCCTCTTGCATCTCTGCCTCCCATAGGCTTGCACAGCTGTTTGTTGCAACAGTCCTGGCTACAAGTTCCCCTGGTGAATGGTACCTTTGGGGTTGGCCAGGGGGTGCTTCTCAGGCCTCTGTGAGACAATGGGAGGAGGCACCTCTCTTTGGGGTGGGGGGGGCAGCTCAGAGACCAGGGGCGGCAGCCCAGAAGACTCCCAAGGAGAGGGGAGGAGAGGAGGCTGAGGGAACACTTCATAAGGGAGGGTGTTTGAAATGGGGTGAGAGGCTGTTGGCTCTGCAGGCAAGGGGTGTGACATAACTGGGCTCCTGAGCCGCACAGGGGTAATGCAGAAGGAATGTAGTTGGTCAAGGGAGCCGTGGACCCAAAAAGGTTGAAAACCTCTGGCCTATCGGATCCCCACAAGCAGCACCCGAGTACAACAGCAACCTACTGTTGTGCCGATTAAATGAAAGAACCATGTACAACACTTTGACCTCTCTGGATGAAAGATCAAATGTCAAAATATGTTTAAAAGGTGCAGATTTTGGTATAAAAAAAACACTTGTTAGCACATTTTAAAAAGAAATATATATCCTCACTTAGGGATGGGCAAAACAAGTCAATTCTGGTTTCTCTCTGTTTCTTATTTTTCCAGTCATAATTTCAGTTCTCCACATTTCCACAACAGTTTGAGATTTTTTTAAAGAGACATTTTATCAGCATTCTAGTGTGATTTTCTCCTAATATACACTTTTCTTTTTTACACAATTTTGCCTAACATACAGATTTTTTTTGCAAAGAAATCTCACCTAATATTGCATTTTGGTGCACATTGCTTGGTTGGAAACCTGCATTTTAGAATTTGGGTAAGTGTGAATTGGGGATAGCTCAGCTGGTATAGCATGAGGCTCTTAATTTCAGAGTTGTGGGTTCGAGCCCCACATAGTGCAAAAGAATCCCGCACTGCAGGGGCCTGGACTAAATGACTCTTGTGATCTCCCTTCCAACTCTACGATTCTAAGGATGCCCTCCAGCCAAGGATTACAGGGCAGTTTATAGTATAAAAACACAAAAATATGTAACGTAATGACAAACAAAACAATACCTCTACCAGCCCCAACAATTTAAAATGCGATAAATTGTTTAATTGGCTAAAGGCCTGGGAGAAAAGGGATGTTTTATAAATCTTTGTGAAAATTAATCAGCATTTTCGTGCAAAACTCTCCCAATATATGCACTTTTGTGTGGAATTTTGCCTAACATACACATTCTTGCAAGCAATTTCCCTGAATGTAATATATGTTTGAATTTTATTTTCACAATTATATGCATATTTATGCACTTTTGTACACGTTACTTGGCTGGCAAACCACCTTGGAAAATTGCACATTCCAAAATGCATTTCTGTTTGCATATTGGTTCTGGAAGTGCAAATTATATAGGTTTGCCTTTAAATGTCAGATGAATCAAATTCCTCCCCCATGCCTATCCTCCCCTGGTACCCCAGGTCTTATCCCCTTAACAAATGCCCACCCCCTCCCTTTTTAATGTCTCAGCTGCAAGTAGGGGCTGGTCATCTGTTCAAGGATAATAGCAATTGATTAGGCAGCAGAGCAGGGATGAGTAGCTGGGGAGACAGAAGCTGGGAGAGGGCAGGATTACAGACTGGGATGAGGGTCTGGAAGAAGAGCTAAGCAGATGGGAGACAAAAGGGGATCTGATGCTGAGACAACCAGGATGCGAAGGATAGGGGATGGGCCCAAACGAGGACATTTAGGTCACATCCACACCATGCATCCTGGGAACTGCAGTCTGTTAAGGCTGATGGGAAGGGTCTCCTAACAGCTCTCAGCACCCTTAACAAACTACAGTTCCCAGGATTCTTTGGAGGAAGCCCTGACTGTTAAACCGGCATTAGAGTGCTTTAAATGCACGGTGTGCAACCCTCCTTATATCATTGTGCATACTGCTTTAAAAAATACAAGTGGACAGGCTCCTGCACCAAGGGGTACCCAATTTCCATAATCCACACTGGCTGGGGCAGATGAGAATCCAGCCATATCTGTTGTGCCACAGGCTTCCCCATTCCACTTCAGTGCATTTCCAAACAAAATTCAAACATCCTTTGAAATTGGCAGTTTCCTGAGCTTGCAAAGCAGTTCTCCAGCCAAGAAATGTGTGGAAAAAAGCACATTCTGAGGTAAAGCATGCATAAAAATGTGTATATTAGTGACAACAATATACAAAAATGCTTCATAGTATGGGAAATTGCTCTGCAAAGGTGTGCACATTAGGAGAAATCCACACTAGACACTGATTAATTTTCATGAAGACTTTTTCAAAAAAATAAATAAAATAAATTGTACACCGATGTGGAAATATGGAGTCCTGAGTTTAAGGTTGGAAAAATCATAAACAAAGAGAAACCAAAATTGCCAAAGTTGCCCATCCCTATGTCATCTCAATTGTTGTTATAAGCAAGGGGGGAAATATCGTTCTTTTCCTCCATCATGCACCGTTAATAACTGTATAAGCCTCTTTTATCCTAGCTTCCTGAATCCTTAAAAAATAAGTTTTTGCTCTATGGAAAGAGACAAGATAGAAATTGAAAACAATCAATCAATCTAATGTGGAGCCCTTCAGATCTTGTTGAATCCAACACCCACCATTGCTGGGAGGGGGTTGGATTAGATGACCCTTTGGGTCCCTTCCAAGTCTGTTCTTTGATTCCTTGATTCTATGGCCATTGGCCAGGCAGGTTGGGGCTGATGGGAGTTGTAGTCCCAAACATGTAGAAGGAACGGCATTGAGCAACCCTGAAGTAAATTAAAAAAGCTGGAGATGTGGGAGCAAAAATACGAACTTAATACATATGTTGATTAACTGCCCGATGAGAAGATAATTTTGGTGCGAGGTGAGGATATTTATAGCGAGAGTAATAAAAAGAAATTGTTTTTTAGGGGAAATGAATTTAATTCTAAATTATATTCCGGAAACGTGGGAAATTTCAAGGGGTCAAAAAAAATGGATGTACTATATTAGAAGCAAAAAACCCCTTGTTTTGATGAATTGGAAGAGCCGCAAAAAGATTCCATTGAGCACATGGATTGATAATATGGACAGATTAGCTACATAAGAACGAATTGCATGTCGACGCAAAATAAGAATGGATAATTATGAAGAAATCTGGAGCAAATATTTAAGCGATAAGGCGGATAGTGGTGGGAAGTAGTGGGAGGAGAGAGAGGTGGGAAAATATTGTTAAAAAAGGTGTAGTCGTAGGTATATCAGTGTATTCCAATCTGAATTGTCAAATTGTGTTGTTATTGTTGTTATGGTTTTTGTTGTATATGTCTTTTGTGGTTGATGTTTGTATCAAAAAAAATGATTAAGCAAATAATAATTTTACAAAAGTAAATTAAAAAAATAAACACCCAGAGCATACAATTGACAGTGAGGTGGATCCAGGTGCCGTTTTGGAACTCGTCGTCACTGTTGGGTCGGTCGAGAAAGAGCACCCGGCACTCGTACCAGCCCTGGTCCTCGGCACGCAGCTGCTCAATCCAGAGAGAGGCGCCCTCTTGGATCCGCACACGACCTGCATTGCAGACAAGAAACCACAGAAGCATATGCAGGGGGTTATGGAAGCAACAACACCGTCACAGGAAGCTGTGATTCCTGCACTGCAGTGCAGGGGGTGAGACTGGGGGTACTTTCTAACCCTATGATTATATGATTATATGATTCTAAGACCTCAACCCAGCCCAGCAAATTTTCTTCCCCTGAAATGGAACCAATACACTGGAGGATTGGGCATGCTCAGCAGGTGCAGAATGCTGAATGACTATGGAGGGGGAATGGAGTGTCCTGGAAAAGGGAATGGCTCTCTGCCTTGAACTCTGAACAGGACACTTCACGCTGCAAGGTTTTGTTAAAGGTCCAACTTGCATTTGGAAGTCCCAAGAACCGGTAAAGGAATAGCGTGCTTTATGAAAATCCAGAATAAGGGCCCACCAAATACAAATAAAGCAGATGAGGCAGCATACCCATTGGCTGCAACCAGTACATTCTGCCTTACGTTCCTACCTAAAGCAGTCCTTTATTTACAACCATGAGGACTGGAACCCTACTTTATTTTAGGAGAAGAACCATAGCTCAATGGTAGAGCATTTCCCTGCATGCGTAGGTTCCTTGTTGTCTGCCAGGTAAGGCTGGGAAAAGCTGCGAGAAATCCCACAGAGCTGCTGCCAGTCAGAGCAGGAGACACTGAGTTAGATGCACCAACGGTCTGAATCCGTTCCCTGCTTCTAACTTACTTTAAATGTGATTTTAACCACCACTCGCAGACACAAGTCAAAAGCAGCCATGGGGAGTAGCCAGCGGTGACGCTAACCTCCTTCATCCATGCTGTTTTCCTGAGGAAATCCACCCCACCCCCCCAGTTACAGCTTCCAGGGAGGGAGTGCAGTGGGAATACCAGTTGCTGGGAATCACAAGTGCAGGTAAAGGGACCCCTGACCATTAGGTCCATTCGTGGCCAACTCTGGGGTTGCGGCGCTCATCTTGCTTTATTGGCAGAGGGAGCCAGCGTTTGTCTGCAGACAGCTTCCAGGTCATGTGGCCAGCATGACTAAGCCGCTTCTGGTGAACCAGAGCAGCGCACGGAAATGCCGTTTACCTTCCCACCAGAGCGGTACCTATTTATCTACTTGCACTTTGACGTGCTTTCGAACTGCTAGGTTGGCAGGAGCAGGGACCAAGCAACTGGAGCTCACCCCATTGCGGGGATTCGAACTGCCGACCTTCTGATCGGTAAGTCCTAGGCTCTGTGGTTTAACCCACAGCGCCACCCGTATCCCCTTATTTTCTTATAGGATTAGACAAATTCACAAAAGTAAAAGCTGCTGGGCTGACAATGACTACAAGCCACAGTGGCTATGTTCTCCCTCCACTGTTGGAAGTCTGTAGGCCCCTGAATACCACAATTGGTAGGAATCGCAAGTGGGAAGAGGGCTCTTGCACCCAGGTCCTGCTTGTGGGGCTTCCTATAGTCATCTGGTTGGCCTCTCCGAAGACAGGATGCTGGACTATGATTAGGCTGATCCAGCAACCGGTCCAGTCAGCTTCCGCATGTGGCCCTTCACGTCCTTTGCCTCAGGCAGCAAAATGTCTTGGGCCAGGACGGGCTTGAGAGCCTACTTCCCGCTCTCTTGGGGAGTCCTGAGAAGACCACCCTTGCTGATGCCCCCTTCCCCTCTCTCTCTCCCTGCCCAGCTGGGACCATGACGCTGGGAAGGAACCGCTTGCTTTTGTGGGAACCGCCACGGAAAACAAAAGCCGGAGTCCAGGCCCGGGCAGCGACGCTGGGTCAGGGGTCAATTCAACAGACATTAAGTGTTACACAGTGTCTCTCCCCCTCCCAATGGGCAGGAGGGATGGGGAGCTGGAAAAAGGAGGCCAGTGAGAGTGCCATGGCGAGGGGAGGGGGTTGGATATGTGCCCCACCGACTCCCCACCCCCACCCCCTACACTTCAAAAGGGCTTTGTTCCTTAAGGAGAAACCAAGTGGGTCTCTTTTTTTCCATGCCTTGCCCTGTCTCCTCCAAACTGTGCTTCCCTCCTTTGAGCCTCAAAGAGGCAATGGTAGGCTGTATGCAACATCAGTCGTCCTCAGAACAGATCCATTGGAATTAAGGGACATAACTAATTTAGGTTTATTAATTTCAACGGGTTGCATCCAACGTTAGTCCAAGTAGATCCATTGCAAAAGAATGGACATAGGCTCATTAATTTCAAAGAGTCAGCTCTGAGTAGCACGTAGTTGGATGCAACTGAATGTGTTGTCTGCTCAGAGGAAAACTTCCTGATGCTTTGAGATGCTAGGCATTGAAACAGGCTGCCTTGGAAAGTGGTGAACTCCCCGTTATTAGAAGTTTTCAGGAAGAAATTGGAGGGGCACACGTCAGGGGTGCTGGAGCAGCAGATCACCTATGAGGCAGTGTGGTGCAGTGGTTAGAGAGTTGGACTAGGACCTGGGAGACCAGGGTTGAAATCTCCACTTGGCCATTAAGCTCTCAGTGTGACTTTGGGCTAGACAACAGCTCTCAGCCTAACCTACCCCACAGGGTTGTTGGGCAGATAATACAGGGGGAGGGAGAACCATGCACTTGCCTTGAGCTCCTTGGAGGAATGGTGGGAATATCTATGCAGCCAGTTCAGTGCCCACTGCAGCCAAGACCAGCTGGAACCGGATGGTTCCAACCATACTGATTTACAATGAGACAGAGTAAGTTTTAAAGAGCTAATTTTGCCACTAGGAAACAGGCCTTCAATTAAGAAAAAAAATCAATTAACGTACTGAAATTGGGAGAGGGCAGAGAAGCCAATGCAAAGCAAAACATATCAAAGCCACTCACCCAGAGAGTCTGTTTTTGCAACAATGCGTTGCAACCAACTAAATTATACTCAGATTAGAGCCACAGAAATTAATGGACCTAAATTAGGCATGTCCATTGTTTTCAATGGGTCTGCACTGTGTAGGACTAACAATGGATACAGCCAACGCCTTCCCCTGACGGGATGGCCACAGGGAGGCCTGTGGAACAGCGAGGGGGAAGCTGATCAGCAGAGAGTCAAGAGCCACTGGGCTTTTAGTTTAATGCTTGTTCTGAACAAATGATGCTAATTTTTAATTCTGCACACATACAAACCCTGATTGGAAGGAAAAGAAATCAGAGTGCAGCGTAGCAGCTAAAATGCGAGGGCATTTGCCCCCAAAACTCCTTCCTTGCAAAGGTAGTGATGAATAAAGTAATTTTCAGCCCCCCAATTCCCCCCTTCTGACCTGTTCTTTATTTTGCCTGACCGAAGGTGGCAACCCTATCAGTAACACATCTCGCTTCTGAGATCTCAGCACCTCCCTGTACCTCAGCGGCTAGGAACTTCTTCCTTTTACAACACCCCCCCCGACCCCCGGAGGAAAAAGGCAAAAAACAAACCCACCCCAGTGTTTTATTTTTAATATAATAAAACAAAAGCAGATATGAAGGTAAATATTGTCCTAGTGCTTGCTATTCCTAAACATGAAAAACAAAATCTGCCTATCGATGCAATTAATCAGCAGCTACAATAAATTAGCTTAGATAATAAAGCGATTACCATAATCATAATTTCATCACATCCACGACACCTTATAGAATGGCATTAACAAAAGAGACAGGTCCCTGCCCCAAGGACTGTACTATTCAAGATACAAAGTGGGAAGAAAACTTAGGGAGATTCCCAAATTATTGGGGGGGGGGGAGGTTAGTTTTACATTGCAGCTTTTAGAAGGTAAAGTGTATTACTTCACTAGCTTCAAATTGTGGTAAGCGATCCACTCTAAGGCCTTTGGGGGCCCTTATTCTACTCAGAGGGGCGCCTACCCTGAGACACCCTGAGAAATGATCGCTGGAGCTGAGGGAGGAAAAAACACATCGTTTAGGTGGTTACTGTCAAGAACAGGATTAAGGGCTCTGGAGTCAGAGGCCAGAAAGAAAGAAAAAGCAGGCCTCAAGGAGGGATAAAAGGTAGGCCTTTAGAAAAGAGTGGAAGCCAAAGCCTTTGAGGGAACCGTCAACAATTTTAAAAACATGTTATAAATCTTTGGCTTCTTATATTTTTCTGTCATGGCCTTCTGCAATTTGTGGTTTTATAAAGACCCCCCCCCCAACAGTAATATTTAATATACGTTGACTTATTTTCAGGATTAGGAGAAAGAAAAGCAGCTGCAGACTGTTGTTGTGCTTTGGATCATTGTAAGCCGCTTGGCCTGAAAAAGAGACAGAGATGCTTTCAAAGCTAAACTAATCAGAAACTTGCAGATATGAGTAATGAGGACAAAATCACCCTGCTGTTACCCCAAATGGGTTTGGCAGTAGTAGCTCATCAGGTCACCCTTGTATATCAGCAGTGGTTCTGGATGACAAACTTTGCAGGGGAAAGTTGGCTTAGGAGACAGTCCAAAGTAGATGATGGAACATGACTGGGCATTTGGGAACTTTGTAGGAATTGCAATTTGACCTCCCTATTCCACCAGTAAGTGGTACAGCCACAAGGGACAGGGCGAGAGGGGTTTCCTGACTAAGAACCGGGCATAGCTTGTTTTGACGATGGAGCGGGGAGGATAAGAAACTTAAGGAAGCAGTGACCACAACCGGCCTAATCCTGCCCCAGGGCTATTATCAGACCTGTAATCGGCTCAGCAACCCTGCAGGCATTTGGCACGGACCCAACACACACAATGACAGTGCAGGCATCATGCACTATGCCCCTAGGAGCCCCCAAGAGTTGGCCAGCCTGACCCCCTGCCACAGACTTGATAACCTGGATGTAAAGGGTCTGCAACGGATCAACACCCAAACGCTGAAAGAAATCATTCCAAGGACATCATCCCATGTCCTCATATTAAAGTTTACCAGGCCAATCACAGCCCCCCTGATTTTGGACACCATTCCAATCCAGGGCATTGTGTATGTACATGAATGAAGAAACAGCAGTCCTAATTGGCAGCTGCCACCTTCTTTTCCCACAGTGCTCCAGACCTGCGCGACATACAGGTAAAAACAAAATGGCAGCCGCTATAGCAATGGCTAGAGCCTAAGGTAAGGTTCCCAGATTTTTTTCAATGAATCCGGGGACACTTTTCAACTTCAATGGATTTTGTATGGGGACTGATTTGTAAATCCGGGGACATCTGGTAACCTTAGCCTAAGGGCCCTTCCAGGCTGGTAGCTTTTTCCATAGGTGAGTTTTGTACTGGACATCATTCTGCCTTCTAAGTTGTTCTGTGGCGCTTCCCCAACAAACCCAGAACATTTGCATTGCAGGATTTTAGCAGGAAGTTACAGGGCATGCAAATTGGAAACAAAGTCGTATGTCTGCCTCAGAGATTTTGCAGGCACAAACAACACTGAAAGTGGGATTGCATATACCACAATGAGCACAAATTGTTATGAATACACAATCTGGAGGGGCTCTAACTCTTCTACAGGAGACTGGAGGCAGGCATCAGAGCTAGGTGGGCACTTCTGGGGTACCAGGATCTGTCCAAGGGGACTGTGAACAGATGCTGGGCCTGACTCTCTCCTAGAGTGAAGTGTACCTCAATTCCAATTCCGGAAAAACAGGGCACCCTAGTGTTCAAAGTGTAAGGTAAAGGTAAAGGGACCCCTGACCATTAGGTCCAGTCGTGACCAACTCTGGGGTTGCAGCGCTCATCTCGCTTTATTGGCCGAGGGAGCCGGCGTACAGCTTCCGAGTCATGCGGCCAGCATGACTAAGCTGCTTCTGGCGAACCAGAGCAGCGCACAGAAACGCCATTTACCTTCCTGCCAGAGCGGTACCTATTTATCTACTTGCACTTTGACGTGCCTTCGAACTGCTAGGTTGGCAGGAGCAGGGACCAAGCAACGGGAGCTCACCCCGTTACGGGGATTCAAACCGCCAACCTTCTGATCGGCAAGTCCTAGACTCTGTGGTTTAACCCACAGCGCCACCCATGTCCCTGTAGGAAACACCAAAATGGGTGGTGGTGGTGGTTGGGACAGAGACTGGCTGATTAACTGCTGATGGATCTCAGCTCTGATCCAGAATGGAAATCCTTATTTTTTAATTCCTTCCTGGAAGCAATACCACATGGTTGACTTTGCACAGGTTAAGGCATTAGTTAAAGGCAGCTGCTCCAAGCTTCCCAATGCCTGGCAATGGGGAGGACCCAGGTGGAAGGATGCCTGAGGAAGTGTCTTGCTTCCAGGCTTCCCATAGGTTTTTGGCTCTCCCCTGTGAGAATGGGATGTTGGACTAGATGGGCCCTTGGCCTGATCCAGCAGGACTTCCCTTAGGTTCTCACTGCTTGGATTCCCAAATCCAGATCCTACTCCACCCAAGGGAATGGCCTTCTCCCCTCTCAACAAAGATGCCTTTGGAACAATAGATTAAACCCAGTTGATGGAGTTTAATTAGGAGGACGCCATCCCAGCCCCCTCCACCCCTCTCTCTGAAGCCAGCCAGCCAGCCAGCCAGCCAGGCTGCCTGCCTTGCCCAGCTCCCCTCCCCTCCCTTCAATCACCAGAGGGTCTTTGGCAGTTAACGAAAACCCATCAAGTGGCCTTAGCAACCGGCAACCTCCCATTGCTTAGCAACGGCCCTTTCAAAAGGCATACAAAGGTAGAATGGCCTGCCCTCCACCCCACTATGCTTAGCCACTGTGGGGTTGCACAGGAGGTGTGGAAGGCGCTGGGAAGAAGGGTGGTGCTTAGGGGTGGGGGGCAGAGAAATGAGTGGTTGGGGAAAGGGGGGGGAGAAGTTTTGGGAAAGACTGCACCTGCAAGGTAACAGATGCTCTTCAGCAATGGTGAGGCCATGGTAGCGTTTCTCCAATCAACTAATCACTGTGCCTAACTGAGTGGCTGGGGAAATATTTGGCATTTGCAGGTTGCACCCAAACTTGGGGGTGCAGGGGGCAGGAAACGCTTCCACTTTCACTGAATAGCGGAGTCTACGGGCCCATAGTTTTCACTGTAGCGAGTTAGAATCATAGAATTGTAGAGCTGGAAAAGTGCTCAGCTAAAAGCTCTCCTATTCCAGCAGTGGCTTCCGTGAGAGCTATCTATCTATCTATCTATCTATCATCTATTTATTTATTTATTTATTTTTAACACTATCATCATATTTCATTTATGAATCATTTCCCATGAGGCATCCTGAAACAATTTACAACCATATAATAAAAAACATGTATAAAACAATGGCATATATGAAAACAAAACAATTATATGCATGCCAAAACAGTTTAAAACGACAACAGCACATACATAAAATCAATTCAAATCCAGTTTAGATGCCCACCCAGTGACATGGCTCCTGCTTTTTGTACGGAAGGTCCCAGGGTTCAATCCCTGGCAGTATCCCTGGAAAGCTGATGCCTGTCAGTGCAGAGAGCACTGAGTCAGATGGAACAAGGGTCTGACTTGGTTTAAGGCAGCTTCCTATTTTCCTGACTCATAGGGCTATGCCCATTTCCATACGCAGTACAGGTAACTTGCATCTTACATGGAGGTTGGCCATTGTGCGCAGAAGCCAACTGCACCTGTTTCTCCTCAAGGTCACACCTCACCTCTGGAATGAAGCAGTTGTAGAACCATTCCAGATATTATGAAGAAGTCACCCAGCAGATTCTTTTTGTTGCCTTTTAGGGCACGGGCGTATTGGGACCTGTACAACAAGCCAGGCTTTATTAAGTGTCCAGCCGCAATGCTACAGAGCAGCACAGTCACTTAAACCTTTGCACCGTTGAAGCCAAGGGCTTGGCTTTTCAGCTCTGGCAATGTAAGTCTGCTTGGACATTTTCTCCAGAAAAGCCTCACCTGCACTGAAGACTTGCTCTGGAAGCTATACTTCATTGTCCAACGGCCGCTTTAGTCGTGCACTTTAACAGCCTCTTTGTTTGCAGATGCAGCCTCCCCTCCACATTCTTCAGGTGGAAGTGGATCTTAAAGCTGTTAAGCCAGCCTGGGCCAGCTTTAAATTCCTTGGCACTCTGGTCCCCATCTGTGGTGGAAGGTCTGACGTGGTCATAGGGGCTCAGAGCCTTTTGGTGTAAGCTGCTGCCATCCATAGGAACACATTTCTGGTCCGTGACTTCCAGCCACAAGTTTAGTGCCTTCTCCATCTTCTCCAAAGCCTTACCCCACACCTGACTGGTTATCTTTGCAGTCAGTGGTACGCTTGCTGCCATAGCCCCGCGAATCTCCTTGTGCAACCTGATAGCACAGATGTTGGACTCGTTCTGGACGAATTTGTGCGCCACAGCACATGCAGACATGCCATCCCTCAAGCAGTCTAGAACGGCTAACCTCTTCCAGCATGGGAACCAAACTCCTCCTCTTCAGTTTCTCAGCAGCTGATGATGATGCCTTGCATTTTGGGGCTGTTATGAAAACTAAACCTCCTCCTCTGCACTCCAAAACCCTCCATTGTCTCCCCAAACCTTTCCACAAGCTTCTGTGGCCTCCTCCTCCAACCACTCTCTCCAACCGCCACTTCTGCTCACAAAGACTGCTGGGATTCCTAGCTGTTTCCCCCAGCGATCCTGCCCAATTTTCCTCCACACGCACCATTTTCTTGCCATTTCCTCCCCCCGCACTGTGTGCACAATTTCATTTATTTATTTTTGGATTATTTTCTGGCAACATGTGTAAAGCTGTGAACACGTATGCTAAATAAGTGTACGATCAAAGTTACCTGTACCAGATGCTCCAACTATCCATGTTGACAGGGATGCTGCTGACTGTCACCTTGTAGGGAGGTATTGAAGGAGCACCTTTTAAACAGTTTTATAAACTGAGATAGAAAAGCTAGGAGCCAAATACCATCTTAAACCTGGGTTTCAGTCACTACAACTAAATGCCTAGGTGCCCCGCAGATCAGCTGATTTTTGCAGTGACACAGCATCAAAAGAGAAGCTTTCCCTGTTCAGAAAAGACAGGGGAGGAATCAGTTGATCCCAACAAAAAGTGTTTTGAACACAGGAGTCTCTAGGGTCAACACTGGCTCAAGGGGGACACCCCCCCTCCAAGCAATGCACCCACTCCTTCATTTCGAACTTGGGACAGGAGAACAAACAAACAAATAATACCAATCAAACGAAGAAAAGAATCAGCTAAACTCCCTCAGCAGAAGAATGTACAGCACATTCCAGCAAGCTCCTTGGCTCAAACTAGTCAGATTCCCACAAGTGGCTGTTAAACAAGGGTGGCCAGACAGTCGGGCTGAGAAGCCTCTCTTAAAAGCCGGTGACCCGGAAAAAAGGAAGAAGAAAGAGAAGGAGGAAGAAAAGGGGAAAGAGACAGGCAGATATTTGTCACAGTAACCACCCCACAAGAGGTTCAGCTCAGGCCTCAGACTGCAAAGCAAGCTTCTCCCATCAGCTCCACATTCATACCACACAGCGTCGCTGAGCTCAGATCAGGACAGCTTTGACCCCATCACAGCCAAGTCCAGAGTTCAGGTGCCTCTAGACTGCCAGCATTTTGTGCAAAGGATTTGAGTGCACACTGAGAAATGTAGCTTTGTGCAATTAAAGTGGATCGAAGCCTTCTGTTGCCTTGGTGCAACAAATCCACTGTCAACAAAGAAACTGACTTTTTTATTTACTTGCATTTATGTAGATATCAAATATCACAATACAGTACAGAACAGAACAGAAAAGCACAGTATAAACAATTAAGAGAAAAACGTTGGTTGGCAAAGGATCTCAGGTTCTGCCTAAGATATCTAAAAGCAAACAAGTATGATTCCTGCTGAACCACTATTGCCAAGGTTTTCCACAGGGGGTGGGGATGGGGGTCTGCCACACTAAAGGCCTGGCCCCTGGTAAATGACACCTGAAATTCAGGGGGGGGGGGGCCATAAAAAGTACCCCATCCAAAGACCTCGGCAACAGAGATGGTCCATAAAGAATCAGGCATTTTGGGGCCAAGTTGTTTTAAGGCTTTGAAAATTAACACAATAACCCTGAACTTCACCCAGCAGCAAACTGACAACCAGTGCTGACTTTCTGCAGTTTGGAAAGTGATGGGGAAATGCACTGAAAAGTGTAGGATTACTAACAACTAACAGGAAGACATATGGGTAAATGCAGGATAATGCTCATTGGCATATAACCTCCCTGCAAACACGTCAGAGTGAATGCTCAATAAAGGCAGCATACAGCCTAACCACAGCATTAGCTTTGTGCAAGCAAACCAGGTTGTCTGGAGGAGCACCCATGTCCCAAGACCTCATTCAACACCCTGAATCATCTCCAAAACACATGAATGTGATAAGAAGCTGCAAACCACTTTTTGGCTCAATAGCATATTTACCTGCTCCACAACTGGCATTCACAGGCCAGAGACTCCCCATTGCTGTGATGGGAAAGACATGTTGCTGCCAGAGACCCTGGAGAACTGCTGTCAGTCAAAGCAGACAGTAATGAGCTAGACGGACAAATATTCTGACCTTGGTATTAAGACAGTTGCCTAGGTTTTCTTGCTTTTAAGGAGATTAAGTACTGCCCAATTAAGAAGTCAGTTCTGACAATGAAGAAGTCAACCCCCAAGTTTATTTCAGTACCAGCTAGAAAGCATGTTGAACTGGTCTTGGGAATGATGATTTGAATGTGGTGGGTTTGGTACAGCATTGAGCACTCTCATCCCCTTTGAGGGAAGGCAATCAAGTTCAGGGGTGGAAGACATGCTCTGAATGCAGAAGGACCCAGACTGAAACTCCAGTTAGTAAGCCGGCAGGGTTGGGGAAGATCCTTCTCTCCTTAAGAATTTGGAGAGCTGCTATCCTCTATGGATGAATGTTTTGGCTCAGTGTAAAGGTGGCTTCATATCTCTGCATCTTTCCTTTTCTTTTAACAAGCATTATGCATGTTTATGAAAGGGCTATCCAAGACATCTAGCTGCTGGAGATGTAATAGGGGCAATGCAGCTTAAAAACATACAAGGTTTTCTTACAATGTCCTATATGGGCAAATTTTTTGTAAAGGGATCAACACAACTGTATGGTGAAAAATCTCAAATTTGCAGAGGAAAATATCCTTCTGAATTATACACCTAACAAAGGAACAATATGTATGGAATCTCCATGCCCTTAACTATGGCAAAAAGACTGGTATTGATGAACTGGAAGAATAAAAATGGGGCTTCTTTTAACAAATGGATAGAAGATATGTAGAATCTGGCATCACATGAACAAGTTGTGTACAAACGTAGACTTGCCATGGACAAATTTAGTGATATTTGGATGGGCAATAGCAGTCCCTTTCTAGCTTTTATTTTTCGTCCTAAGTTCACTTCTCACATTTACACACCAGTTTGTGATTGTTTTTAAGTCCTCATGAAAATCCAGCAGCATTTATAGTGTGGCTGTCTCCTCATATGCACAACTTTGTGTATATTAATGTGCACAGTTTTGCAAAGCTGCTTCCTCTTATATAATGCACCTTTGCATGCCATTTTCACTCACATATGCATTTTCCCACACAGTTCACCCTAGTGTATGCATTTTCCCATGTTACTTGGCTGGAGAATTGCACTGCAAAGTTCAGAGAAGGGCAGATTTCAAAAGGATGGCTATGTTTTGGTTCACAATTGTTTTGGAAACTGCGAATTAGGCTAAGTTTGCCTTTCGATGAGAACTGAATCAAATTTTTCCATTGTCCCTACTGAGCAGCAGGGGCAGACTGAAGTTCTCAATAAAGCAGTCTGAGAAAAGGCATAGAGAAGCTCAGATCTTTGCATGGCCAATGCCTTGCTATCGCCAACATCAGCAGCCAGGTGCGCCCACTGGGGGCCCCTTACCCAAGACTCTCCCAAAACCTGGAGCCTGCAAGGAAGAGGGTGGGGGATGGAGTCAAGAGATCTCTCGGTTGCTTCACATGGCATAAACAAATAGGCCGGCCAGCCTCACTGCCATAAAGCCACAACTGTCAATATTACCACCCATAAAAAGAAGACCATGGACCCAACCCCACCCGTAATTACAACCTCCAACAGGAAGAAAGTCAACAGAGAGAAAGTCTGGTTTTCAAAAGCTCTCCATTTGCTCTCTGAAAATAAACACAGTGTGAAAGAAATGCAGACCAGTAGTAACCTTGACTGCGCTATTTGCATGTGTGTGCATGTGTCTATGTTAAACGGTGCTCCTAGGACTGTGGAAAAGGCCTGTATGAAGCTGGAAGATTCAGGACAGGCAACAGGAGGTACTTCTTCACATGGCACTTAGCTAAACTCGCTCCCACAAGATGCATTGACAGTCACCAACTCGGAAAGCTTTAGACAAATTCATGGAGGACAAGGCCTTTAGCCACAGTGGCTATGTTCTCCTTCCACTGTTGGAGGCAGCATGCCACTGCACTCAGGTCTTGCTTGTGGGCTTCCCATAGGCATCTCGTTTGGGCGCTTTGAAGAAAAGATGCTAGACAAGATGGGTCCTTGACCTGATCCAGCAGGGCTCCTTTTCTTATGCTCTTGCATTCCAGTCAGGGTGAATTACACCCTGGATTGAATCAGCTTGGAGTCAAAGGCAACAGAGTGGGCTGTACTGCTTCTCACTACAGGTAGGCAACTGATGTTCACAAATATTCCCAAGATTCTAGCCTTGCCTGCTCCTTGCTATGCTCGTTTTCTACCTGCAGGGACGTCTTTTAACCAGGGGAGTGAGATTCCTCACACCTGTGGTTCAGAATGACAACAGACTATTCTACCACAGCGAGCGTCTGCCACTGGGGTGGGGCGGTGGCTGTTCCAAACCAGGATGTGAGCTTGTGAACAGTTTGCTGTGTTCAGAATTGCAGCCCATCCCAACCGAAGCTAATTTCCTGCCCTTCAAATGAACTTATTAAATGAGTTTTACAATCTGGGGTAGGGCCAAGCCCAAGCAGTAGCAAACATATTCCTGGAATGGAAATCAGAGAGTGGAACTCAACGCTGAGCTAAGGAAACAAAGATTTCTGCTTGCCAGGCAGAATGATCTTCTCTCCCCTCAACTGACCTGTTCTGGGGGTTCTTCCACTACCCCCAGAGCCGATTTGGGGGATGGCACAAGAGGGTGGGAAGCCCTCATTGCGTTAGCTCGACTCATTGTGACTAGTCCCACTAGCACAGCTATTTACTTGAATCCAGCCCAGGGTATCCCCTAGGACAAGCACGTCCAACTCCCAAGAGGTAAAAAAACTGGCAGCGATCTACCCATTGTCATTGGAGGGAGGAGGAGTATGCGTGGGGTGGGTGGGTGGAAGCGGGGGGAGATTGACCAGAGTTGTTGAACTTTTCTTGTAAAGGGTTGCTCACAGTTGTTGAGCTTATTGGGGGGGGCAGGGTTCTTAAGGTATTTTTTTTGGGGGGGTGTCAAACATTGATCACCAGCCTGTCCTACACTGCCCCTCGCATGCGTCACGCTTAATTGCAATTGCTGCCTCACTAAGCTCCCCTTGCTGCTGCTGCGGCAGCAGAGGGACCTGGCGCCGGGGGACAGGGGGCAGTGACATTCCTTGCCCACTTTATTTCATCCCGTGATCGACCACAATCACCCACGATCTACCAGGATCACCCTGGGGATCTACCTGTCGATCACGGTCGACTGGTTGGACGTGTCTGCCCTAGGAGACTGGGAGTTTTGTAGAGTTGGAAGGGACCCAAGGGTCATCTGGTCCAACCCCCTGCAATGCAGGAAACACAGCTCAAGAAACTTCTTTTTAAAAACCTCCAATGAAGGAGAGCCCACCACCATCTCCAACTCCTCCTGCCATTTGCCTATTCGACTTATAAAGCCATCTAAGCCAGCAGCCATCACCCCATCTTGCGGCCTAGAGTTCCGTAAGTTAAACTTATGGAACTGTCTCTCTCCCACCCCCACCCCCCGCGTTCTGCATTTGTTACCAATCAACTTTACTGTGGCCACTGCAAGTTCTAGTGTTATGAGAGAGGGCAGAGGAAAAATTATCCATTCTTCATCTCACTTCACCACTGTTTTAATGATTGCTTTCTTTCAACACTGCTGTACACCACATTGATATTTTATGAGGGCTCTTTCTCTCTGTGTATGTATATGAGATATATACATACATCCATACACACACACACACCACATGCACACTTATAAACAATAATAAACTTTTTTAAAAATGCGGCAGCCACTCATGTTCAATGCTGGCTCAAGGCCTCCTAGGGCCTCTCTTGCCAACAGACTCCTCAGGCTTTTGCAAAGGGCCACCTGGGAACCATGGCAACACAGTTTGAAATCCTTTCGGCTGACCTTGACAGTTCAAAAGGAAAAAGAAAACAGAGAGAGAGAGAGAGAGAGAAAGGGGCTGCTGTTCCACTCAGCAGACCCACCCACCTCTTTCACTCTCGCAGGCCCCAGCCGAGGGCCTCTCCTTCACCTCCAAGCCCACCCACCCCAAACCACGAGGGAGTGCTGAAGACGGACAGCCTGCTGTCATGGGAACCATCCAGAACACCATCCCGCCCCCTGAGCTTCCCACACCACAGGCCCTGCCAGCTTTTGCAAGAAGGGCGTTTGGGAGAGATTGAAGGATCGCCCCCACACTCCACACACAGGGTGAACCCTCCGAGATGCTTTTGGCTTCCCTACTCCCATTGGCCACAGCCGGCATTGGCCAAGGCTGGGAGTTGCAGGGCAACATCAGGAGGGCAACAGGTGGCTACCCCGATCCCACGTGAGGTGCCAGGGCTTGGTTGGCCTCCCTGCTCTGGAGAATTAAAGCAGCATTTCTCAAGTTGGGTGCGGGCGTGTCTGCATGTCAACAGTTTTACGTGTCTTTTGACCAATAGAGCAGGGGTTTACGAACCCCCGGCATTGCAGAAAGGAAGGAATGGAGATTCCGACGGATGTTATAGCTGTGCCAGGCCCACAAGGCCATCTTGAAATGGTGGAAAGATGTTAAGGGTGTGAAAGCAGCCCTGCTGCCTCAAGCCAGTGGCCCACCTAGTCCGGCATCCTGTTCTTACAGTGGCCAATAAAACGCCTCTGGGAAGCCCACAAATGGAACCTAAGCACAAACTCCTTTTTTTCGATTCCCAGCAACTGGCATTCAGGGACAGACTGTCTCCAACACTGGAGCAGAACACAGCCCTTGTGGCTAGTAGCCACTGGCAGCCTTATCCCCCTATCAGTCTCCAGTCAGATGGGTGGGGTATAAGTAATAATTTTATGATGTTGATGATGTCTGCTTCTTATGCAGTTTCCTCATTTCCAGTCCTTCTCTACGTTCTTCTTTAAAAGCAAAGGACTTATCTGTTGAGATCGCATAAGCACCAGGAACCTGCACTGTATAGAAAAGCTAACTACAGCAATTGTTGTAATTTGGAGGTATCTGTTAGGCAAATGTTTTAAACTTGGCCACTGGCTTGCAAACCAGGAGGAGGCCAGGCCTTTTCACCCTCGAGCCCCAGGGGTCAGCCCAGCCTTGGACTATATGTCATTAGTTTTGCAGCTGGCTTCTTTTGCCTGAAGTGTTTTTAATGAAGGTATTTTGTGGGGCAAGGATGACAGGAACACAAAAGAATTCTTCTCACTTCACTCCCCACCAGGAGTCTTTCCATATGCAATCCAAGGTGCTCACTTCTTGGTGTTCAAAAGCGCTAAATCACATGTAAATCAGTGGAGATGGGTCCATTAGTTCCCATATGGGAATCTGCCCCATTGACCTCATTCTGCTCCTAGGCAGTCTCCACCTGCCTGCCTTTGCATCCAAGTCCAGGGCTTGGCACTGCCTGCCAGCTTCTTCCTCCTCAGTCTCAGGGTTGCCACTACAGGACTCCGTAAGGGGGAAAACTAGGACCAGTTGGCTCTGCTTGCCATTGGCTCTGACTCCAACTACTGTGGGGCTCCAGCCCTGCCTGCCTCAATAGGCACCAGCCACCACTTGTGTTAATCCATCCATCCATCCATCCATCCATCACAACAACAACAACAACATTGTTATTTATATGCTGCCCATCTGACTGGGTTGCCCCAGCCACTCTGGGCAGCTCCCAACAAAGTGTTAAAAGCGCAATGAAAAATCAACCGTTAAAAACTTCTCTAAACAGGGCTGTTTTCAGGTGTCTACAGGAAGTCATATAATCGTTTATCTCCTCGACATGCGATAGGAGGGGGTTCCACAGGGCGGGCACCACTGCCGAGAAGACCCTCTGCCCGGTTCCCTGTAGCTTCCCATCTTGCAGTGAGGGAACCCCCAGAAGGCCTTTGGAGCTGGACCTCAATGTCCAGGCTGGAAGATCTGCCACCTTCAGAAGTGCAGGGGATGGAGGGCCTGGAGAGGATAGAGGCTGGATAGCTCAGCTGGTTAGAAAGTGTGGTGCTGATAACACCAAGGTCGCAGGTTCGATCCCCATAAGCGACAGCTGCATATTCCTCAATTGCATGCGGTTGGGCAAGATGATTCTCAGGGTTCATTCCAACTGTATGATTCTATGATAAGATGGGCTTCCTCTGCGGCAGCCCCTAAATTGCGGAACTCCCTCCTAACAGAAGAGCACCCAGCATCTTCACCCTGGCCTTTGACAGTTAAAGGGATTTTGTTTTTAGGGACCCACCTCTTCTGCTGAATTTACACCATTCTGTTCCATCTTACTTGTTTTTCTTGTATATTATTGTTGTCACCTACTTTGATACCTTACGGTGAAGGTGATGTAAGAAACCTTATTGATATGTAATAATTATAACACCCAGCCAGCCAGCACGAGACATCGCTCCCTTCTTCTAATTAAAGAGCAGGAGATCCTGTGGCCCACGCAGCCACTTTTATTAAGGCTGACGGGCTTCCCAGGGGAATCTGCCAGTGGCCCACTTTAAATACCCAATAGGAGAACATCCCCCTCCTACGCCACGGCTGCTGCTGCTGCTGCAGCCCCATCTCCAAATCCCCAGTGCCGCCAATTAATAGCTAGGCTGAAAATCCCCTCCCAGAGAACAACCTTGGAATGACCCACCAGCGCGGAGGCTGAACATTACAGCATGCAAAAGGCAGAACACACTTTTGCGCGCACACACACACACACACACACACAATTATCCAGGCCCTGTGCTCCAATGACCCTTTGGAACCTATCAACTAAAAAAACTATGCTTAAGCGGGGGGGGGGGAACGGGGGTTGTTAGCCCACAGCATACCAAAAAATATATATGAGTTTTTCAAAGTAAATTGAGGACTAGAAACTTAAAGCAATAGGTTTTTTTCCCCAGTTTGGGACTGAAGCAGGGTGACGCTTAGAGTCCCAAGAAGTAGCATTGTTCAGATAATACACAAACACAGTTCAGTAAATCCATAGTTGTACACACACACACACACACACACACACACACACACGAACTGACTAATATCAAGGCTTCTTTGGGCTGGACAAATAATGAAGCCTGCAAGATACAGTGGGTTTTTAATTCATTTTTAAAAGTATCTTGAGGACTAGCACCTTGCTCTTTTGAAAGCAGAGCTTCTCAGAGCCTTTGGAATGAAGCAGGTGGTGCACAAAAGCTGCTTCAGTATGAACATAGCAGCTGAGATCCGAAGGGCCACAGTGCAGTCTTAGAGCACGTTGCTTTCCATGCAGAAGATCACAGGTTCAATCCCTGGAACCTTCACTTAAAAGGATCACATAGCACAGTAGTGGAAAAGACATTTTCTCCAGAGATTGCACTTGGCACCTTCTGTGTGTAAATCACAGTGCACAGCTCACATTGTGCAGACGACACACATCAGGGAAGGGCTACCAATCAGTGGTAGAGCTCATGCTTTGTGCATAAAAGATTCCAGGTTCAAGGTTGAAAGAGACCCTGGAGGGCTGCGGCCATGTCAGTGTAGACAAAACTGAGCGAGATGGACCAATAGTCTGGTTAACAAAAATCAGCCCTTGATTCAGATCCATAAGGACTGGAGTTGTTATTTTTAAAAGGAGAGCCACGTCATACAGGAAGTACCAGGTTCAATCCCTGACATCTCCAGACAGAGACGAGAGCTGTTGCCAGACCAAAAATGCTAAGCTAGTTTGTGAGACAGGATGACTGATTCTACCTAAAGCAGCTGCCTGTGTACTTTCTACGTTGCTCTGCGGTGCCACTTGCCACCTCACAGGAAAGGCCAAACACACAAACCAAAGGTCTCCTTCCAAAAACCTCTGTGCGCCTTAACAGAAGATCTGTCTAGGTAGGAAAGCTCCCAAAACAACACTGGTGTGGTTGGGCAGAGATGCTTATGGGTAGTCAGAATGCATGCATGTGTACAAACAAATGCACAAACACACCATCCCCACCCACCATTCCCAGAGAGACCCCCAACCCCCTGCTCCATCTCTCCCTCCATCCCCGCTTCCCCACCCAGCAGGAGCTGCCAAGCAGCCAAGGCTTCGAGGCAGGATTAGGAGATTAGAAAGAAACAAAGGGGCCTGCAAGCAGCATCCATCTGACCTTTGTGCCCCCACCAAGAAAAGGGCCTTTGTGCAGGCCCAGGCCCCAGCCCCTTCTCTTTCCCAGCCCATCAACAGAGCCGCTCCTTCCGTCTCCTTGCTCGCATCCTCTTGCTCTGCAGCCCCTCGCGGGAGCATCGCAGGACACCGGTTGCTCATATAATCGCCGTCTGTGGGGTTAGGGGGAGTTCGGAAGCTGCTTTGATAGGAGGTCAGGCTAGTCTTTTGTAAGTTGCCTTGGGAGGGCTTTGCCACAAATGGCAGGGTACAAGTACCTTAAATAAAACAAACAGTTGCGTCTGTTTGGCTAGTGCACGGAACCTGTGATGATCCAGATGTTACTGAACTGCGACTCCCATCACCCCTGGCCATAGGCCATGCTTGCCGGGGCTGATGGGAGCTGCAGTTCAGCAAGACAGAGCATGAGACTCTTGATCTCAGGGTAGTGGGTTTGAGTCTCACATTGGGCAAAAGATTCCTGCATTGCAGAGGGTTGGACTAGATGTCCCTTCCAACTCTACAATTCTATGATTCCATGAGAAGATCTGAAGGCCCAGGGGTTCCCTACACCTGTGTTAATGGCTCTCTGACAGAGGAAAGACTTCCCATCTCCTTTTTTAAGTGGAGAGGCCGAGGATTGAACCTGGGACCTTCTGAATGCAAAGCAGGCGTTCTGCCGCTGAGCTGTTGTGCCAGGCATGGTGGCAGTGGTCAGTAAGGTCAGGCCAGGCCCTGGACTGAGGACCTCAGGAACTGAAGAGGGTCCCTCACTGGCCCAGCTGCATCACTATTTCCAGTCTCTCCTGAGGGACAGCCCAAATGCTTCATGTTTGTTAAGGGTGCTGGGATTTATAGTTCTGCAACAAACTACAGTTCCCAGGATTCTTTGAGAGTGGCCATGACTCTTAAAAGAGGTATAAGAGTGCTTTAAACAGTGAACTAATCACCAGGCTTAATTCTTGGGCTGCTCTTTCATGTGAAAGTGACAGGTAACCTTTCCGAACCTGGTGCGCTCCAGAAGTTCTGGATTACAACAGGTCAGGGCTTATGGGAGTTGTAGCTCAAAAGGGCACCAGGTTGGGGAAAGCTGTGATAGATGAAATACAATTCCTTCCCATCTGGCCCCCTTCAGGATAGTCCAGGCTCCTTCCCTGAATATTCTGGTTTTCGATTAAAAAGCCTCTAGTCCTCTTACTTGCAGGTGCAATGAAAATATGTCCAGCGTTATTGTACAGTTAAGTAGTACAGCTCAGTAAGTTGTAATACAATTAAATGATTATAAACACATTAGGCTACCTGTAGTTACGTTATATCTGTTCTGCAAGACTCCATAGCCTGCTAGGCCCCTCACTCTAGGGTTGCCATATTTCAAACAAATTGTTGACTTTTTATTTAGAAAATTCCCAAAGTTGTTGAGTTGTTTTTTGTTTTTTTGTAAGACATCCCAACTCCCATAAGCCCTAGCCAGTGGTCTGGAGATGATGGGACTTGTAGTCCGGCAACTTTCTTTTCTTTTCTTTTCTCTCCCCCCCCCCCCCGGGGCAATTCTGTATCTTTAAATGCCTCATCATGCCTAGTTTGTTCCTCAGCCAGTATATACTCCAGAACAAACACCTAATGTGCCCCCCCCAAACCATTTGTCCAGGCCAATGCCTTACCCAAAAAGACCCAAGCAAATGCACTGAAACAAATCACAGAAATTGCAAGCATTTTCAATACGAATAGCTCTTCCTAGTTTCTCTGTCTCTCTCGCACACAGGGATTGAAGCGGTGCCTGCTCCCAAGCCCAGGGGGTGCGAAGCAAAAGTGTGCCCAGCCCTTCATCTCCTCATCCCCCAACTCACCACCACCACCACCAGCCCGTCAATAAAGGGGTGGGTGGTGGGCAGACTGTGCTTGGGGCATTTCCTGCCTTGCTTCAGCAGGCACCCATTGATGCATGCAAAGCCCCTTTCCCTTGGGGAGCCAGCATCCCCGTCCGCCCGCCCCACTGCAGCCTCAGTAGCGCAGACCTCTCTGCAGCCCAGGGTGATGGGGGCTGGTTGGATCTGCACGCTGTCTCTGATCACATCAGACAGTGTAGGGTGGGTAACTCATGACAAGGGAACCCCACCTGTCACTCTGCGTGGCCAGCCAAGCGTCCCTCCTGAGTACCTTGCGTTAGACGCATACTAGCTCCACGCCATCGAATTATGCATGGTGCAGAAGAAGTTGATAGGAAAGAAAGGGTGAAAACTTTCCTCTAACACTGGAACTCTGGGAACATCCAATGAAGCTGAATGCTGCAAGATTCCAGGACAGACAAAAGACAGAACTTCTTCACACGGCACAAAGTAAAACTACAGGTTTTTGCTTCCAGTGGAGGCTGTGACGGCCACCAACCTGGACGGCTTGAAAGCAGGATTAAACAACAGCATGGGGGTGAGGAATGGCTACTGGCTACAATGGCTTGTCCTCCCTTCACGGTCAGAGGCAATGTAGCTCTGAATTCCAATTGCTGGAAACAACAGGTTGGGAGAGTAGCTGCTGCGTTCAGCAGCTCCTGCTTTTGGTTTCCCCAAAGGCCTCTAAGCTGGCCATTGTGAGATCAGGATGCTGGATTAGATGGGCCACTCGCCAGCCTCTCCTTATGTCCTTGTTTTCTTACAGGTAACTCCCACCTGGACCAATGGGAGTGTGAGCATTGCGGACAAACGCCAGCTCCCTCGGCCTGTAGCGAGATAAGCGCCGCACCCCATAGTCACCTTTGACTGGACTTAACCGTCCAGGGGTCCTTTACCTTTTTATTAAGCATTTGACAAAATCTTTTACTAGTTAACAAAAATGTATGGGTTGTTTTGTTTTAACCTGATCACATTTCTTATTTGTTCAAGTTTGCAGCTCTGGCTGAGAGTGTGCGTCACAATTTGGTTTGATGTGCACAAAAACAAGATGAGAAACTCATCAAATGCCAAAAAACCAACAAGCGTCTAGATTTGAGGTCCTGGTCCTCATCCCCCGACTGGTCCTGCCTCCTTCTGTTCCCTTTTGGCTCTTTCTATCAATCAAAATATAAAACCCTACTAAAGCTCTTCAGGACAAACTTGCTCTGTAAAATCACCTTGACGTACGTGAAAACAGAGTCATAAATTAATAAATAATAATGTTGTTTTTTTTAAAGTCCAGTACATTGTGAGTAGGGAGTCTGTGGCCCTGCAGATGTTGTTGGACTCCAACTCCCATCAGCCACATCCAGCATGGCCAGAGATCAGGGATGATGGGAGCTGTAGTTCAGCAACATCTGGAGAACCAGAAGTTCTGCATCCCTACTTTATTCCTTTTTTGGAGAGGAGGGGGAGGAAACAGAACCTAGTTAGTTCTGCTATGGCCCGGTTATTATCAGATTGTGATAATATGGAAGCAGGCTTTTAAACTGGTGGTACCAGTGCTATGGAACGCCCACCCTACTGAAAGACGAGAGGCCCCATCAGTAGTGCTGGCAGGCTGCCAACCCTTGGAGACCCACCTGTTTAGGCAAGCATTCCTCTGAACTTGAAGCTACAGATGTAATCGTTTTTAACTATTTTAATTTTTACGCTTTTAACCTGGCTTTTTTATTGCATATTTTCATTGCAGGTGTTTTCAATGCTTTGTGGAAACTATTTTAACGTATATTAAAGAATACACAATGTTACATTCCATATGATTTCTTTTAGTATTTTAAACTTGGGCACCTTGGCAGAAAATGCAATAAATAAATTCATATTTCAATTAATGTACAAATTGTATAATTGATTTTTTTCACTTGTAAACCCCACATAAGCCATTTTGTCATGTAAGTGGCATATAAAGTTAATAATCAATAATAATAAAAGGAAGGGTAGGCAGCGAAGCTGACTCACCTACGTACTCCGGATCCACACGTGGGGAATAGAGGCCGAATTTGATAAAGATGGGGAGGAGGAAGCCAAAACGCACCCACTCAATAACATAGAGGGGAGGAGTCGCTTCGTCTGGCTTCAGTAGGTCGCAGCCCAAAATGGCGCTCTCTCCCGTCCGGCCAATCACAGCACGGGGCTCTGCTTCACGGGTACCTGCTAGTGGTAAAGTCAGAAGCACATTTTATTTTATTTTTTTCTATTTATTCCATGGAATTTATATACCACTTGATTGTAGGGGGGGGGGAACCCTCAAAGTGGTTTACCAAAAAGGCAAACAAAGGCTTTCCGTGCAGCCTTGAAAAAAGGCTTCCAAAAGTTTTAAAAGTTCTAGTCCAGAGGCTGGCATGCCTTTGGGGGCCCGTAGGGACACCTGGATTTTTGAGTAACTGCTGTCACAAAATGGCTGCCAAAAGGGGTTTCGCACACACAAAATGGCTGCCACATCGAAAAGGAAAAAAGAGGCAATAGGGGAGAAATCACCTATATAAGCCAACACCACACTTGGTTAAAGAGAAGCTCTTTGCACCTTTCCTCTGTTCGGATGGGGCCGGGAGTCCAATTCTAGTATTCAATTAAAAGTTTACATGTTCAGTGTAGGTGAGGCTGAAACAGCGTGAAAAAGAACTGAACAAGAACACCAAACAGCCTCTCACGCATTGTGTAGTTTTGAGAGAATATTGTCCCGTCTAGCCCTGACCTGGTACCAGACACCCCCAAGGCCGAGGACCTCAAGCAACAGGAGGGGACCCCTGAATCCAATGCTGAAGATTCCCTTGAGGGGCTCTCTGGCTTGATACCTGGAACTGTCATGAGGAGGAGGAAGAGATGGGGCAGCCCCCCCAGTCCTCAAGAGCAACAGGTCTAAGTCCAGGCAAAAGTGTGACAGCACACTATGCACCCACAGACTGACAGTCATTGGTCTACTTGTGAGTAAGAGGCTTATCTGTGAGTAAGCAATCCCCACTACTCCATCACAGCTAGCAGCTGTGGTTAGAGTATGGTTTAGGAGGCAAGAATATGGAAACCAAGCCTTATGAGGAACGGTTGAAGGAGAGACTGAGAGAAGATATAACAGTTATCATCAAATATCTAAAGGGCTGTCGCATGGAAGATGGAGCACACTTGTTTTCTCCTGCTCTAAAGGGTAGGACTTGATCCAATGGATTCAAATGACAAGAAAGGAGATTCTGACTAAGCATCAGGAAGAACTTTCTGACAGGAAGAGCTGTTCAGTAGTGGAACCAACTCCCTTGGTAGGTTGTGGACTCTCCTTCCTTGGAAGTTTTTAGCAGAAGTTGGATGGTCATCTGTAATGGATGCTTTAGTTGAGATTCCTGCACTGCAGGGGTTGGATTAGGTTCCTTCAAATTCTACAGTTCTGTGGTTTAAGACCTCCCTCGAGTCATCTAGTTGCTGTGAACAAGAAAAGTCTTTGGCTCTCAGCTCTGGATTCTAATTTTTTGTGCTATAATTTGCCTGAGATTAAGGCTGGACTTCTGCCTGGTTTTGGCTCTGGCTCACGGTGGGACCAAGACTGATTCTCCACACTTGAACTTGCCTTGTTTGGACTGTGTTACATCTGCAACCCTGCCTTCATTGGTGACATCTTTAGTCAAGGCTTATACAGTGGTACCTCGGGTTAAGTACTTAATTCGTTCCGGAGGTCCGTACTTAACCTGAAACTGTTCTTAACCTGAAGCACCACTTTAGCTAATGGGGCCTCCTGCTGCTGCCGCGCCACCAGAGCACGATTTCTGTTCTCATCCTGAAGCAAAGTTCTTAACCTGAAGCACTATTTCTGGGTTAGCGGAGTCTGTAACCTGAAGCGTATGTAACCTGAAGCATATGTAACCCGAGTACCACTGTATAAACTGTACTGGAGGTCACAGTCCCACTAAACAGGGATGTTGTGGTCTTTCTAGTCCCTTCAACTTGCAGGCAGTGCTGGATTTTCCGCATGATGGGCTCCATCTGCAGCCCCTAATGCTATGCTCTTTGCGCTTTCCCTCATTCACTCAACATGCTCTATTGCCAAAAAAGTGGCACTCTTGATCCACACCCCAGATCAAAAGTGCCACTTTCCCCCTCCCTAATAGCGTTCCTGTGCCTTTCCAAATAGCAGCAGGACAGGCAGAAATACAGTGTATTTTTTCTCAGCACACAAATGCAGTAAAGCTTCACCTGCTAAAAGCCAACCTATCACGGGGCTGGGAAGCAAGTTGGCCACACTAATTTGTGAATTACTGCCGCACAGAAAGGCATCCGGAAGCAAAAAGGCAGCTTCTTAATTGAGCAGAGGGAAATCAACAGGCGGAAAGTTAAGTTACAGAAATCCCAGGGAAAACAGGAGTGCTACACACTTGGCTGGCTATGTAGACTTGAGTCTGCAAGAAATTTACATTCGTAGACTCCTTCTACTGACAAATGCAGCCTGGTTGCCAATTCTTTCGGCTCCTAAAGTTCCCATTATAAGCAAACAATGGATGATTCAAAGATGTCTGTGTGCTATGACTCTCAATAATGAAACGAATAATGAAAACCAAGTTTCTAGTCCCTAGGCTTACAAAGACCAGTTCCATAGGGCTATATTAACTTGTACCTCACTTAAAAAGAATGTGTTTTATATACCTTATACTGTTGTAAGTTGTGGTGCAAGTAAGGGAACATAAGTTTTCATAATGTATTTTTGGTGGTCTCCAAGGAAATAAACAAAAAACAAAAAACACCAAAACAAAACAAACCCCCAAAAGATTTATTTAAGGAATGGGGAACCTCGGGCCTAGGGGATAAAAGCAGCCTGGAGAGATTTCCAAGGGCCAGACAGAGAGATCTAGAGGGCCGTGGGCCAGAGGTGCTCCACCTCTGGGCAATACAGTCTTCAGTCACCGGCTCCGCCCACTTTGGGCTTTGGCTCCGCCCACCACCAGCTGCAGCCCCCCCATGACATTTCCCTAGGGTCAGCGGCCCTTCATACCCTATTGGAAAGACTAAGTGCACTGTCAGCATCGTCCTCCAAAAGAGAGACGAACGAAAAACCTTTGCCCACCTTCAGCGAAGCTGTTGCAGACCAGGGCAAGGCGGACAATCCATAAACGCCAATTCATAGCACAGCTGCCCCCACCAGACACCTCGCAGCACCGCCAAAACCGCCCACTTGCCGTAACACCGAGCCGGCAAGCTGACCAGCTGCACGCTTGAGGAAGGAGGTGGGAGAACAGAGGGTCAGGCTGCCCCTTGCAGCTCAGGAGACACCATCGGACGATCCCTGGGGAACCTGGTGATGGAGCCTTGCAGCTCGTACGCCGTTTCTCATCCCCACAATGCCCTTTGGAGCAGCACCGGTTTCTGCCACTCTAGCAAGGAAGTCTCAAGACTTCAGAGCTTTCTGTCGAAATCTGCACCTCAGCATAGACCAAACCCTGTGGGAGCAAAAGATCCAGAAAGGGGAAATTAATTCAGATTTATCTTTATCCATACATAATAAAAGGTTATTTAGCTGAGGTATTCATGCAATACAGTACTGCAGCACACATCGATACATACAATAGCATACAAAATGCCACAAAGTGGTACAAAAAGTTGTGACTGGCTGATAAAAAATAAAATAAAAGGGGTTTCATTTTATTCCATCAAATCCCCACTCGGCCGTGAAACTCACCTCGGGCCAGTCATGGCCTCTCAGCCTAACCTACCTCACAGGGTCACTGTGGGGATTAAAATAAGGAGTGGAAGAAACATGAAAATAATGAAATGTCTTCAAGAGATACCTGGAAATAAAAAAATGAGGGTCACTACCAACCACATCTGGAGGACCACAGGTTCCTCAATCTTGTTCTTACTCATTCTTGTAAATCTGCTCTTACGGACCAGACGTTATGCCTAACCGAAATCTACTCTTCTGCAATTCCAGTTCATGGGCTCCAATACCAGCAACAGAGAACAAGCCTGTCTCTACTGGGGCCCGTGTTTTGTTAGCCCCAAAATGGAAAACAAGCAATGTCCCAACCAAAGAAGAATAGTAACTTAAGTTGATAGAATATGCACAACTTACAGACTTAACATATAGAATATTAAAGAAGGCTGGAAAACATTAATTGAATATATGGTAAATTGTGTACAGCTGAAAATGTTGGCAGCATTAAGATAAATTTGACAGTGTAAATAGGTTTGGATGGATGCAATAATGGAATACTGACTGGTATAGTTTTTTCAAAATATGCAGGGATTTAAGATCTGTAAAATGAACCATGGAAAGAGAAGGGAAGGCATTGATATCTTAAGGATGCAATGTGAGCATTTGAAATTGTAAAACAGAAAATTTAATAATTATTATTATTTTAAAAAATGAATGACTCTCGTTCCCCAAGCCCTTGAAATAGCTTAGATTGTAAAGGGGAATACAGAAGGGTGTGTCACTGTATATAGAAACTAGCCTACTGTGTGCAAAGGTAAAATTCACAGGTACCGTAATTTCCCTGCTCACCAGTCACAGGGACTTTTGAAGGTTGCCCAGAAGGTAACATGGTCCTTGGGCATAGAAAGAGTTTCCTGTTCCCTTTTACAGAAGCAAGAAAGCTGATGGACTGACAGATTCAACTCTGCAAAAATCTCCTATTCTGCCTCCTTCCCCTCCTCAGCCCTCATTACCTTTCCTCTCTCCATCTCCTTAGCCTCATCTCTCTCTTCTGCCTTTGGGGGGGGAAAGTGAGGTCTCATAAGCAGAGGCTCATAAGGAACCTCTGCTTTCCACCTTCCCAACAGAGAGAATTTTATAGATTTTGCCTGAAGCCCACCCATATCTATTTCTGCATTTAAAACACCCTGGGAAAAGGGGGAGGGGACGGGTGTGCCTTTCATTCCCCGCTCTCCCTAATATTCTCTCTCCTCTTCTTGTCGTTTCAAATCTTCGCAACTCTTCTAAATTAAAAACACACACGTCTTGGCCAGCAAGTAACTCCAGGCAGACTCCAACTCGCACAGGCTCAAGAGTTGTTTGGCCCACTTCGCGCTTTCTGATACGATCTGTGCAAAACTCGCTGATGGATGGGCTCTGGGGAAGACTGCAATTTGATTTTTATTTTAAAAAGCATTGGCTCGAAACTGAAGGCATGCAGGCCAATTCAGGTTAAATTGGGAGGATGGGGCCCTGGAAGTGTACAAATGCCAGCTCACAAAGGAGGCGGAATTCCCCCCCCCCCCAAAAAAAGATATTTATTTTGCTGCACAAAGTGTATTGAAGATCGGTTTATTTTTGTTGGTGGTTGGGCTTAAGAATGCTATGGCTGGGGCAGTTCCAGAAAACTAGGCCGCATTCACACCTACACGTTTAAAGCTCTATTATACCACTTTAACAGCCACGGCTTCCCTTGTGTTGTGGGGGCAAAACAGAGGTGCCTTTTCCTATATCAGGGTACAGCAACCTCAAAAGCCAAATGTGGCCCTCCAGGCTTCTCTGCACAGCCCTTGGGACCCCCGGCCACACCCCTCACTGGCCATACGCCATGCCCTGCCCTTTTCGTCTGAACTGAATGTTTTCTTAAGCTGTGTTAATGGCTGCACACTGTGTTGGAAACTCAGATGTATAATCTAGGAGCCAAATGGCTCCTTAAACCAGGGTTTTATTCGCCAAAATGGAGTGCCTAGTTGCCCGTTTTTTGGCCAGGCGGCTCAAAAGTCCTATTTTTCAATATGAATCTTTGGTTCCTGAAATTCATCCTGATTGCGTAAATAAAATATAACAGATATCCGCTCTCTGCCCTGGCATTCAGCTGGTACACAGGAAGCATGGTCCCTTGCTGCTACTGAGGACTAGTTTCACAGGCAGAACAGGTGCTGTATAGCAAAGCTCAGCTCCTCTTCCCTTTAACCCACACCTAAAGCTTGCCAATCCTTGCTCAATATTAGAGGGTCAGGGTCTTTATCCTAGCATCCCAGAAAGGTTACAGTTCCTCATCAAGTGTGTCTATATTCACCTTTGGAAGAGTTTACAACATGATTCCACCCAGTTCAACATCCTGCAAAACTTAGTGCACCCCGCCCCACTCTCTTTAAAATGAAAGCAAGTTTCTAGTCCTCATGGGCTGAAAATTGGCTTCAAAGTATGTGGGGAATACATTGTAAATTCTCAAGTAGGGGTGATGGGTCTCTTTCTTCTCTGCCTAAAGCAGGGCACCAGGATAAAGCCTTTGTGGTCTTTAAAAGAGGCCGTGTGAAATATACACACATAAAATTATCTAGGCATCAGTTTGTTTTGTTTCTCGCTTTCTAAGCAGACGATCAATGACCAGGGTTGGCACTTCAGTGCCTGTAGCTCACTGCCGTTCCCCATGATTACTGAAGCAGAAATGAATTTATGCGAACTAATGGGATGCGTGCCAATTTTCATGATTTACACAGGTTGCAGAATTCCTCTTTTCTCCTGCACATTCCTCCTCACCACACTGATGAAGTTTAGACTGTAAGCGCCTCGAGGCAAGAGCCTGTACATGACTGCACCACAGCAGACATGCGAGGCTACTGTTCGTGCAATTTCACTTTCGAGTCTATCAATTTACCGAACCTGCACACACTTTTATACAAGAAAAATCTATCTTGGGTTGGGGGAGGCATACATTTTCTAAAAACAATGTGCACCTATGTTGCAGCAGGTCTTAAAAGAGGCATTTGGTATTCCTGCTCTCAAACAGGAAAGAATACGTCTTCTAAGATGGTTCCTGCTGTCTGCAGTTTTAGTAAGTATATTTCTTTTTAAAATATTTAACATTTCCTCCAACGAACATGAGAAGAGCCTGCTGGATCAGGCCAATGGCTCATCTAGTCCAGCATTTTGTTCTTACAGTGGTCACCTATATGCCTGTGGGAAACCTTCAAGCAAAACTCAAGCAGCAGAGTTCAAGGTACCACACTTCATCTTCACAATACCCCTGTAGGGTAGGACAAGCTGGGACAAAGTGAATAGCCCAGGGTCACCACATAAGCTTCATGGCCAATTGGAGGATCAGAACTTAGGTCTCCCTTAGAGACTCTTAACTACCTGACAGGCCAATGCCTCTCCAGACATTCAGGATAATATTAAAGATAGGCTTCACTGTGTGTGGTGAAGTTTCTGCAGCTTTTTGGCCAAAGTTGAGTACGATTTCTGCCTCAGCGGATAGCTGACGACAAGCTATTCTCATCCTTGACTGTCAATCCAACCACACCAGCATGCAAAAATAATAATTGGCTGTCCAACTAACTGAGGGCATTATTACAGCTGATCAATTTTTTTAAAGCCAATTAATTAAGCAACCTAACCATGCAGCCATAACAACCACTCCCACAAAGACTGGACTGGTTGGGGGTAGGAGTTCTACCCCTTATTCTCCACACCCTGATTTTGTTGTCGGTGCTGGTCTACAAAATTTTGGTTTCTCCTGGGCTGCCATACACCTGGATTTTCCCGGACATATCTGGGCGGAAATCGGGCCAATGTCAGAGAAAATCCGAGCGTATGGCAGCCCATGTTGGAGGTTCCCTTTTTGCAGGTTTTTTTTCCCCTTTCTTTCAAAAATGGCATCTTTTCAGCGATCTTGCCCAAAAACTTTGGCAAAAAAAGAAGAGCTCAACAACTTTTCTGTTTGAAATATGGCAACCCTAGTTTCTCCCTTATCCTGCTGTTCCTCCATCTTGTTTCTTTGTGACACTGCTTTGGTTACTATCCTGCCGCCCACCACAGAGTTCGCTATTAGAAAGAGCTGCAGTTCACCACCCTGGTGTGCTGAAAGCCGCTCGCCCGCTCCAGAGCTTTCGGCTGATTTTTTTTGGAGTGCATTTTATATTGTTTCGTTAGCTACTTTGACTTTAAGAGAAGCTGGGGTACAAATGTTTTAAATGAACACAAAAAGGAACACAGTGCAATTTCCCCCCTCCTCCAGCAAATAATCAGGACTGGACAGGGATGCATGGAAAGGCAATCTCAGAAAGCTTTTATGCATGGTGGCTGGATCAGGCCAAAAGGCCCATCTAGTTTAGGATTCTGTTCTGACAAATGGCCAACCTACATTTAAAAGCAGGGGAATTAGAGAGAGGAAGAAGCAATTTTCTGGAAAGAGGAGCCTGCTAATACACTTATGACAAAATTAGAGTTGCTCAGTTACTCTGTCTTCTAGGGAAAAGTTTCTGGCTCCTGTTATTTATGAGAATAGCAAACCAAGAGTAGCAAAACCTCCTACAGATTGCACCTCAATGCCAGGTGAGAAAATCCAACCCATCACACCTCCACTTTGGAAGACCCCTCTATACAAAATATCACCACCGTGCTCTGCTTCCTCTGGGCACCACTGCCAAGCGACCAAACACACCGGCAGCCTTGCTGCTTTCTAATGAATAGATTTCCACTTTTCAAAGTAAAATAAGAACTCCTCTCAGCTCCGTAAGGAAAACAGACAGGGAGAGGAAGGACACTGTGCTTTTACGTGAGGAAAAGCGCTAAAATTGTTATTACTGATGATAACTGGTATCGATTGTGATAGTAAGTGGGCCAAGCTCCCATCTGCCAAATCCCCCTCTCTTGCTGAATTGTTCGTACAGCCTTCCTCCAGCCTGAGCCCCCAATCGCAAAGGGAGATCGGCCTCCATTTCCACCCCCAATAAATTTCTGGGGGAAGCGCTGGAACAAACAGCCAGTGCTGCATCTGGGATATATGCTCACGATGACCCAGTGTAAACGCAATAAAGCGCCTTGGGATATTTTGTATTAATTTGAATCTACAGCCAGGCGCCACCTTTCGGATTCACTTCCAAAGGTTCCAAAGCTTTCAAAGCACTCCAAAAACTGTCCACCAGGCTGGATATTTTAAACAAAGGGGAGGGGGTGTTGTTGAAACGAACAGTCTTTATGTTGAAGCCTGGAACCTGCAGTCGGTCACAGTCTCATAAGTTAGAAAACCTCCATATTTGGCTCTACACACTTTGATCCCCCACCCCAGGAGTTTCCAGCTGAAAGACCCAAGACTTCCACACTGCCCTGTTCCTGAGTGTGAAAAACCCAGGAGTCCTGCCTGCTCAGCCCCCACCTCTTCGAGCTGGGAGGGGAACCCTGGCACCCTGAGAATCCTTCTAGGCCAGAGATGGTGAGTATCAAACCGAGGGGCCAAATATGTCCCTCCAGTCCAGCCCTTGAGACTCTCCCAGGGCAACATCTCATCCTGGTCCTGCTCTGTTTCCACCTGGGTGAAATTTGCCCCTGAACTCCAAACCTTCTGCACAAAAGGAAACCGTGCATTCACTGTTCCTGCCCACTTGGAGGCCGATCACATATATGCATGTAGCCCAGGGAAGAGTGTCTCGAAGGGAATGTGGCCCTTGGGCTGAAACGGATTCCTCCCCTGCTCTAGAACAGACTCTCGGCTCTCCAAGACCACCCAGTTCTTCTCCCGGAGATGGAAGAGGAGGCTCTTACTTCCTAGCGACAAGCGTCTCCTCTGAGCAGAGGCTGTTTCCGACTCTCCACCGCAAACCACCAGACTTATCATCCCTCTCGCTTCAAAGCTGGACATGGAAAACCGCGATTCTGTGGATGGGCAGACCTCTCCCCCTATGCGCGCGGCGGCGGCAGCAGAGGTGCAGGTCCCAACTGCTGTTCCAGACTCCCCTCCCTCTGGGGAGACAACCCAGGCGTCCTGGCTCTCCCGGATCCGCCTCCCCAGCCCCCTGCCCGGCCCCGCTGGAGTTGGGAGGGGGAAGCAAGAGGAGGATCGCCGACCCACCAAACCCCGAAACTCTCTCCTGAACAGTTGGGGGCTCATTCGCCACAAAAGCTTCAGCTCCTACCAATTCCGCAGCCTCTCGAGACTAGGGGAAAAGCGCACGCATTATTATTAGATCCGGGCTCAAGGCGAGGGACCCCATAGCCCTCCTGTCTCCGATGCACAGAGGGTTTGTTTTTTTTACCTGCGCACTGGCGCCGCTTTGCTGTGCCCCCTCCCAGGAAGGGCTTTTCCGTCCCGGCCAGCCTCTGAGCTCCGGCAGCCGGCTCCATCAACAAGTCCCCAGCCAGCAAGCCGCGGCGCTCCCAGGCAGCTCTCACCGCTTGGGCGCAAACATTGCGCGCAGGATCGGCGCTCGGAGAGGGGATGTGCGCGCGCCCCTTTAATTTTCGGAATACCCTCTTTTTTCCTGCGATCAAATTTTAAGTATTTCCCCCTTTCAGTGTTCTCGCATCCCTCCACCCGCCTTGCAAGACACCGGATTCCCCTCAAGCGCAAAATAAGAAGGCGCGCGCGCAATCCGCCTGCGCTGAGATATAAGCGCTCCGATCTCAACTCGCTTCTCTTTAACTCCCCCAGCCAAGCTTTTGGCAAGAAAAACTCGCAGCACAATGGAGGGGCGGGTCCCCTGGCCCCCTCCCTTCCCCAAGCCGCTTTGTTGCCACAGGAACAGCCAATCCCGCGCCCAGAAACGCCTCTTGCGCCTTCCAAACTCACTAATCAGAAAAGCGGAAAGGCAGGACTTGAGAGCTTTTAAAAGAGGGGGCGGGCGAAGCTATGTGTGGATTTATAGCCATCAATGTCCGTTTCGTTTGCAAAGGCTTGTGGGAGATGTAGTTCACCCCCCGTGGGCCAAGGGCTCCTCTATTGATGCGGAGTGCCTCCTAGTGGAATGGGCTGATGAGCCTGTTGCAAAGGATGGTGATCTCTCTTCCCTCCCCATTTTACAAATGATTGCCCCCACCCTCAGAGCCAAAGGGGCCCCACCTGTCTTTCTAAATCTATTTTGATAATGCTGTTTTACTGGTTTTTATGTTGTCTCTCCATTCTGTTTTATTATATATTTATTACATTTAGTGGTTGCTTTTTAACCAAGGTAACTCAACATGACACACAAACAAAGAAACACATACATTGAAAAGGAAAAACGAATAAAATCCTATTTTTTTCAAAGGCAGGATTAAAACATTCTATCCATGGGTAATTAAGAGCCAAAGACCTGGTGAAAAATAAATATTTTTGCCTGAAGTCAGATGATGATTACAGGGTCCAGGTCGTTTCAGATGGAGAGAGGCAGACCATGAGGTGTTAGGGTCCTGAGCCATTTAAGGCTTTATAGGTCAAAACCAGCACTTTGAATTGGACCTGAAAACCAGTGGGCTGTCAGCAACTTGGCCACTGAATTCTGCACCAAGTCACCTTTAAAGGCAGTCGCACACATAATGCATTGCAGTAATCTAACCTAGAAACTACCTACCGGAGCATAGACAACAGAAGTTCGAATGTTTCATTTTTCGAACACCACTTAAAGATTTTTACTGAGCAGTGTATAAATGTTTTAAAATGAATGAACTCCCTGAATGAACTATGGCTATGTAAAGTCCAATCCCAAACCCTCCAGGTGTCCTTTTCATTCTGCATTCATGTGTATTCCGCAACCTGTCATTGACACAATAATAGCGTATTGGTGGTGGATTTCGACTGGACTGTCCACTTATCATTCCACGATATTAGCTGCTCTGCAGCGCTTCTCTGTTACTGTCGTCCGGAGGGGCACAGCATAATAAAAACTTAAACCTGTACAGTTGTGCTATGAAATATTACAGGATTTCAGCAGGGAGTTGCAAGGCATGCGCTGACTGGAAATGGAGAAGCATGTCCCCCATGAAACATTCGCAGGCGCAAACAGTGTAACTGCCCTGATAACGTCATGAGCACAAATAATCATGAATGCACAACAAAAAGGGCATTACGGAGAGTTCCAGTGAGCTCAGAAGAGCAGGAACCCCTCCAAGTAAATCCAAGACACATTCTACTTTCCCGGTGCTTTTTGGACAGGCTCTGAGATGCACAGGTGCATGATCAAATGTGACTCAACACGCCGCAGTGGGGAGCCCAGTCTCTCGCTGCGGCTTCTAAATTGCCACTCAAACCCAAACTCCCCTTCCATTCTCTACTTCCCCCTGGGCACAAAGCACACACCACTCTGACTGCACACACATCAGAGCCGGGCAAGGCAGCAGGTGTGTGACGGAGGGATTATTTTCCTCTCTCTAATCACTACCTCAGAGGGGCTGAAACAAGAGATATTGTTTGAAGTTCCCTTTAATCTAATCCTGGTCTGGGCGCAGGAGACATCTGATCTCTCGCTGCGGCGGCTGAGCTGGAAATACCTGTCTGGGCTCAAATCCATCCAGGCCTCCCCCTCCCCTTTATTTTGTCAAAGTTTTAAAATATATTTCCCGGCCAAGGAATGCATTGGAACAAGGCTCAAATTCCATTCACCCAGCCCCTCTAAGCCTTCACAAGTAGGAGCTGCTCTAGGAATCTGCATTTTACCAAATCAGACCAGGGTGCATCTCTCTCAATATCATCGAACACCAGAGGTTCCCAACCTTTATTTTTTTTTACACACCTGTGGGGTCACTTGAAAGTTGCTGAGGATTTTGGCAGATCACTCAATTATTATTATTATTTGCTTTCTGTTTTACAACAGAAAGCAAAATTAATAATAACTGAGTGATCCACCAAAATCCTCAGCAAAGAATTGTAATGTGCTGTGCTGGGGCTTCTTTTATTTGTTATATACTGTATTTTATTGTATAAGATTCAAATTGCATAGGGATAGCTCAGTCAGCAGAAGCATGAGACTCTTAATCTCAGGGTCGTGGGTTTGAACCCCACATTGGGCAAAAGGTTCCTGCGTTGCAGGGGTTGGACTAGATGACCCCCAGGATCCCTTCCAACTCTGCAGTTCTATGATTCTATGAATTCAAATTGTGATACAATAGAATGCAATATAGGAAATGAAATAAGCAATAAGCATACAATTAAAATTCAACAGGAGGCACATGCCATTTCCTGCTTTTAGCCGCAAACCCACAGACATGCCATGGACCAGCTCCATTAAATTCCCAAACTCCTGGTGGTCTGCAGGCTGCGGTTTGGGAACCCCAGGGAGTGGCTCTCCAGGCTTTCAGACAGGGCCTTTTCCAGTCCCATCAATAGATGCAGGGGATTAAACCAGTGACATTCTACATGCAACGCAGATGCTCTACCTCTCTTTTAACCATGAATATTGCTGTATATTCAGCCACATTTTTGTACTATAGCTTTACTCTGCCTTTCCTCCAAATGATTAGCGGCTTCGTCTTCATGACGACAACAATGCTGCAAGGGAGGAGGGGCTGGCAGAAAGAGAGAGGAAGGCTGGATCCAGGCACGTCAAATAAGCGATTCAGTTAAACGCGTTGTAAACTCATACAGTACAGGGAAATCCGGTAGGGAAAGACAGGACTCCACAGTGCCATCTGGTGTCACAGTGTTGTATAGCATATAAAGGTAATGGGACCCCTGATCATTAGGTCCAGTCGTGGCCGACTCTGGGGTTGCGGCGCTCATCTCGCTTTATTGGCCGAGGGAGCCGGCGTACAGCTTCTGGGTCACGTGGCCAGCATGACTAAGCCACTTCTGGCGAACCAGAGCAGCGCATGGAAACACTGTTTACCTTCCCGCTGGAGTGGTACCTATTTATCTACTTGCACTTTGACATGCTTTCGAACTGCTAGGTTGGCAGGAGCAGGGACCGAGCAATGGGAGCTCACCCCATTGCAGGGATTCGAACCGCCAACCTTCTGATCAGCAAGTCCTAGGCTCTGTGGTTTAAGCCACTGCGCCACCCGTGTCCTGTATAGCACATACAACATATCTAAAATGCTTTTCCTTTACCAATCTAGCTGAGTCCAGAGAGACAGAGAATGTTACTGGTTTATGGGAACCCAACGAGCTTCATGACTGAACGGGGAAGCCATTCTGCCCAGGCAAGCTCTGCTGGGTGATTACCTAGTCCTAGTCCAGCGTCCTGTGTCCTCCCCTGTCCAACCAGATGCCTCTTGGGGAGCCCACAAGTAGGGCACGGGGACAACCCCACTGGGGTTCACCAGCAACTGGAATTCAGGTCATGGAGGTAAGACATAACTAATGGGATGTAATGGGACTAGTTGGATACAGAGGAAAGGTAGGAGGAACCAACTGGGGAGCCACCAAGGGAAGAGGCTCAGAGCCTGGGGAGTGGTGGTGGGACAATAATTAGTGGTTATAGAGAGAAGAGGAAGAGGTGTCAGAAGCTGAAGTGGTAACAGAGTTTAGTGAGCAGGGTAGTCTCTGGCAGAAAGAAGACCAGAATCAGAGGCAGAAGCAGAAGCCAGGGAGGAGGGAGGCCAAGAGGCAGAGATACATCAGGAGGGTGTCTTCCCCTCCTGCTATGACAAGCACCCCTCCCTCCTGTCTTCCAGAACCAGAAGAGGGCTGAAATGGGCAGAGCAGTGACAGGTTTCACACAGGCGCAGTCTCTGATTGCTTGGGAAGAGCCCTGGAGAGGAGGGGACTTCGATGGCTGTGGGGAGGCGGGGGCTCAGCAACTGATTTATGAGGTAAGACCTACCAGGGATGAACTGCTGTGCTCATTAGGCATATAACGTCCCTGCTCCCTGATCTGCACTGCTTGCGATTTGCTACCAGGCCAAGTTCAAGGAGTTACTATTAGCATATAAAGCCTGTCACAGCCTGGGATCAGTTTACTTGCGGGATTGCTTTGCCCCGTATGTACCCACTTGACAGCTTCGATCGGCAGAACTGGCCCTGTTACAGAGGCCCCATAATACCCCTTCTGCGCTTGTAAGAAATCGATCAGCATCTACACTTTGGAACTCCCTGCCTAGTGACAGAAGGCAGGAACAATCACTGTACTCTTATCGGAGTACGTTTTTGTTAAGGCAAGCCTGCTCAGAAACGTAGATGCAACCCAGTCAGATGGGCGGCATAGAAATATCAACACCATCATCTCTTTTTAGCTTCTGATGATTTTAATAATCTTTCACCTGTTTTTAAACACCTGTCTTTAACTGCTTTTTATTGATAATTTTAACCTTTTGCCTTTTTGTAAACCGCTTAGAGCTCTTCTTATGATCCAGCGCTATACAGATTTTGTCAGTGATTTTTTTTTTTTAAAGGTGGTAGTACTCAATATGAAGTTGTTACAGTTAGTAACAACTAACTGTAACTGTAACAACAGTTAGTGTCACTTGTAACATTTTTGGGGGGTGGGGGAAAGCTGCCAGTACTGCGCACCCTTGAGTACCCCCAGAAAAATGCACTGGATTTTGTTAAATAAATAACAATTTTGTTAATTTAAATAACAAGAAAATCAGACCAAGGTTGCAGCATTTCTTTGCTGTAGGTTCCCATTCAAATCAGTGGGTCTCAGCGCTGTGTTTTTATACCCTCAGGTTCATGACTGGACTGAGGTCTAAGGGGCTTCTTGGCCCATAAAGGCAGTGAGCCTGTTTCAAGGCCAGGCTCCGGGCAGTCAGTGCCCCTCCAACTTTTGGCAGTGGGCGGAAAAGCCTACGTCACGCAGCCTCTGCCAGGCACCCTCTTAGCTGTGAGCTTGCTGAGGACACGGCTAAAGGTAAGAGGAGTTTAAGAGTAAATAATATTGCAGCTAAGCTGCTTTCATGTATCTCCCACAACAGCCTCAATCAATCCCTTGCAGTTTGGCAGAAGAATCTCGTGGTTCGGAGTGGAGCCGGCCTCTCTTCCTCTCCCCACAGCGGCCCCATTTGCAATATGTCTCATCTCTCTCTCTTTCTTTCTCTGGGTCCTTCTGTGTGTTGCTCCCAGAGCTGGCGTTTTTACAAGCCTGAGCTGTCAAAATGGCAGGTAGCCGGTAATTAGCCTCTGAAAACATAGCAAATCAGATGGCCACCGTCTGCCAGGTTCTGACAGGCTCTCTGCCTGTAAACCTGCTGGCTTTTTTTGCCCTGGCTCTGCCCCCAAAATAGGGATGGGGAAGAAATTTGATCCAGTTAACATTTAAAGGCACGTCCGGAAACAATAAATGAACCGAAAAACAGCTGTCCTTTGAAATTTGCAATTCTCCAGATTTTGCGACTCAGTTCTCCAGGCAAGTAATGTATACAGAAATGCATATACAGGACTAGGGAAAAGTGTGCATGAATGCATATGCTAGTAAGAAAGAACAAAAATGCATTACAGTATGGAGCTTATGTGTGTGCATGTAGATATATGGCTTGTTTGTGACAGGACTCACTAGTGCAGAATACTGGCATCTCTCTCTCTCTCTCCCTCTGCTCCCCATGGCAGCCATTTTGTGCCGGCACCCACGGCACTTTTAGCGTTATACTATGACTATATCATAAGCATAAATGTCTCCAGTAAACATTAACTTACTAGGTTGCCAAACAGACAAGTTGGTGTCAGTCCTTCTGCTGATTAGGGCTGCCAACTTACTAAAAAAAAAAAAAATGTTTAAATGTACAAGATGAATTTTAATCATGACACTGGAACCTCATTTTTTTTACCTTTATCTCTGCATGTATATAAACACTGTATACATAAATAAACCATGTTTTGTCAGATAAGTAGTTGGGGAGTGTGAAAACTTCCAAAAATGATTATGCTCCACCTATGGCCTACCTCATCCTCGTAGGTGGCTCTCATAGCACACCAGACTCCAATCCTGGCACAAACCCTGTTTCATCCTATTCCATTTTGGCTTTACCCCATAGTCATCAAGTTCCACTTCAACTCCACCTTCCTTCTGCCAAAGTCTTTTCTGGCTCCCTCCCTCAGCCATCAAGCTCCACCCTCATCCCATACCCGCCCTGCTTCTCTCCTGAGTCTTCAGTTTCCATTCTGTCTCTGCCCTTGTCCTGTGAGATTGCATTCGGGCTTTGCCCAGTATGGCTTCTATGACTCCAGTATGATCCAGGAACCAGTAATGTAGAAATCATTGTTGGCAACCCTACCTAGCACTCAAAACGGGCCCCAGAGTTTTGCTCTGGTTCATATTTAACCTCTATGCATGCAAAGATTCCCTTTCCTCCAAGCCGCTTAAATGCACAACAACCCTGCAAGGAGTTAGGCTGAGAGGTAATGATTTGCTTGTGGGGCATCAGGTGGGTTTAACAGCTGAACAGAACTTCACCTTAGCTCCCAAATCTGCAACTGTCGGCGTTATCTGTAGAGCGGGCAACCGTCTGGACCCCCAACAGTTATTTTTGTTGGCACAGAATTCACAAGGCCGCCTCCCGCTCCCACGGCTTCCGGAATCGGAACTCAGGTCTCAAAGTCACTTGCCTACTTTTGCAAAACTGGCCCCCAGGGCCTCGAGGCGAGGCAGGAGAGAAGGGAAAGGGAGGCAACGCAAAGCTTTCCAGCTCTGTGAAGGTTTCTTTAGTGGGCAAGAGTTACCTGTCTGTTTGCGTTAGCTCACTGAAAGCGAGAGGTGTACAGTGATGACAGCTGGTTGATCGCTTTGACAAACCAGCGAGCCCAACGCCCGAGACCCTGGGGCAGCGCAGGTGGAGCAGCACTAAGGCCAAGCCACGCTGGGATACCATCTGTGGTTAGAGGAACCTGATTCCAGACTTGCTGGTATTCTCAGTTGCTGCTGAAACCATTTGTAAAGCCAGCCAGATCATTTGGAGAAACCCTCCCGAAAGTCCCACAGTTATCTTGTAAAGTTTCTTCTTTACCTGTTTAAGAAGTATTTTTTTAATTAAAAAGCTAGCAGCCTCATGCCAGTTCTGAAAGCAGTGGGTAAAATCAGGGCAGTTACGGAAGGCCCAGTCCGCCATGTTGATTCAAAATGGCGTCCAACTTTAGATAAAGCTTGTCAACTTTAGATAAACCTGCTCCTTCATCTCATGAGAATCTCGCTTGCGTCAAGAAGGTCCTCACATGAATCCCCGGCATCTCTGGGTGGGGCTGGAGAAGACTCCTGCCTGGTACCCTGGAAAGCCACTGCTGCCAGTCAGAGTAGGAAATGCTGAGCTATATGGACCACTGGTCTGCCTTAGTATAAGGCAGTTTCCTGTGTTCTTGAAAGCGCCACAAATTGACTAGATATTTGAAACCAATCAACCCCGGTTTTCCCAACCTCCCCTGAGATGTCTATACCTGGAAATTGTTCATTGAGTGCGCCTATGGAGGCATGAGAAGCAAACAGATATAATAGGTACCTTAATAGGTTCAGGAATCATTTACAGGTAAAGGCTTAGGTCTTGTCAGTTAGCTCTGTGCATTTGTCCTCAAAGGCTGGAATACCAGAAGATGGGGGCAAGTTTAATAATAATAATAATAATAATAATAATAATAATAATAATATGCCGCCCATCTGATTGGGTTGCCCAGCCACTCTGGGCAGCTTCCAACCAATTAAAACATCAAACACAGTAAAAAAAAAAATCAAACTGTGCCGAGGTTTTTAACAATGAAGCGGTATATTTTATGAAATAAAAAAAAATATGAAGTTAGTGAGCAACCTTGTTCTATTGCATTTTTTTTTAAAGGACTGGATACTTTTAAAAGCAAAAAACTGAAATTTAATGAAAGAGGCAAGTTGGGATATTGGGGGGAGGGGGGACTGGACTCCACAAGCCTCAGAAACTCAGTCCTCCTTAGCTATCATTTTGGCCCTTCTATGTTCCTCTGCACCGTCTCCTCCTCTTTATGCTCTCAGATCCCTCCCTATTGCTATTTCTTCTTTCTCCTCCCATGGTTATTCTCAAGTTTGCTTGGTGCTATTTTTTTATAGAAAAAGAGGTGGCAGAACTCCCCATGAACTTGTTCCCTTATAATGGCAACAGTGGCCCATCTGAGAGCTGCCGGAACTGAGTTTCGGCTGAAAAAAAGCCCTGAATTTGCTAATGCTCCCTGCATTAATGCTCCGGGCCCTTCTCTGTCACCACCCCTCTCTGGGAATAGAGCTGTGGGGCCAATAGCCTCCAGACACACTTAGGCCTGCTCTGTCCTTCTGTGACGTAAGAGGAGCTCAGCCAATCAGTGCCAGAGGCTCCAGCTTCCCAGCCTCATTGGGCATATTACGGCCTCAACTGTTTGTGTCCTGCTATCGTGCTGAGAACGAACATGAAGCGCTCAGGCGGCATGTCTTAAAAATTCCCGCGGGATCACTTTCCCGTGCCCGTGCGTTCTCTCCCCCCCCCCCCCCGCAATCCAAGTTAAAAGCCAGCCTGGTGCACCTCTTATAAAACACAGGAGCAGTTGCGTAACCATCTCAGAGGGAGTTCTACAAACTTTTCTGCGAGAGAAGAGCTCCTTGCTTCACAGCGTGAGCTTTCTGGAATGGGATCTGAAATTTCAGCCCAGCCTTCTCTGTGGGTTTAAAAGGACAGAAAACCTGAGAGAGAATGTTCTGGAAGAGGATAAATGGCCCAGAGCTATTCCTCCCCACAGGCTGCCTTCCCAAGTCATTGTGGCCACTGATAGCTGCCTTCTCTGTGAATTTGCCTAAAGATAAACGGACAGGAACCCCTGACCATTAGGTCCAGTTCTGACTGACTTTGGGGTTGCAGCACTCATCTCGCTTTATTGGCCGAGGGAGCCGGTGTACAGCTTCTGGGTCACGTGGCCAGCATGACTAAGCCGCTTCTGGTGAACCAGAGCAACGCACGGAAACGCCGTTTACCTTCCTGCCAGAGCGGTACCTATTGATCTACTTGCACTTTGACGTGCTTTCGAACTGCTAGGTTGGCAGAAGCAGGGACCGAGAAATGGGAGCTCACCCCGTCGCAGGGATTCGAACTGCCGACTTTCTGATCGGCAGGCCCTAGGCTCTGTGGTTTAGACCACAGTGCCACCCGCGTCCCTTGTGAATTTGCCTAAACCTCTTTTGAAGACATCCACATTGCTGACCATCACTGCCTCCTGCAGGAGAGGGTTCCACAGTTTAACGATGCGCCATGCACAGTACAATCTTTGTCCTGCATCACCCAACGCGATCAATTCCAACTGATTTTGGAAGCCCGCAAGCAGGACCTGAGGGCAACTTTCCTCACTTGTGATTCCCAGCAAATGGAGGGAGAATATGGCCAGTGTGACTTGCAGGCCTTGATAGCCTGACCCGCCCCTCCAAGCTTCCTCTCCAGGTGTCCCCTTCTCCTATCCTCCACCCACCTGTGTAAGGAATGTGTGAAGCAGACGAGAAGAATAATCAGGGGTTATTAAAAATAATAATAAACAGGTTCCAATTAGGGACGATGTTTTGTCTAAAGAGAAAAGGCGACACACAAGCTCCCCCTTCTGGTAGCTTCTGGCCAAAGCACTTCAGGGTGGAGTAACTTTGCTTGGTGTGCTATTTTCCCTTTAGAGATACAGGATGCTAAACAGTCATATGATTTTCCTTATTGTAAATGAAATGCAAAGGTGTGCCCTGGATGGAGGCACGCATGACTACTGGTTTTTAGTATCCCTGAATTTTACAAACGCTAACTGGGTTCTATTCATTGCTATATAATAACAATAATAATAATAATAGGTAAAGGTAAAGGTACCCCTGCCCGTACGGGCAGTCTTGACAGACTCTAGGGTTGTGCGCTCATCTCACTCTATAGGCCGGGAGCCAGCGCTGTCCGCAGACACTTCTGGGTCACGTGGCCAGCGTGACAAGCTGCATCTGGCGAACCAGCGCAGCACACGGAACGCCGTTTACCTTCCCGCTGGTAAGCGGTCCCTATTTATCTACTTGCACCCGGGGGTGCTTTCGAACTGCTAGGTTGGCAGGCGCTGGGACCGAATGACGGGAGCGCACCCCGCCGCGGGGATTCGAACCGCCGACCATGTGATCGGCAAGTCCTAGGCACTGAGGTTTTACCCACAGCGCCACCCGCGTCCCAGTTAAACAATAATAATACTCTTATTCAATTGATTATATTATTTGTTTTAGAACTTTTTATAGACTAAAGTGACAACCCCCTCCTCCATTTAATCACCTCTCCACCCCTGCTGGCATGTGGCCCCCATAAGGTTTACCAGAAAGTTATGTGGCCCTTGAGCTGAAAAAATGCTTCCCTAGCCCTGTGGTGAAATGGTCAGAGTGCTAGACTAGGACCTGGGAGATCAGGGTTCAAATTCCCACTTAGCCGTGAAGCTCACCAGGTGACGTTGGGCCAGTCGCTGTCTCTCAACCTGGCCTACCTCACAGGGTTGCTGTGGGGATAAAATGGAGAAGGGGGGAACCGTGTACAACTCCTCAGAGGAAGCAGTGGGGTGCGAATGTAAGAATAAATAATACAGAATAAAATGAACTGCAAGTGAATATGTACAGTTGTCACCTTTGATCGCCTTTATTTCTGGGCGGTGAAGTGTCAAGACAGGAGAATCTGCTGGCTTGTGACAGAAAAGAGCACCCCATGACACTCCTTAAATGCACAGACAGTTTGTAAAATGTCTCCTGACTGCCCATGCTGGCTGTTTCTTCCAGGGTGAAAGGGAAAACTCATTGCTTGCTGCCAACCCTTGCAATGGGGTTCTGTTCCCTGAGTATCTGAAACTCCCAAACAAAAAATCAGTTTGTACCCCAACCAGAAGCCCCCACTAAAGAACTCAAAGCATCCCTTTAAAGCATGTGCAGGGAAACATTGGCCCTCCAGATGTCACTGAACTACAACTCCCATAAGCCTTGGCAAGCAGAGCCAACAGCCAGGGGTAATGGGAGTTGCAGTTCAGCAATTCTGGAGGGCCACAGACTGCCTACACCTGCTTCAAGCAAGAAAACCAGCCAACCAACCAACCAACCAACTGGCCTCCCCATTTGGCAGCCAGATAATCCTCCCCCAGCAACAAGGGTTACGGTAAAGTTAAAATCCCCCGTGGAGTCAACTCAGCAGCCAAGCTGTTCCTATTGCCCCTCCTCATCTCTTCCTCTGGCTATTTGATACGGTGGTGGAACTGGACAACGGCCTTCTCCTGGTCGTGGGTCTCGATGGAGCCTGGCCGCAGCTTGCGGATCTCGTGGATGGCGTCGACGCCAGTGATCTTCTGGGTCTTGGCGAGGTAACAGGCCAACATGGTTCCAGTTCTGCCAAATCCCAGCATGCAATGCACTGCCACAGCCTGGTGAAGAGAGGGAAAGCCGCAGCGTGAAAGGGCCCCTCCGGCCCCTGAAGAAATTAACATTTGTGAAATTAAAGAGCTCCTGGCACGTCTGCACTCTACTGTCGTATGCTACCCTGACCTCTGAGTGGTGCGAGATCCCAGGAGTTCCAGGCACATACCCAAGGTTTGTGTTTCCTTTGGAATGAGGCACAGTAGAGACTGTGGTGTATTTATGATATATGGTTTATTTACATGTATATACAACCTGAGCCTGCATTCACACCCCAAGACTGGCATTTCCTTCATAGCCACAGCCTTGGATTCAAAGAGAAATCAAGCATTGCTCTGCCTCTCTCTTGCTTCTAGATCACATCACTGTAGGCTCAACCCTCACCTCTCATCTTTCTAACTACCAGCCAATTGAGGGAGGGTTTCCTAGGAATGGGAATTGTTAAATCACTCTGGCAATTGCAGCTCTGTGAAGGGAATAGGAGTATCCTAACAACTCTCAGAATCCTTTAAAAAACTGTAATTCCAAGGATGCTTACCCATGATTGTTAAAGTGGTATAATAGTGATTTAAAGTTCAGGTATGGATGGGGCCTTGCAAATCAGTGCCATTAATTTTAAGGCCTCTCTTGCAAGAAATCTGCTTGTAAAAAAATGTGGGGTGTTTTTTGTTGGTTTTTTGCAAATTAGGGAAGCATCAGGGAAATGCACTTGAACAGGAAGACATCAGAAGCGGTTTGCCAGGTGGGGTTTCCATTGGGTGGGTCGCTGTTGCTTACCACAAGGGAGAGGTGAGGTGCTGGATTGGCTCTGCTGGTGCTTTTGCACCAGGCTGAACCTCTGCCACCTCCCCACCCTCCCACAGCGACCCACTTGCAGTGAAGCTAGTGAAGCTACTGAGCTGCTTCTTGAACCTACCTATTCCACGCTTTCTGAAACGATGTGCAAGTGGGGAAAAACAGCGACACATCAAAATCCGTACCTCTCCGAATTTTACAAGGTAGTTTTCCAGTCAAGCAATGTGTACAAATACACGGACACACAAACGAAAGTGTAAAAATGGCACATTACAGTACAGTGATACCTCGGGTTACATACGCTTCAGGTTACATACGCTTCAGGTTACATACTGCTCTAACCCAGAAATATTACCTCAGGTTAAGAACTTTGCTTCAGGATGAGAACAGAAATTGTGCTCCAACGGTGCGGCAGCAGCAGGAGGCCCCATTAGCTAAAGTAGTGCTTCAGGTTAAGAACAGTTTCAGGTTAAGAACAGGCCTCCAGAATGAATTAAGTACTTAACCCAAGGTACCACTGTACACTAAAAATAACATACGCAAACACATTATATTTGACAAAATTGCTCATAAATTCAAGCCAAAATTTTCACGGGGATTGTTTTTAAAAATCGCAAACTGATGTGGAAATGTGGAGACTTAAGGTTGGAAAAGAAACTCAAGGAGGTAAGAATCCAGCCCGCTGCTCAAAGTCCAGTTCTACACCCCCGGCATAGACAACACTAGACCAGCTAGAGAAATTGCCTTGATACGGCGGCATGAAAACTGACCTCCCCCTTGGCGTTGGCATCGTCCACAATCTGCAGGAAGCGCTGGATTTGCTCAGGCGAAGGCGGGCAGAAGTCGGCGATACGCAGGCGGTGGAGCTGGATGCCGGGGCAGGTGTCGTGGTACGGCGGGCTGCGCTCCGTGAGTGACACCAGATGTCGGATGCCATGTTCGTGCATGTACCGGTAGTGTGCGGGCAGGCGGGGCATGGCCAGCCCCGCCAGCTGGCCTGGCGCTACCCAGGAGAAATTGGGTGGCTTGTCGGACGCCATGGACCCTGTGAGCGAGAGAGAGAGAAAAACCAAAGCGGAGGTAGTTCACCGAAAGGCAACGCCCTTCTCCCCGCAGTGTTCTCAAAAGGCTGCTGGAGAATTGGGCGCAGTTCCCCAGCGCCACCCTCTGCGGAAAACTTTGCCTCGGTGCGGTCTGGCTGGAGTTGCCCTGAGTGCAGCCCCGGAGGATTCTGGGAACAGAGCCGCCGCCGCCTATCCCTCAACGCAGCCAAAGGTATTGGGTTGGGATTAAGCGTTCTTAGAACCAAAGCTGGTGTGTGTGTGTGGAAATCCGCTGCCCGATTTGGAAAAGAAAACAAAACACAGGATGATCACTGTGCTAACAGAAAAAGGGTGGGGAGGTGCCGGAAAGATCTTCGGCTGTTGTCTTTGCAGGTATTAAAAGCGAACAACACAGGAAAGGGAACAAAAACGTATTAAGCAAACATTCGCATAGTGAGGCAGCCTTTCTCTGTGTACCAGCTGCTAGAAGACACACAGAGGAAAGCGCTACTGTCTTCACATCCTCGTTTCGGCAGGGCCACACTCTTGTCTGGGCAATCTTCTGAGGGCCACATGTCAGCGATGACCGGGACCAGATGCAAAATTTCCACCAAGGTCACTGCCTACCTCTGTCTAATGGTAGGACCGGCCATGGGCAAATTGCTGGGATGATCCTGAACCAGTAATATTCTGTCATTTGCTCGTTTTGCACCTCACTTACCTCATGGGTTATTGTTGTGAGGAGAAGCCCCTTTTGCAGAGGAGGCAAAAGGAAACTGGAGCGCTGCAAGAGAAAGAAGTAAACACAAGAGATTGTTGTTTTAATTAAGATCCTCTCGGCGGTGCTGGCGAATTTACTCCAGCAACCTATTGCAAAGGAAAAACAACAGTATTGTGGCACTGTGGAGACCCTGAGCTCTTCCTGCTGACCTGTTTATTGAGCATTCATCCAGATTTGCTGGTAGAACGCTTGTGTGGAGGTTATACAATGTCCACGCTTTACTGAGCACTGGCCCTGATTTTTTCACAGGGAGGACAGACACCGTTTTGTCAATTGATGCTTAACTCAAGATTTTTGGTGCCTTCCCCCATCACTTTCTTTACTTTCCTTATTTTAAAAAATAAGTTGATATGTTGCACCAGAGGGAGCGTTAATTGCACCATCTTAAAGTTCTCAAATATGCTTGAATCCCTCCTGGGGAATAATGGAGGTGTCCTAACATAAAGATTAACTGGCATAAGATTATATGGAGCAAAGTATTAGAGCAATTCATAATGGATAAAGCTCTCAATGGCTATTAACCACCAGGATTTGGTTCTCCCCACGCTGTCAACTAAGCTACCAGAAAGAGATAATATTCACATCAGTTGTTCCACCTGCTTTTGCCTCTAGCCCCGCTGGCCATTGGCATGTGGCCCCCAGAAGTTTGCTAAGAAGGAAATGTGGCCCTCAAGCCCCAAAAGCATCTCCACCCCTGCATAAAGGATCAAAACAGCACTGTAGATTCTGTAGGTCATATGAGTAATAAAAATGGCCAGAGTCTCTAAACCTTCTCAGAGGAGTCAGCTTCTTCTTGTCAAAGGACAAGAAAGGAGATTTTTTTTTTAAAAAAAAATCAATTAATTATGGTTTATAGAGAAAAAGATAATGTAATATATTTTCCCTTTTAAAAAACCAAATCAAGACTTTTATCTAGATACAATAAAAAACAAGGGGGGGGGGGGAGAGAGAAAGAAATAGAGAGAAAAAAGAGAAGGTAGAAAAGAGGTTAAAAGAGAATGATAGAAAGTAAGATTCAGAAAGTAAAGGACTTCCGATTCTTCATCTGCCCACTATGTTAATGTTTAATGCTGTATTGTGTTTTTAATATTTGGTTGGAAGCTGCCCAGAGTGGTTGGGGAAACCCAGGCAGATGGGGGGTATAAATAATAAATTATTATTATTATTTTAATAATAATAATAATAATAATAATAATAAATAAATAAATAAATAAATAAACAATATCCACTTAAAGGAGATTGTAACCAAAAGTTAGGAAGACCTTTCTGAGGGGGAGAGCAGTTGGGATTCCCTCAGAAGGTGGACTCTCCTTCCATGGAGAGCAGAGATTGGTTTGGCCACCTGTCAGGGATTCTTGAGCTGAGATTCTTGCATTTTTTTGGGGGGGGGGGGTTTGGACTAGATGCCCCTTGTGCCCTTCCCAACTCTACAGTTCTAGGATTCACCAAGGAGCTCCTGACAAGCTTCCAAGGCCCGTCAAGCACAGAGGCGTGATGGGAATCTCTGGTGGCGGCCCACCCTTGGCGCTTAAGAGCGATGACTCAGCGCCTCTTCCCACAGATAACAAAAGCAGGGGGGATTATCTCCTCTGAGGTCACCGGAGTCAATGAGAAAACCTGCAGGGAGGCTCTCCGGGTGGGATCATGTAATCTCTCTGCCGGTGGAACTACCCAGACCTGAAGCTTTGCAAAGCAGAAGCCAAGGGGCCAGGGTGCCGCCATCTTTGTTGGCCCTCAGCCCAAGCAGATATTCCCTGAGTGGCCTCCCCGGGGAAGGGGCCTTCGCAGGTCCTCAAAATGTCCCTATTTTCCAGGGACAGTCCCGGATTTGGAGAAGCCGTCCGGGTTTCTGATTTGATCCCGGAATGTCTCGCTTTTCCTTAGAGACATCCCTATTTTCATAGGAGAAATGTTGGAGGGTATGGAGTTATATGACCCCCGAGGCCAGGAGATAAGTAACTATACAACCTTTAGAAGACATCTGAAGGCAGCCTTGCATAGGGAAGTTTTTGAAGGTTTAATGTTTTATTATGTTTTTATATATGTTAGAAGCTGCCCAGAGTGGCTGGGGCAACCCACTCAGATGGGTGGGGAATAATAATAATAATAATAATAATAATAATAATAATAATAATAGAAAAGGATGTCCCTAGTTTCCCCGGAGAAATGTTGGCAGAAAATCTGCTTTAATCCCTGGTGGCATCCGTTTTGGAGCTGTGCAGGATTTGGTGGGGACTGCGCTAAGGAAGTAATAAGGATAAACATATTTAGGGCTGCAGATGTACAGGTTCACTGAGTTCAATGGGGCTTACTCCCTGGTAAGCGTGCCTAGGTTCGCAGATGCAGTTTATAATGCCCTCCAAAATGCAACCTTTGGTGTTACAGCAGCCTCTTGTGGCCATCATTGCTCTGTACAGGAGAAGCCAAAATCTTGCTTGTGAGCTTCTCAATTAGGCATCTGGTTGGCCATTGTGAGAATAGGATGCTGGACTAGACCATGGGTAGGCAAACTAAGGCCCGGGGGCCGGATCCGGCCCAATCGCTTTCTAAATCTGGCCCACAGACGGTCTGGGAATCAGTGTGTTTTTACATCAGTAGAATGTGTGCTTTTATTTAAAATGCATCTCTGGGTTATTTGTGGGGCATAGGAATTCGTTCATATTCCCCCCCCCCCCAAAAAAAATATAGTCCGGCCCCCCACAAGGTCTGAGGGCCAGTGGACTGGCCCCCTGCTGAAAAAGTTTGCTGACCCCTGGACTAGACAGTCTCCCTCTGGCTTGATCCAACTGCACTGCACTTCTCTCTGCCCCCACCTCCTGCAGCCAAGGAAAGATAAATTTCCCTAGTACAGTGGTACCTCGAGTTACATACGCTTCATGTTACATACGCTTCAGGTTACAGACTCCGCTAACTCAGAAATAGTGCTTCAGGTTAAGAACTTTGCTTCAGGGTGAGAACAGAAATTGGGCTCCGGCGGTGCAGCGGGAGGCCCCATTAGCTAAAGTGGTGCTTCAGGTTAAGAACAGTTTCAGGTTAAGAACGGACCTCCAGAACGAATTAAGTACTTAACCCGAGGTACCACTGTAGTTAAAGGGCGAGTGGTGAAGGTGAATTTAGGTGCTCACCCAGCTAATTTGAGCATATTACACCAATTTGAACATATTACAGTTTGAGCATATTACACCAATCCTGGCCTGACTGCCAATTAGTTTCCGGGCCCAATTCAGAGTGCTGGTTGTGACCTATAAAGCTTTAAACAGCTCAGGACTGCAATACCTCAAGGGCCGCCTCTCTCCAAATGAACCAACGCAGACTCTGTAATCATCCTCTGAGGCCCTTCTTCGTGTGCCTCCTCTTTGAGAGGTCCGGAGGGTGGCAACACAAGAATGGGCCTTTTCTGCAGTGGCTCCCCATTTGTGAGATGCTCTCCCCAGGGAGGCTCACCTGGCGCTTTCATTATACACCTTTAGATGCCAGGCGAAAACATTCCACTTTAGGCAGGCCTTTGGATTATTAACATCCTATGCTCTTTTAAATGTGCTTGTGTGAGGTATTGGTTTGTTTTGTTCCTTTTCTTGTTCATATTATGTATTTTGTGAATTTCACCTTGTACTCTTATTCTGTAAGCTGCCCTGAGGTCTACAGGGTGGTATATAGATTTAATCAATAAATAACAACAGTAATAATAACAGCAACCTGAGCCCCAGGAGATCTGCCTCCTCTCCTCCACCCATCAACACTACATATCTGAGGATCCTTGGCTCTCTCCAAGCCAGCTTCCAAGCATTTCTAACATTATTATTATTTATTAAATTTGTATGCTGTCCTTCGCCCATTTAGGTGCCAGGTGAAAACATTCCACTTTAGGCAGGCCTTTGGATTAAGGGCAGTTCACAACATAAAATTGCAACATAAACAACACAAAATACATAATAAAAAAATGAACAAAAACAAACCATCCCACCCAAGCATAGGCCTTCTATATAAGTCTGTTCATCCTTTGGGAAGTCACATACCATCCAAGCAAAATATTAAGAGGTGTGTTTCTTTCAATGAAGTACAAATGGAAAATTATTATTTGCTTCATATTTTCTGGCATCCTTCCATGGGACAGTCATCCGCAAACCTCTTTCCGAAAGCATTTTATACATAATTTTATATATACATATATTTTATATATACATATATACATAATTTTATGTAAGGCAGCTTACACCATGGAAAGAATACGTAAGTACAACATAACAAAAGTAGTCACAAACTCCCTGTGGAACGCCCTCCCTTCAGATGTCAAGGAGATACAAGACCTATATAACTTTTAGAAGACATCTGAAGGTAGCCCTGTATCTGGAAGTTTTTAATGTTTGATGCTTTGTTATGTTTTATATATACTGTAAGTTGCCCAGAGTGGCTGGGGAAACACAACCAGATGAGTGGGGTATAAGTAATGAAATTATATTAACAATAAGTAAAACATCAAGAAGTACACAACCAAACTGAAAAACCTCAACATAAATAATGAGCTCTAAAATAAAAATACAAAAAAAATAATATCAGCAACAACCACTCCACCTGCAACAAAAACAATAGATCAGGCCAAGGCTCTGTTCAGCAGCCTCAACTTTTGTAGTTGGAGTCAGTCAGGGCCCTGCCCTCCCAGGCCAGGTGGAAAAGGCTCACAAGGCAGGGAGAAGGTATTCCAGGACTCCCAGCCATGATGGGTAAGATTCTCTCTTTTGTCTAATTTCCCCCTCTTTGAAAGCCTTCAGAAGCTAGCGCTAGATAGGGGTAGGGAGCCTGTTTAAATCTCAGGGGCCATGCTCCATTCTGGGAAACCTGTTGGGGGCCACATGCCAGAAATATGTGTAGCCCAAGGCTAAAGCGGGCAGAACATTACCGGTGTGTCTGTTTCCACATGCATCTCTCTCCACCCTCCAGCCAGGCAAAAGCACTGAAGGGGCAGCGGGGGGAGAGGGGGGCAGGACAGAGCAGGGCCAGTAAGGGGTGTGGCTCTGGAGGATGGGGAAAGTCCTGAGGGCCAGGCAGAGAGGCTTGGAGGGCCGCATTTGCCTCTGGGCCTGAGGTTCCCCATCCCAGGGCTTGTCCCTTTGACAGAGTGCATGAGAGGCAAACATTGTTGCTTGCTGCTGATCTTAATCTTGTATTTTTATATTGCTGTAAGCCAGAATCATAAAACTGCAGAACTGGAAGGGAGGGGGTTTTTCTTGGTTTGTTTTTGTTCTAGTCTGCATTCTCACTTTGTATTTTTTCTGTTTGTATTTTTTATTTACAGCATCTTAAAAAGAAGACATCACCTTGCCAACAAAGGTCCGTATAGATAAAGCTATGGTTTTCCCAGTAGTGATGTATGGAAGTGAGAGCTGGACCATAAAGAAGGCTGATCGCTGAAGAATTGATGCTTTTGAATTATGGTGCTGGAGGCGACTCTTGAGAGTCCCATGAACTGCAAGAAGATCAAACCTATCCATTCTGAAGGAAATCAGCCCTGAGTGCTCACTGGAAGGACAGATCGTGAAGCTGAGGCTCCAATACTTGGGCCACCTCATGAGAAGAGAAGACTCCCTGGAAAAGACCCTGATGTTGAGAAAGGTGGAGGGCACAAGGAGAAGGGGACGACAGAGGACGAGATGGTTAGACAGTGTTCTCGAAGCTACAAACATGAGTCTGACCAAACTGCGGGAGGCAGTGGAAGACAGGAGTGCCTGGCGTGGTCTGGTCCATGGGGTCACGAAGAGTCGGACACGACTAAACAACAACAACAATTTTTTTATGCTGTGAACTTGCCCTGTGATCTTCAGATGACGGGCAGTATATAGAGGAATAAAATACGTAAAACCTTGTTTGTCAACAAGCTTAGGATCTTAGGACTAGTCCACCATCCTGCAGTGCAGGAATCACAGCTGGGGCCTTGGGGGGAAGGGCAGGTAAGATACCGGTATCTAAATGCTCCTCCAAACAATACAGTTTTCTCATCACTCTTTTTAAATGTACAGAAAACACTCTGAGGGCAGATTTAAAACCACATACTTCATATACAAGCTGCCTGCTTGTCAGTCCTCGCCCACCTTTGCTAGACAGCCTAAAAATAACCCTTGGCAAAGAAATCTTGTCCCAGGACGACATTGAGGCTGCCCTCAAACGCCTCCCCCCCCCAATAGTCCTATAGTGAGTCAAATCATTCGTCCATCTCGTTCAGTATTGTCGACACTGACTGGCAGCAGCTCCCAGGGATTTCAAGCGGGGACATTCTCAGCGCTACCGCAAGATGCCAAGCAGTGAACTTGGGACCTTCTACATGCCAAGCAGGTGTTCTATCACACAGCCGGTCCCACCAGTATCCTGTAAAGTCTTCAACTGGTGGGTCGGGGCAAGCGGACCTGATCTAAGGTGGGTCGCAGGAGAAACATTCTCACCCTGCAAATAGATGGGGGAAATTTAAGAAGTGGGTCTCCAAATGCATGTTTGGGTTAAAAGTGGGTCCTGGGTCTGTAAAGATTGGGTGGCTACCAGCTTTGGGGCATCTACAGGCTCGGCATCCGTGCATGTGGATGGGCAGCGCGCCCTGGAATCAAGGCCCCCTGATCTGCTGCCGCTTCCCCCCTTTTTCTGACATTGTTTTGGGTACCTGAAACGAAAAGCAGGGTTGCAAAACAGGAGAAAGGAGCCGGCTTGGAAGTCATACCGATGCCAAGGGGCGCACTTCCTGCCCGCACAGTGCAAGCGGAAAGGGAACCTCTGCAAATGCCCGTCCTTTGGAGAGCAGAAGAGTGCAAGGGAGCCTCTCCAAATTCCCAACTCTTGCAGCAAGAACCAAGCCGAGCAGAAGGAGCTGTTCAGGGTGGGACTCCCAATCCGCGTCGGGAGGTCTCCACTCTTGCTTCCTGTGGACCCACATGGTGATCGCAGTGGGTCCGGATTAATTAACAATCCCCGGGGGCCGGAGAGTGCGCCCTGCCTGCTTTTACGCACGTGTTTGTTATGGTGAGCCCTGTTTGCCACTTATCTTTGCGTGTTTTGCTGCATCGCCGAACACCCACTCACCCGCGTGTTTTTTTCCTCCTGAGAAGTTGCTGAGTCGATACTGTGAGGAGCTGATTCCAGAAGCTGACCCGTAGGGCGGAAAAGGGGAGGCGGACGACCTGGTGCCCCGGGGATCCCTCAAGGGAGATCTGCTGCTGCCCCCTGCCCCAATGGCGAAGACCATCATCCTCTGGCCCCTCGGGTGCTCCGTCTCTTTGGGGTCCTGGCGCAGACAAGTAGGGGGCGGCCGTGGGGGAACGAAGTGGCTCTGTCTGCCAGACCCGCGCGACCAGAGGTTTACCGAAGACTGGACTAAATTTACTAAGTATCTGAAAAGTATTTGTGATGATCAGATTACGTTTGTAGGACTACAAGAAGTTCTGTGAGGAGTAATTTAAGAAATATTGTAAAAATGGAAAGGGAGAAATGATTTGTTAGAAAATGTAAAGGCAATATTAAGTTAGGAATGGCAGGAGAAATAATCAAGACGGAAGGCTATCAGAGATGCTGAAGGAAGTCCAAACAAGGACATATGTATAATAATTTGTGTGGTATGTCTTTAAAATTTTTGTATGCTAACAATTAATAAAAAATATTATATATATAAAAAAAGAAAGTCCCGGGCTCAGTCCTCATAGTTGTCCAAGCAGGGTGGGGGAATAGTGGCTCAGTCAATACCTTGGTTCATACTGGGACTTCCTGGGACCGGAGAGGAGCTCACAGCCCTGCCGAGCCAAGGGGAGGGTTTCCTTCATCTGTCGTCTGAACCTGGTCTCCAGTGGCAGGAGCTATGGGGAACCATGGGCTAGGCAAGGAGTGGGGGAGGGGGGAGGGGGGAGGCAGGGAGTCAGCTTCCCCACCAGCAAGTAAATCAATAAAAATACTTAACTAACTGAGGTTCTGCCTCTCCTAACATGAAGCCCCCCCCCCAAATCCTGGCTATGCCCACGTGGGGAACGGCCACTTTGTCTCACACAGCAGAACACCTACTTTGCATGCAGAAGGTCCCAGGTGGGAAAGACCCCCTTCCTGCAATCCTGGAGAGCTGCTGCCAATCAGTGTAGACAACACTAGGAGGAAATGTGGGATATATCCGAGCAGGTTAGGAGGGGTGGGGAAGGTGTGGGACAAACTGATGTGTGAAAGAGTCCTTAATGTAATAATGTTTGTATTTTTAAATTTCTATACCGCTTTATATTTTAAATAAAAAACTCAAAGTGGTTTACAGCATATTAAATCAATAAAACAATAGCTGGGCGATCTTCCTCCGGCCTCATGAGGAGCTTCTTCAGTAGGGCTGGTGAGTGTGGGCCCCACTCCTAGGCCAGGTGGAAAGAGCCTTGCAGGGAGCGGCCTTCACATAATAATGAATGCATATAAAATGGCCAGGATCAGAATGCCTAAGAGATGGTTGGGTCACGGAGCCTATCTGCTATTAAGCGGGGAGCTCTTTAACCCCTCCCCCAGTTTGTGTGCCCTTCTGGGGTCCGTGGGGGGCACGTGCCACTGGGGGTCAAAGTCAGAGGCAGGTGTGGGCCGAGCAAAGAATGGCTTGCTGGGTACAAGCAAATAGGTATTCTGTAGTTGAGATCAGATGTTTAGATGTTGTTGGACTCCCATCTTCCAACATCGCTTAAGGAAGGGGGCGTGAGAGGCTCCTCAGAGCATATCCATCCTCTCCACAACGGTCTTGAAAGTGTTTGTAGAACCATGAGTTAGGAAGAAACCAAATAGACTCCCTGTCGCAGGCGAAAGGTCGTTTTTTTTAAAATTAAACATTTGGTGCCTAAAAATGCAAGAACTGCAGATTTATTGATTATGTATTACATTTATATACCACCTTTATCTTCCAAGGATATCAAGGTGGTGTACATGGTTCTCCTCCCCATTTCATCCACACAACAACCCTGTGAGGTAGGTTTGCTTGTTGTTGTTGTTTAGTCGCTTAGTCGTGTCCGACTCTTTGTGACCCCATGGACCAGAGCACGCCAGGCACTCCTGTCTTCCACTGCCTCCCGCAGTTTGGTCAAACTCATGTTAGTAGCTTACTCTAAGCTTACTCTAAGCTAAATTGCAAGATGAGACTAAATGGGGAGAAAAAGAGATAAAGCGAAGTCTCTTGTCATCCTCCTGCCAAGGAGATCTCCACCTCTTAAGACAAAAGGACCACACACATAGTTTAAAGGAAGTCCGCAACAGAGATCTGATGCGAAAAAGGTCTCTTTAGGTGTGGTGTTCAGGCGTAAATGAATTTCCTAAGCTGGAAAAAGGCTTTTGGATTTCAGAAAACAAACTAAGAAACAAACCCCGATGTCCACCAGGAAAGTTGCCTTGCCCCTGAGCTATGGCCCTTCCTGTCCCACAAAACCTGGCTAAGAAAACTGTCCAAAAAGGCTCTTGGAATCCAAGGATTGTGAGGAATGGTTTTGAGCTGGAAGGAGTTAAAAAGAGAAGCCAGTGCTAGTTGAGGTAGTTTTGAAAGTGGGGGGAGAGGAACAGTTTTGTCAGTACTTTGGGGAAATCCCTAGGAAGTAAGCAACAGGAAACTCAGCCTACCCAGGTCAGTTCAGATATAAATGCCGAGAAAGTTTGCAAAATTTCACAATAGCAGATTGACTTTGCTGAGAACAGAAGTTCCCAACAGAAATCAAAAGCAGATTCTGGGGCCGCTTTGACCAGTTTGTTCTGTGTCCAGCCAGAATGGAGATCCTTCACTCCTCTCTCGTCATCCTGGCCTGCCTTTTAGGGTCTCTGGCAGAGGAAGGTGAGTGCTGTGTTGAGCTGTACAGTTGAAATGCCTGTAGCTCTGCACCAGAGCTAAACAGCTGGATCGTCTGCTGTGGAACCACCAGGGCAGGATTGGGGGGAAAATCCTGGAGGGCTCCAATTGGTTCTGCAGCGATAGAACTGCTAGCGCATTGGAGGGACAGATAGGGCTCTGGAACCTGGGAAGGGAGCCCATGTAGGACAAGGAAAACGCTGATCCTAAACCTCTACTGCCTTGTGGGATGTCTTTGGGAGAAGAAAAGGCATATCCTCTTTTGAGGCTTTTAATGTTTAATAGATTATTGTATTTTAATATTTTGTTGGAAGCCGTCCAGAGTGGCTGGGGAAACCCAGCCAGATGGGCAGGGTAATAATAATAATAATAATAATAATAATATCCAGAGTCGAGTCCCTTAGGTGGTTGGATGGCACCTTGTATGCCTTCTTCCAGCCACTCCTGCTGCCAAGCTGGTGCCAAGTGTATTGCTCTGCTTTCCCTTGGACCATATCGGTGAGGCCGAGAGGGGGGGTCTTGTCATCTGGGCAGCCCAGGACCTCCATGCACACTGCCTAGGCTTGCCCCCCTCACTTCGGTGCAGCTAACGCAGCAGTTTGACTTCCCCCACTGGAGGCATACTCCATTGTCTCTCAAGACCAGGGGTCGGCAACCTATGGCCCATGGGCCACAAGCAGCCCATGGGGGTCGTTTAACTGGCCCACGGACCCCCGCTACCTGCTCAGTCGGTTCCCGTGCGCCGCACTAAACTGGCGCGGCGTGGAGCAGAGCAGGGACCGCCTTCTGCGATGCTGGCCGGCTTCCCATTGGCTGTAGGAAGCTCCTGCACCCAATGGGAAGCTGCGCCAGAAATAGTGTTTGTGCATGTGTGCGTGTGTGTGCAGTCCAGCCCACTGCGGCGTCTGCGGGATTGTGAACCAGCCTAAGCCACAAAAACTTTGCCGACTTCTGCTTGAGACAGATGGACGCCAACAGCATTTGCAAAGCTAAGCAGGGTCCGTATTGGTTTCAAATTGGATGGGGAGCATTGAGATTCCTGACCCTCAGAGTCCCTTCCAGCTCTCCGGTTCTGTGATCCTATGAATGAGCAGGAGTGGTCCGGGTTGCAGCAGGGCTGATGGTTGAACACATTTGAAGGAAGTGGAATAATACATTGCCATCTAAAGAACTGTCCCTGACCATAAATCTAGAGTGAAAGGGTGTTTTTTTTAGAGAGGAGACCATGAGGCCACCGAGTCAAGACTCGAAAATAGCCACTGTGCTGCTGTTTGTGACTCAGAGGCACTTGGAGGAAGGAGAAGATTTGGATGGGGAAGAGCTGGGGTTTCCCGGTGTGGTGAAAACAAACACAGCTGTGAGATTACTGTCTTGAATAGGCTGCGGGTTATGAACTTGGATTGCCTTTGTTTAAAGAACAGGAGTGTCCGTTGACTCATTGCTAAGAACAATGCGAAGTGCTGGAGCTCACTTTTAAGTAGTAATGAAACAAAGATTTAGTAAAGAAAAATAATAAAATAAAATCTAGTAAAGAAAAATAAAAAATTTTTTTAGTAGAGATTGGTTCTTCAGAGCAAATGAAGGTCTTGCACCTTGCACACATGTTCTTGTTCCTCTGGGCAAATTACTTGAGATTTTTTCAAACCCTTACTGTCCGCTGTGGTTCCAATATTTAACTATGCATTCTTGTGTTTGTTTACTTGTTTGTTTGTTGTTGTTGCACCTCAGGTTCTGCTTGTGTGCTTCCCTTAGATACCTAGTTGGCCAATGTGAGGACAAGATACTTGACTAGAGGGCCCACTGACCCGAAATACAGTGGTACCTCGGGTTACATACGCTTCAGGTTACATACACTTCAGGTTACAGACTCCGCTAACCCAGAAATAGTGCTTCAGGTTAAGAACTTTGCTTCAGGATAAGAACAGAAATCGGGCTCCGGCGGCGCGGCAGCAGCAGCAGGAGGCCCCATTAGCTAAAGTGGTGCTTCAGGTTAAGAAGTTAAGAACAGTTTCAGGTTAAGAACGGACCTCCGGAACGAATTAAGTACTTAACCTGAGGTACCACTGTAGCATCTTATGTGCTTATGCCATTTAATCCTGCTGCTTTTTTTAAAAAAATATTGTCATTAAATTTATTGTATTTTAATGATTTTCTTCTGACTTTTGCCCGTGGATCAGGCTTCCTCAACCTCGGCCCTCGAGATGTTTTGAGACTACAATTCCCATCATCGCTGACCACTGGTCCTGCTAGCTAAGGATCATGGGAGTTGTAGGCCAAAAACATCTGGAGGGCGGAGGTTGAGGAAGCCTGCCGTGGATTATCTTAACAATGGCATATTGATGGTTTATGAACGACGTGATTCATTAACAATACCAGCACAAAACAACTTTTGCATGTGATTCTGCCAGAGTCACAGTTCAGCCATTGGCTAAGACTGTTGGTTTTCTGAGCTCATAATTAAAAACGGTGGAGATCCCACCCAGCCCAGTGTTCAGCCCAGTGTGAGACCTGTCTTCTACAGAGGGCGTGATTTTCTATGATAAAGGTGGAGAAGCAGGGCTGACCAAGGCATTTTGCCACCTGAGGTGAGCTGGAAAATGGTGCCCTCTGCCATGTCTCACTCCTACAGAGGGTTTTATGTCACATGCACCCTCACCAAAACTGCTTCTAAGCTGCAGGGCGGGGCATGAAACAGTGTCAGCTCAATACATTTTGCTGCCTGAGGCAAAGGACAAGATGGCGCCCTTCCCCAAGGCCCATACACAAGCCAACTGGACTTAATCTACTCCAATACTGGTGAAAGGACTGTATCTTCCACTGCACCTGAGGGCAGCAGGCTAACACAGGGGGGTACAGGGCACTCATAGCCGTGCTTACTTCCTGCTAGGGCTGCCATACGTCTGGAATTTCCTGGACATCACTGGGATTTGTTCTTCAAAAATGGCGTCCGAGTGAAATTTTGGAAAATAGCTTGAAATGTCCGGGAAAACCCAGGCGTATGGCAGCCCATATTGGAAGTGTTGATTTGCGAATTTCCAAACACACACACACGCAAAAACCCCAACAACTTAAAAAAGTTCAACAACTTTGGTCAATGCCCCCCCCCCCCCAAGTCTGGATTTTTACTATCTGAAATATGGCACCCCTACTCCCTGCCCCCTCACCATCTGCTGCTTAAGGCAGTTGCATCCTTGTGCCTCATCATAGGGCCAGCCCTTCAAAACAACAAGTCCCATAGAAGTGAAGGCATATTATCATATGACCTAGTCTTCTTGCTGACACAGTCATACCTTGGTTCCTGAACAGTTTAGTTGCTGAACAAATCAGCTCCCAAATGCCACAAACACGGAAGTAAGTGTTCTGGTTTGTGAACGTTTTTTGGAATCCAAAAGTCTGACGCGGCTTCCGCTTGAGTGTGTCTTTATATGTTATTTTATGTTGTGGTATAGAAATTTAATGAAGAATAATAACAACATACCCTTCAACATTTCTCCAATGAAAACAGGCATGTTCTATTCCACAATAATAACATTTTTATTATTTATACCCTCCCATCTGACTGGGTTGCCCCAGTCACTCTGGATGGCTTCCATCATATATGAAAACACAATAAAACTTCAAACATTAAAAAAACTTCCCTATATAGGGCTACCTTCAGATGTCTTTTAAAGATTGTCATCTCTTTGGCTCGGAGCTTGCATAACTCCATACCCTCCAACATTTCTCTAATAAAAATAGGGACGTCAAAAGGAAAAGTGGGACATTCCTGGGTCAAATCAGAAACTGGGATGGCTTCTGTAAAACCAGGACTGTTCTTGGAAAATATGGAAGCTGAGAGGGTCTGAAACAACAACAACAACAACAACAGGTTTCTAGGGTAGGACCAAAAGTCAGTGGGCTACAGGATCTTAAAGCAATATCTCAGACAACGTTCAAGTAACACCTGCATGTAGTTATAGGTGTGAGGAAAAAACCCTTACTCTCTTCTTTTCCTGCCTCCAGACCTTCAAACGAATGTATTCATATTCCCAGAGAGTTCAAACACAGCTGCTGTGGTTTTGAATGCCTCGTTCCAGGATCCTTTCACCAGCGTCACCGTCTGCCTGAGAAGCTACACATTGCTGAACCGCGCCTACGGCCTCTTCTCTTATGCCACACGGAAAAGCGACAATGAGCTCCTGATCTTCAAGCCCAAACCCAACCAATACAACTTTTATGTGGGTGGCACATCGGTGACCTTCAGCGTTCCAGAAAGAATGACCTCTGGACCTCAGTGGGAGCACATCTGTATGAGCTGGGAGTCTGCCACGGGGTTGGTGGAGTTCTGGTTGGACGGGCAGCCTCTCCCCCGAATGGGCATGAAGAAGGGTTACTCTATAGGCACAGGGGGATCCCTTCTCCTGGCGCAAGATCAGGATTCCGTTGGAGGTGGCTTTGATATCAACCAGTCCTTTACAGGAGAGCTCACGGATGTGTACATGTGGGACCGGGTGCTGACTCCAGATGAGGTGCTTCTCATCCGCAATGGCGGCACCCTTTCCAAATATATTTTGAACTGGAGATCCCTGAGCTATCAAATTAAGGGGTATGTCGTAGTTAAGCCTTCCCTGATGACCATCTACTGAACTAGGGAGCTGCCTTAAATGAAGCCCTTGCCTAAAAAGAAATAGAGCTCTCTTAAAATTATCCAGATTTTCTTCAGGGTGTTTCAGTGGTGACGGTGTTGATCTCAACTCTTTCAGCCTGTGAACAAGTTCCGGGAAATCATACATGCAACTTCTTGTATACCATTGCCCTTCTAATAAAAAAAGATTGCATCTTATTTCCTTTTCCTTTTAAAAAAAATGTTTGTATTGCTGAGGAGAGAATGGGACAGATGTCCAACCAGATGTGGGAATGCTGTGGATACTAGGAGAGGGTATATTGATTTAATAGTATCCTTCCTCACTCATGCTTGTGAGTCAGCAGCAGCAGAGTGCATTCCCCAATATATATCAGGAATCTAGTTGGTAGATTCATTTGAATCCCTTTCCTTAAGCAATCCAATCTGGCTTTGTCCAGATTGGGTTTTGTTCCTGGGAAGTCCCCTTTATCCCTCCTAAAGAGAATAAAGACACAATAGCCTTCTTTATAAGTTATAAGAAGTTTACTTGCATTCAGTTCACAGCTGGATCCCTGAAGTCAGGCTTTAGCTTAGAGTTAAAGAAAAGAATGTGGGTTCATTCCACATGAGGATTTGAGGTGTGAGAGCCAGCGGACAGCAAAATACAACAGCATCAGCAGAAGAACAGCAAAAGAGAAAGAATGACCAGCCCTTTTTATGGGGTCTCCCAGGGTCACGCCCATCTACCTGATCACACGCAGGGGGAAGAAGCCCCAGACCAGGTGTGACAGGAAGTCTTCCTGGCTGGAGTAACATCCCCCTGTGTGTCCACTCTGGGCAAACAGGAAGTGTTGTACTTTACTGCTTATGTTACATCCCACCCCAGAATGGTCCAGACAAGTTTTGGGAGGAAAGTCTTTGTTTTGCTTCTCCCAAAATTTGGAGATGGGGAAGTAGAGTTGTGTGCAAAATGGCCTCTTGGCACCCTCCATCCTATTTCGGAAGCAGATCACTTTGGGCTTGGGGGGGGGGCTTTCACAAAATTTATCCAAGGGTAGGAGAAATCTCCCAATGTTTTCTCAGGGCTGGCCTCAGCTGCACCATTAGCAGCGGTAGCAGTGCAGCTACCTTCTGGACTGGAGAAAGGAAATAAAATACCATATTTTTCGCTCTATAAGACACACCTTTTCCCTCCTAAAAAGTAAGGAGAAATGTGTGTGCGTCTTATGGAGCAAATGCAGGCTGTACAGCTATCCCAGAAGCCAGAACAGCAAGAGGGATCATTGCTTTCGCTGCACAGCGATCCCTCTTGCTGTTCTGGCTTCTGAGATTCAGAATTTTTTTCTTCTTGTTTTCCTCCTCCAAAAACTAGGTGCGTCTTATGGTCTGGTGTGTCTTATAGAGCGAAAAATACGGTAACTGTTTCCACAGATGCATAAAATTGCTTTTACCTCGGTGGGGATATTTAGTAATTTATAGATCTGTATCAAATGGGAACTTCACAGCCAGAACATTTTGACAGTAAGAGCAGTTTAACAATGAAAACAATTAAGTAGAGCAGTGGTGGGGAACTTTTCTGGCTCCTCCTAGGCCAACATTGACAGTAGGTTAGTTTTTCTGTACACACTCACAAGCCGTTCTATCTTGCATCCAAGCAAGTAAAAGACATCATCACACTTCAAGGACTCATTCTGGCCAAGCAAAGACACTCCAGGGGGGTGCAGAGCGTATTGCAGATATTAATATTGCGCAGCTTGAAGCAGTAGGATGAATAAAAACTCCTGGAATAAAAATGGTCCAGACCCATCAATATAATTCGAAAGTTTTACTCGAACTTTCTTCAAACAGACTTAAAACAATAAAGAGACATCCAAGTGGTTGCATAATTTAAATGCTTGTCCAAGCGTAGGTTCAGCTACTTTAAAACATAATGCAACTCCAAACAGACCAGAAATCAAAAGTCTTCCTCTCCACACAGACTCCATTAAAGTCTGGAACTGTTTTCTCCCCAGGCGAGACCCGATTAGTACACATCTCTACTTGGGTGGTTTTTGCAGCCCTCCCGTATATGTCTCTCGTTGCCAGAGAATTGAAAGGGATGGGGATTCAGCCCTTTGCAACAGACCACCAACCCTCAGAGTGCTTCACTCCTGCTCCAGAATATTCCGCGTCTCATGCTAAGCCTACAGATGACCTTTTTTTTTGAAGTAGCAAAGAAGTAGCAAAGAAGACAATGCACAGTGTGATAAGTCAAGCTCCCTGCTCAGGTGGTGGCCACTGGGGGAATTTCCAGACATCCAGCAGTTTTTCAGAGGGCTTTAAACAGAAGAAACACATCTTTGTTTCAGGTAACAGGCACCCTTTGTTTTGGCCAAGGAGAGCTCTGACAGCGTGGAATCTTGTTCAGACCTCATGTTTCCCCGTCACCAAATCATGGCTCTGAGATCAGGAGAGGACTTGAACTCCCTCCTCTCTGCTTTTGTCCTTTAATGTAAGGTTACCAGATTTTTTTCAATGAATCCGGGGACACTTTTCAGCTTCAATGGATTTTGTATGGGGACTGATTTGTAAATCCAGGGACTGTTCCCGGGAAACGGGGACGTCTGGTAACCTTACATGGAGTTTTGTTTTCAACACAACTGAAGACCAAACAACCTACAACTGATAATTTAGTCTAGGAATGGTGGAAGAAATTTGATTTCATTCACCTTTAAAGGCAAAAACAATGTATGCAGCGCTTTCCAAAGCAATACGTAAACTGAAACACAGTTTCTGAATTTTGCAGTGCCATTCTAAAGCCAAGTAATGTGTACAAGAATGCACACTCCTTGGATAGGAGTGGGCATAAACATGTGTATATTAGTAAATAACATACAAAAATGCATTATATTTGAAAAAAATGCTGTGCAGAACATTGTATGTTACCCAAAATCTTATATAAATGATGGGAAATGGAAATGGACAGATTTGCCCCTCCCCAACACCTCCACACTGATAAGCAAGAGGTATCATTACAGATCACGGATATATTCTAGTCAGGTGGGAGACCAGGATAAGCATGGTGAGAAGATTAAAATAATTCACCCAAAAAAGTATCAAATAAAGCAGAACTGCACACCGGCAAGTCACCAGATATCTCTGTTTCTCAAAGAATGACGTATTTTTGCAATGAAATTTCCCCTAACATAACGCATTCCTGTATGTATTTATTTTTAACTAATAAATGCATTTACATGCAGACTTTACCCTAGAGCAGGTGTGGGGAAACTTTGGCCTTTCGCTTGGTTCTGAACTACAATTTCCATTATCCCTAGCAAGTATGGCCAATGGCTAGGCATGCTGGGAGCCGTAGTTCAGCAACATCTGGAGGGCCAAAGGTCCCCCTCCCCACCTTAGTACATGCCACACAGGACGTGGCAGGATAACTGCATTGCAAAATTCAGAGTACAAATTTCAAAGGATGTCTGGGTTTGTGTTCACATATAGTTTTGGAAAGTGGAAATTAATTATGTTTGTCTTTAAATGTGAACTGAATTGGATTTCTGTCCCTTCGCTAAGTTGGAGGGTGGATGTAGGGAGCCTCCCACAGTGTTGGAAGCTTCCTGAACATTTCAGGTTTTCCAGAGAGGCAAAGCCACCTGGTTTGCTCAGAAGGAAGGTGTTAAACCAAGCAAAGGTCTGGTGAAGGCTAAGAAACTTGCCTAGGGAGAATCCAAGGGCCAGATAGAGATTCCTGGGGGCCCACATCTGGTCCTTGGGCCTGAGACTTCCCACCCCTGCCCTAGCATCCAAAGAGGAGGACATCAACATAAAAGCACAGAAGTAAATGCCAGAGGTGCTCTTGTGGATTAAGGGGGCAGTAATCTTGATTGTTCTGTAAGATTATCCCTAGGATAGGAAATACACTTTAATAAACTTGCCTCTAATCTTTTCAGCAGCCTTGGCAGGCATAAAAAGCCACCTGAGAAGCAACATTTACCAGAATGGGATAATAGGCAACCTACCTTCTGGACATGTGCTTCTTAAGAACAGGTGCCAGGTAGAACTCAACAGCCAAGAAGATGGAGTCCCAAGGAGGTTGCCAACAAACACCCTGGAAGGAGACATGAGAGACAAGTGGTGGTGGTCCTATTAAACATATAATTTGTGCTCATATTAAACATAGAAGATTTGCCAAAAACCCTACCTAATTGTGTAACTATGGTGGGTTTGAATTAACATCTAAGAGGGAAGTATCATTCAATCTCCTGGGCATATGAAAAGCTGTGTTCCATGGCTCACCAGCCAAGAACGATGGGAAAATTCTCCCTCCTTGCTCAGAGCACCTTGGGTAGGCGAAGCCAATATGTTCACCCAGACCCATTGACCAGGATTCACCAAGATGTGCATGACAGGTCCGAAGGACACCCCAAGCTGAAGGCTGTAGAAGGTGGCAGGTTCAAGGCTCAAAACCTGTAAAAAGCTGAAGAAAACGATTTTCAACATTTTGTGCCAAATAGCTCACAACATATGGGAATAATATAACAATTCAACAAACAGATTCACAAACAATCACACCATATTGATAATAAAAAATGTATCCTTGTGTCCATTAAAAAGCCAAAAGTGCCCCCCCATTTTTTCAAGCAAAGAACTGAATCACAAAATTCTGAGGGTTCAGATACATTATTTCATTCAGTGTGATTTCTCCAATGAGAAAGACATTTTGAATTTTGCAGAAAACACATTTCTACCTGTAAATTCTGTATCCCACAAGGTTGTCTGGAAAGCCTCCCGACGTATGTGTGGGCTAAGAGGGATCGTTTTCATACTGGCAGGGTTTTGTTTTTTAAAAAACCCAGCTGACAACTGATACCATGTTTGGGATGGGAAAAATATTTCCATCTATTTCATGGATTATCCCCCTGCAAATCCCTTGCTGTGCACCTATAAATACCAGAGAGACTCTCCAGTAGCTCCAAATCGGTGACCAGCTTCAACCAGGAAGGAAGTCTCCAAGGCAGATCTGACCATTTCGGAGATCCATTTCATCCTCCCTCCAGGCCCCTCCCACCGTGCAGCCAGCAGCATGGAGATCTTCCATCCCTTTCTCCTCATCCTTGCTGTCCTGCTGGGATCTCTTGCCCAGGAAGGTGGGTGCTGCGTTGAGCTGTAAAAGCAACCCAGGGGCGTGAGCTGGAAGGCTGGGGCACATTTGTGAAAGTGGCTTTAGAGGAGATAAGACAAATTCATGGAGTAGGATGGGTCTATCAAGGGCTATTAGGCATGACATCTGGAAACAAAATATTGCAGCAAGGAGTGCAGCTTTTCACAGTTCCAACTCCTTCTTTCCACCCTTTCCACCGTCCCTTTAAAAAAAAAGCTTTTCTGTTTCTGAGTTGTTCTTCTGTTCTGCTTCCATCTGTGATTCAGGTTGTGTTCCCCATAATCTTTTACTGGGAATATAAAAGCAACTATCACTCCCCCCCCCTCTTTTGACAGAAGCAGATGGAATTTGCAGGTAATCGTTTCAGGCAATACTTTCTACAATTTGAAATATAGTGGTACCTTGGGTTACATACGCTTCAGGTTACATATGCTTCAGGTTACAGACTCCGCTAACCCAGAAATATTACCTCGGGTTAAGAACTTTGCTTCAGGATGAGAACAAAAATCGTGTAGAGGCGGCGCAGTGGCAGCGGGAGGCCCCATTAGCTAAAGTGGTGCTTCAGGTTAAGAACAGTTTCAGGTTAAGAACAGACCTCCAGAACGAATTAAGTTCTTAACACGAGGTACTACTGTATAGATGTTTTCAAAACTTGTGCTGTCTCTTAATTGGAATCAGTTTGTCTCCCTTTTCTATGATATTCTCTCGACTGGAGATATTCACAACAGAATAGAAAATCACCACCTACTAACTGTTTTATTTCTTCTTATGACCAAAAAAAGTCATTATATACCTAATTAAACTATGGAGTTTGCTCCCACGAGAAGTAATGATGGCTTCCAGCAGCAGCAGCAGTTTTATTATTTATACCCCACCCATCTGACTGGGTTTCCAGGAGGGCTTTAAAAGAGAAGTAGATGAACTCATGGAGAATGGCTATTGTCAGGAGCCGGCCTGAGGAGGAATGGTGGGAACCAAGAAGAGGAGGACAGTATAGATTTAGAACGGTGGTTTGCAGAAGGTCATAGTTCAGAGACTGCAGAGGAGAGGAGCTGGGAAATATTGGGAGAGACAGCTAACAGACTCAGGGTCTCTTGAAAGCATTCCCGACCCCCCCTCTCCCAGAACCAGGTGTGCCTTGAGGGTAGTAGAACAGAAAGCTCAGAGGCAGAAAGCACAGATAAGCTGGTGCAGGAGCGACATAGAATAGGAGGGACTGAGGGAGGGGGACTTTACTTGGAGCAACATCATTATCTAAGAGAGATCGCATCCCTTCGTCTCTCTCTGTGAATGTTGAATAAACTACCCGGTAAGAACTCTTCTGGTTTTTCTGCTTCTTGGCATCCCACCGTGAGAGAGATAGGATTCCCTGAACCCTTGACAGCTATCAATGGTTACAAACCATGATGGCTTTGTCCTATCTCCACTGGATTACTGTATTTTAATATTTTGTTGGAAGCTGCCCAGAGTGGCTGGGGAAGCCCAGCCAGATGGGCAGGGTATAAATAAATAAATTAATAAATAATAGGAGGTAGTCTGCCTTTGAATGCCAGTTGCTGGGAATCACAAGTACTGAGAGTGTCGTTGAGCCCATGACATGCGTGTGAGCTTTTCATTGGTTGGCCACTGCAAGTACATGATGCTGAACTGGATAGACGATGTGGCCAACATCCAGACTTCCTTCAGATGAGGCACACGGAGAAACAGAGCCTAACATAAATAATGGCACCGTCTTGGTGCCATACTAATCCTTGGAAAAAAATGTCTGCTCCTTTTAAACTGTTCTCTTCCTCCACCCCCCAGATCTTGAAAGGCAGGTCTTCATATTCCCGGAATCATCGGACACCAGCCACGTGGTTTTGAAGGCCACCTCACAGCAGCCTTTGACCAGCTTCACCATCTGCCTGAGATCCTACACGGACATGACCCGGGCTCACACCCTATTCTCTTACGCAACCAAGACGAGTGACAATGAGATCGTGGTCTTCAAATCCAAAACCAATGAGTACAGCCTTTATGTGGGGACTGCAGATGTGATTTTCTTCTTCCCAGAAAAGCTGGTTTCCGAACCTAGCTGGGAGCAGATCTGTATGAGTTGGGAATCTGACACAGGATTAGTGGAGTTCTGGCTTGATGGGCAACCTTTTCCCCGAAACGGTATGATGAAAGGTCATGTTATAAGTCCAGAGGCATCGATTGTCCTGGGGCAAGATCAGGATTCCTTTGGGGGTGGCTTTGATATCAACCAGTCCTTTGTAGGGGAGCTCACAGATGTGTACATGTGGGACCGGGTGCTGTCTGGGGACGAAATGTGCCTTGTCTGGGACAACCATGTTCCTTCCAACCCAATAATTAACTGGAGATCGTTAAATTATGTCATGAGAGGCTACACTGTTCTTAAGCCCTTCCTGTTTTCCAACTGTAGAGCTGAGTAGGCTTTGCAAACAGACGGAGAGTCTTTAAAAAAACAACACATTACAGGGGGGTGGACTAAATGATCCTTAGGGTCCCTTCCAACTTTATGCTTCTTTGATTGAAGCCTCCAACAGGGCTTAAAGTTAGGATTGTGGTGGTAGTCCTTAAAAGATCTCTACTTTTGCATGGCAATAGACACTGTTAGTTGCACCGATTTCAGTTCTTTCTGCTGGAAAGAGGAGTTCTGTGAAACCCACAAGCTGTCGTTTCCATCTCTTCCTCCAATAAAAGATTAACTCTTACGTCTGTTGTATTCTTCAGCAACGTCTTCCTTCAACAACAGTGGGGAGACTTGAGTTTGTTTCTTCCAAAGTCTGGGGCTGGGGTGGGGGGAGGGAATCGCTTTTAAAGCTGATTCTACCTGATTCACACTTTCCAAAACAATGCCTGAACTGTCACACAGCCATCCTCCAAAATCCACACTGCTCTGAATCTTGCAATGCCATGTCATGTGTACAGCCAACATATGCAGATACTGGGGTGAAGTGTGCATACAAATGCGTATATTAGAGAAAACCAGCTTACAAAATGCATTATTTGTTTAGGGAAAATTCTTTTTGCAAAATTGTGCATATTAGGCAAAATTGCCTAGAAAAGTGTGTCTATTAGGAGAAATTTGCACTAAAATGCTGATAAATGTGGGTGATAAACCATAATAATAATAATAATAATAATAAAGCAAATGAGCTTGTGAAGAACTGAAGTTAAGATTGGAAAAAGGAGAAAATATGAGAAATCAATACACTGGCAGATTTACCCGTCTCTAGAGACATGAGGCTGTGATGGTGGGGGGTGGGGGTGCTGATTAAACTGGGAGCATTTCATTGCCCTTGTAGTTTGACTCGGGGAAGGGAAACAACAACTCAATTCATCTTATTTGGCCCCAGCACAGAATGGCTATGCATCTCTACCATAAACCACCTGCCATCATTTTATGCGTTCACAAATATTTGGACAGTAATCTAAAGACTGTAAAACTGGGCCTGCAGGGTTGTCATCCCATCCTCCCCCCCCCCCAAGAAAGGGAGAACCAGGTGTTAAATCAACCACACCTTTCTTTTAAAGTGTATTTTGTTGATTTTCAAGAAACACATTTCAGCTGCTCTTTCACCGCAAACAAAAACCAAGTAAAATGGAGTATGGTCTCCTCGTTTGCATAAAGCAATTACAAGTATACATCATGGTATATATAACACACCTAAATTCTCTCTGTAGCGATTCATGCGTCATCAAAGGTTTTATTCAGGAAGCTGAACTTGCTGGCATAAATAAGAAACATAAACCACGTTGTCTCAAGTTTGAAATCAATGCCTTTCTGAAAATGTTCTTGCTTTTGAACTCCTTTGTGAAAAACTTTCCCCTTTGGACTCCTTTGTGAAAAATTGAAAGCAAGGAAATGCTGGTTGCCAGTTCTGAGGTAATCTTTCCCCAAGAGCGTTTCCCGAAACATTTCCCTTCATGCCCCTCAAGCTCATATTTGGGAAAGAGTTTGAAGCTCTCAGTTGAGAACTGATCTCTTGAAGAGCCTGTTACCTTGACACCCTCTCTCCTCTCTTCGTTCTGCAGTCAGGCAAGATGGAGAAGGCCTTCCTCTCCCTTCTTGTCCTTGTGAGGGTCTTGGGGTCTTTTGGCCAGCAAGGTGGGTGACAACCTCAGCTGCATTGTTGTGTGTGTGTGTAGAAGTGGGTGGGTGGCTTCTGTAGCACAGTCTTGCACATACAAAAGCCCCCCCCCTTTTAATGATTTTAGATTTCTGACACAACATCTTCATTCTTTGTTTATTTAAAGGGGTGGGTTGAATCTAGAAGAGGAAGTTGTTGTTTTTTTAAAAAAGGAAGAAATCAGTGGCGGTTGATGCTTCCACTGCAAAATTCTGTTGCTTCAACTGTCTTGGGGCCAGGGGAGGAGGAAACTGCTCAGGCGCCTGGGGGGCGCATCGGGGGGGAAGCCACCCATGGGGCAGGGCATACCGCGGGGCCTCTGGAGTCTGCCTGCCTCCTCTCCCACTCAGCTGCTCAGCTGGGGGGGGAGGCAGCAGGGGGACCATTAGGGCATTGTGGAGCCTGTGTGAACCCAAGCCACTGCGTCTCTCCCAGGCCCCACGGTGAGTGCTGCCTGGCATTTTGTCACCCCCCTCAGTGGTGACACCAGTGGGGGGGGCCTGCACCCACTGCACCCCCCTTTCTCTGCCCCTGCTGGGAGCTACCTTCCACACCGAGCTGAAGACAAGGAAAGGAGATGAAGACTTCTGCAAAGGAGGCATGGCTGGTGGTGGCGGCGGCAAGTTTTGGGGGGACTCTTAGGAAAGGCAGCCTCAAGGGCTTGAAGAACCTAGAACAGGTGAGATGCAGAGAGAGACAAGTATCTCATGCTGCCTTTGATGCAAAGGAAGGCAAAAAGTTTTGATAAGAAAGTTGTGACATTTTCTCTCTTCCTCTGTTTGGGACTATTGCAGATATTGATATTGCACAGCATGAAGCAATTGGGTGCATAAAAGCTGGCTCCTTTCGGAATAAAAATTGCCTAGGCTCATAATTAAGATTCAAAGCTTTACTAACCAGAACCTCTTCAAAAACAGGCACAAAACTATCAACAACACATTCTAGAAAGCTGTACAAAGTACATGTATACCCAAGCATAGGTTCTTCTTCTTAAATATATAACTTAATTATGATCAGAGCGGAAACCAGTGCTTTGCCTCTCCCATAGCCTGCAACCAGCCTAAGGCCAGGCAGCTCCAGGGAAGACCTCTTATCACATCCTTCTTTCACTGTGCCAGGGAACAAAATGCAAAGGCGGCTTCCTTTCGAAATGGCGAATTTGCAATTGAACACTTTAATCTAAGGTTAAACACTCATGTGAAGGATAATGGTTTAATTTCCTGAAATGGGAATGTTTACTTACGTTGGGTTATTGTGCCTTTTTAATATGGGGTTTTAAAATCTGGCAGAGGCTTTCATGTGATTGGCTGACTGTGAGTCACATGAAAGAGGCATTCCATTCTGTTGTGACTGTTATGCCTGTAACTGTCATTTTTAACCGTTTTTCTACTTCTCTCTCTCTCTGAGAGAGGCTACTCAGGATAATGCTGTGGGCAGTGTGTGTGCTGGTGTGATCTATCTGAAGTGAAACAGACAGAGGAAGATCCCTAAATGTTAATAAGGATAAATTCTCAACTATATGTTTATGAAAGGAAAGTTCTTTTTGAATATAAAGAGTCTGGGCACTGTCTTTACAAAGAAGTTTTCAACTACTCAGAATAGTTATTTAGCTTCCTAGCTGTAAGCTACTTTGCATATTATCAAAATTTACACACACACACACACACACACACACACACACACAGAGGCTAGCAGAGAACATCAGTAGTTAATTATCAACAGGTTAGAGCTTAGCGAGAGCTTCAATATAGTCGTACGTCAGCTCCCGAACACCTTGGGAGCTGAACGTTTCAGCTCCCAAGTGATTGAAAACCAGAAGTGTTCTGGTTTTTGAACATTCTTTCAGAAGCTGAACGTCTGACGGGGCTTCCACAGCTTCCAATCAGAAGCTGCACTTTGGTTTTCAAACGTTTTGGAAGTCGAGCGGAGTTCCGGTACGGAATTCTGTTCGACTTCTGAGGTACGACTGTATGCTTCAAAGGAATTTTTCAACGTGAAACCCTTAGCAACATACATGCAGGCATTCTCCATTTCAGTGTGCAATTAAACAATTATATTTAACATGTGGCACCCTTAATTCTCCTCCTCTCACCTCAGGTTCGGGCCTCGCTGGGAAGCAGCTCGTTTTTCCACAGGCATCAAACTCTGCCCACGTGGTTCTGAAGGCCGCCCCAAAGCGGCCCTTGACCAGCTTCACCCTCTGCCTGGCCCATTTCACAGACCTCAACCGCCCCCACACCTTCTTCTCTTACGCCACCCGGGGAAGTTTCAACGAGATCATCCTCCTCAAAGAAAAAAACAACGTGTATGGATTTGCAGTAGGGAATGAAGCGGTGACCTTCACGGATCCGGAAAAAAAATCGCTCGGCAGGGAGATCTTGTGCGCGACTTGGGATTCTGCCACTGGTTTAGCAGAGTTGTGGGTGAATTCGAAGCGCATGCCCCGCAAGGGCCTGAGGAAAGGGTACTCCATAAGTGGGGAGCCGTCGATCGTGCTCGGTCAAGAGCAAGACACGATGGGGGGTGGCTTTGACATAAACGATTGCTTTGTGGGGGAGCTCCAGGATGTGAGAATGTGGGACCGGGTGCTCACCTACCCAGAACTGGAGCTCGCTTTCCTCAACCAAGACGTTCCTGGCGACTACGTGTTTGACTGGAAAACAGTCGATTATGAAATCAAGGGTTATGTTATTGTTAACCCCGTGGCCTACTAAGGCAGGGGTTACCTGACATCCAAAATGCTGGTCTAAGAAAAGGTCTCTCTCTCTGTGACTTTTCTTTACTTAGCGATTCCTGTGTCGATCTCTGAAGCTTGCTGCAGAATTTTTTTGGGGGGGGGTGTTGCAAAATTCAATGAAATGTGAATTTCAAATGATACCTGCATCTTGGTTCCTGAATTGTTCTGTGAAGTGCAGTTAGGGTAATACAAACCAAACTAAATTTCAAACTCCATCTGAAGTATCCTCCTGGGACAAGAAGGGTGTGGAAGGAGATTTTGGGGAGGTCTTTTCCTGGGAAAGATTGCATAACAATTGGCAGCTGGGGGTGTTTCTAAAAGAAACTTGACTGAAACAGAAAAAGGTAATAAAAATCAGATGCAATCTTTTCTGGAGAAAGAAGAATTGACAAGAGGTTCGCACCTCTTATATTACCACTTTTGTGGAGATTGTGGAGATTTCGCAGCCCCTGGACTTCTCCTGAGCATGCTGGGCGCTTCATAAATAAGAAGATGTAGGGGAAAGAATGTGAGATGTGATATATAAGTAGCAGTCAAGTACAACATTTCTTGTTTTCCTAGAGTGGACATGCGATGGAATGTTTGGTCCAATTGGTTGAAAACTTCCTGTTTCCTCCTGACTGGGACATACTTCCTTTTGCTTGTGACTAGAGGTGGGCGTGACCTTACCTGCCCAGGCAAGAAAAGAGCAAGGCACGCAGCACACTCTCTTCTTCGCCTCTCTTCTCCATCTTGCTTTCATCTTGTGAGCTGCAGGGACTGCCAGTCTGCAGTCACTGGGATTACTCCCCCCCCCCAAAAAGGAGTAGATCCACATGTATATACGTACTTTGTAACTAAGTCTGCCTTCAGGGATCCAACTGTGAACTGATGGTGAGTAAACTTCTTTGACATACTTTACACAAGATTGTGGTGTGCTTATTCTTTTAAGGGGACTTACCAGGAACCTAATATTGAGAGGCTTAAACAAGCCTGGAACCATCTATCTGCTGTGCGTTTAAAGGGGAATATAAACTCTGCTAAGTAAAGGAACTTGCTAGCGCAAGTTAGGAAGGATATTAATAAACAATATGTCCTCTGCCGCCTCCCTGAACATTCCCACAAAGAAATTACAGCTGTCAATGCTCCATTGTTTTTCTTGAAGGTGCCCTCAGCTCTGTAGACAGGCAACAGGGCAGGTGTGAGGCGTACTTTGCCTTTGGTCTCCAAATATGGCCATCCCCCACAACAACTCTTTGAGGTAGGCCATGCTCTGAGTGGTTGGCCTGAGGTCACATGGTGAACTTCATGGCAGAATGGCGGTTTTAACCCTGTTCTCCATCCCACATTCTCGAAAATAAGGCGAGGAAGGGAATAACCTCAGGGAGGGAGATGATATTTCTCCAGAAGTTTGGAAATTTATGGGATCCTTTGTCAACGGTCTTGTGTATTGCAGTTATGAATGGTGCACATTTGGAAGAAAAAGGAAGAATAAAACCAGACTCTTCTTGAAATTAAAAATTGGCCAGTCCAAACATATGGTGCAAAGGCTTTACTTACAAGAACGTGATTCGAAACAAACAAAAAACCAAAAAATGTTACATTCAGACAATTGCATAATATCATGTGCTGATTTCATGACAGGTCTGATCATGTCATGACAGGTTATGCCATGTCATAACAAGATAAGGCATGACAAGACAAGAATGTTGAAGTGCAGTTTTCTAGCAAAGTAATGTGTGCAGAAATACATATGCTCAGCTGATGCCTGCATTGATTCATGAAAATACAGTATTTTTCCATGTATAACACGCCCCCATGTATATGACGGCCTAGTTTGGGGGACTCCAAATTGAGAAAAACGGATTGTATCCGTGTATAAGATGACCCACAATTCTGAACGTAATTTTTTAATTAAAAAAACCTAGTCTTATACAGTGGTACCTCAGGTTAAGTACTTAATTCGTTCTGGAGGTCCATTCTTAACCTGAAGCTGTTCTTAACCTGAAGCACCACTTTAGCTAATGGGGCCTCCCACTGCCGCTGGAGCACAATTTCTGTTCTCATCCTGAAGCAAAGCTCTTAACCCGAGGTACTATTTCTGGGTTAGCGGAGTCTGTAACCTGAAGCGTATGTACCTGAGGTACCACTGTACACGAAAAGGTACAGTAACTTTCAAGAAGGCATTACATTCGGGAAACCATTTTGCGGAAGTGTGTATATCAGACAAAATCGTGTACAAGGCACCTATATTCACCCTAAGACGCTGACGAACTTTCACAAGCACTAAGAAAAAAATTGCAATTGCAAACCGAAGCAGAAATGTAGAGAACGGAAGACTGTAAAAAATGGAGACTAACCCAAACTGACAGATCCATCCTCCTTCATCGGAAGAAGATTAGCATAGGGCAGGTGGGGGAGGGGAACCTTTGGACCACCCAGAGGCTGCAGAAACTAGAGCTCCCATTGTTGTTGGGAGTTGTAGTTGAACAAAATCCAGAGGCCCCCCCCCCCCAAATCACACAGAAATCTTAATAGGCTGGAAAGTGCTGAGCTCAACAGAGCAGTTCCTTGCCGAGCCAGCAAGAGACTCTCAGAGCGCCACCCTCCTCCAGCAGCAGGGCACCGCTTGCAAAGGGCACTCGCAACCTGCTCTGCTAACTGGCAAGAGGGTGGGCGTGAGAAAGACGTTGCCCTTGATCTTGTAAGCCAAGGACCCCCAGTTGATCACGGAGTTGGCTGGGATGCGCTTGTCCCCCACGCGACACATTTCCTGGGGGCTCAAGACCCGTTCCCACATGTAGACGTCGGTGAGCTCGCCTACAAAGGACTGCATCAAGTCGAAGCCGCTTCCCATGGCATCCTGGTCTTGCCCCAGGATGATGGAGGCCTGGGGGGCGACGGCATAGCCCGGCTTCACCGCCTTCCGGGGCAGAGGGTTGCCATCCAGCCAAAACTGTAGCACCCCGCTGGTGGAGTCCCAAGCCAGGCAGATGTGCTCCCACGCCGGCAGTGGGGCCGCCCTCTCTGCGATGTTCAGCTTTACCGCATCACCCCCGATGTACAGCCTGTATTGGGAGCGGCTCAGTCGGTCGACGGCGATGTCGTTGGGCTCGGCCTCGGTGGCGTAAGAGAACAGGGTCTGGGCCCGAGCGACGTCCGTGTAGAGCCTCATGCAAACTGTGAAGCTGCTCAAAGGCCGCTCCAGCCTGGCTTTCACGACCACGTGAGCAGTGTTGGTTGGCTGCGGGAAAAGGAAGACCTTCCTCTGGAGATCTGTGGAACCATAGAAGTGTAGAGGTGGAAAGGGAGTCCCCCAAGAGTCATCTATACCTGAAGGAGCATCTCCACCCCCAACATTCAACCCAGACACAGGTCCAGCGCCGTGGGCCTTCTGGTGGTTCCCTCACTGTGAGGTTACAGGGAATCAGGCAGAGGGCAGAGGGCCTTCTTGGTAGTGGCACCTGCCCTGTGGAACCCTTCAGATGTCAAGGAAATAAACAACTATCTGACTTTTAGAAGACATCTGAAGGCTGTTTTGGGAAGTTTTAAATGTTTGATGTTTGTCGTGTTTTTAATACAGCGGTAACTCGGGTTAAGAACTAAATTTGTTCCGGAGGTCCGTTCTTAACCTGAAACTGTTCTTAACCTGAAGTACCACTAATGGGGTCTCCTGCTGCTGCCGCCCCGTCGGAGCCCGATTTCTGTTCTCATCCTGAAGCACAGTTCTTAACCCGAGGTACTATTTCTGGGTTAGCAGAGTCTGTAACCTGAAGCGTCTGTAAGATGAAGTGTCTGTAACCTGAGGTACCACTGTATTCTGTTGGGAGCCACCCAGAGTGGCTGGGGAAACTCAGCCAGATGGGTGGGGTATAAATTTTATTATTATTATTATTATTATTACTACTACTACTATTATTATTATTATGTCCAATCCCAGACAGACAAAAGCACTCAAGGAGGATGTGAAGCAGGGAAGGCCGCATCTTGTTCCTAATGGATTCCCCACCCTGCCCCGCCCCTCTTAGTCTTTGAAGAAGATGCTCTTACGGCTGTCTGAAAGACTGATCAGCGCTTCATTGGGTTTACTGGGGGAGGGGGCAAAACATGCTTGCAACTCTTCCACTTGCCCCATCCACTCACCTCAATCACTCAAGCCCCCCCCCCCCACTATTTCCCAACTATAATCTTCTCCCTTTTTCTAGATGACAGCTCTGTGCCATAAGACCGACCTGCAACGGTTCTTTGGTGCTCATGCGCCACCTGGCGGCCGATTCAGATAGCGCATGCATGTGTGATGATAGCAGATTCCATCCTAAAGGTAAAGGTAAAGGGACCCCTGACCATTAGGTCCAGTCGTGGCCAACTATGGGGTTGCGGTGCTCATCTCGCTTTACTGGCCGAGGGAGCCGGCGTACAGATTCCGGGCCATGTGGCCAGCATGACGAAGCTGCTTCTGGCGAACCAGAGCAGCGCACGGAAACAGTGCCACCCACGTCCCAAGATTCCATCCTATTCACTTTAAAATATGGCAGGGGCGGGGCGGTTCACAGCTCAGCTTTAAGCGCACTGTATGCTGCACAAACATAAGGTCCCAGAGTGGAGACAATATTGGGTTGGCTGGAGAAACAAACTGATCTGCTCCGAGGCAGCTTTTTGCGTATCGTTGATCCCTTTTATTCCTGTATTTAAGCTTGTGCTTACGTCTCTTGTTCAAGTCAGTGGGATTCCGCAGCGCTTAATTCTGGGTTGTGTGTTCAGCCACACAGACTCTGTAAGTAATCAGGCATTACTGGCCAACGAGACTGTGTTGTTTAAGCCCCAGAGTGGGAGGGAATGGAAATTCTGACGTGCAATTTGAGAATTTGGGGTTGTTGGTTTTTTTTGCTGTCAGTCTGACATTTGAGAGTTGTATTTGACATCACTCCTGCCTTTCCATGTTTCACATATCTGATATGCAGATCCGACCACAGGTCCAGCTAGCCTAGTACAGTGGTACCTCGGGTTACAGACGCTTTGGGTTACAAACTCCGCTAACCAAGAAATGGTTGCTCCAGGTTAAGAACTTTGCCCCAGGATAAGAATGGAAATCGCACGCCAGCGGCACAGCGGCAGCAGGAGGCCCCATTAGCTAAAATGGGGTCTCAGGTTAAGAACCGTTTCAGGTTAAGAACGGACCTCTGGAACGAATTAAGTTCTTAACCCGAGGTACCACTGTACTGTCTTCTGACAGGAGCTCTGTAGCGTTACAGAGTCATAGAATTGTAGAGCAGGAAGGGACCCTAAGGGTCATCTAGTCCAACCCCTGCAATGCAGGACCTTTCATGCAAGCGACCTTCCCAGTCCTACCTGGAGATGCTGGGAATTGAGCCTGGGAAACTGCTGTACACAAAGCACGTGGGCTCCTTTCCCTAAATATAAAGTAAGCTTCCCGTCCTCATTGTTCTTAATAAAGGGCTAATAATAATAATAATAATAATAATAATAATTTATTATTTATTATTTATACCCCACCCATCTGGCTGAGTTTCCCCAGCCACTCTGGGCGGCTCCCAATCAAGTGTTAAAAACAGTACAGCATCAAATATTTAAAACTTCCCTAAACAGGGCTATGTTTAGGAACAGTATTGTCCACACTGACTGGCAGCGGCTGTTTAGAGGTTTCAGACAGAGAGGTCCTTCCCAGAGCCACCTGGAGATGCCGGGATTTGAACCTGGGACTTCATGCAAAGCAGTTCCTCTACCCGCTCAGCCACAGCCCTTCCCTTTGGCTCTAATTCAAACCCAGCCAGAAACAGGGATACCTCCATGTCTGCCCTCACAATGCAGCCAGTCAGTCCATTCACACAGCAACACCCACATAACTCATTGCATCTGATCAGAGCACCCACCTTCCTGGGCAAGATACCCCAACAGTCCGGCCAGGATGAGGAGGAAGATATGAAGGAACCCCATGCCGTCTGTCTTCAGAATAAACTTGGCAGGTGGCTGAAATGGATCCTGGACCTGCCTGGATCTGCTCAGCCTGTCCTGGAGGAAACCAAGCCCTGCCTGTGAAGTCCTCTCTGGATCTTATCCCTGGGCTGGAAGGGGCGGGCACCTCCACTCTCAGGGCAGTTCCACAGGGCAGAGATTAAAAATCAACAAATGCTTTCCATTCGCCTCCCCTGGTCTTATCTGCCTGTTGGTTAAATTTCCATTCCTTCCAGAACGAACCTGCCTCTTTCAAACTCTGATTGTCAATAACCTCCCCAGATCATTTTGCTAGGCAAGGAATGCATAGACCCCCACATTTTATGGATCATGATTGTTCCCAGTCTGATTTTCACACAAAGGATCCCTAGGGTTGCCATATTTCAAAAAGTGAATACCCGGACACAAAAGTTGTTGAACTTCTTCTTCTAATAATAATAATAATAATAAAATTTTAATTTGTAAATCCAGGACTATCCCTGGAAAACAGGGACACTTGGAGGGTCTGGATCACTGCGAGGGCCTTCTCACCCATCCTGCCAACACACACATTTACGTATTACAAAGAGCTCTCCATTGCCGCAACAGAACACACCCAAAAAAGAAAGGAGAGGAAGAGAGGAAGAAAGAAAGGAAGGAAGGAAGGAAGGAAGGAAGGAAGGAAGGAAGAAGGAAGGAAAGAAAGAAAGAAAGAAAGAAAGAAAGAAAGAAAGAAAGAAAGAAAGAAAGAAAGGCATTTGCAGTGGGGGGGCCTGTTTAAGAGATTGGAAGGAGCTGCTTATTTTAAAAGCTGTCAGCAGCAACTTGACATTTCTTTTCTTTTCTTTACAGTTTTGAGTAATTACATTTTGCTGATGTTTTGTCTTGTGGTTGTGGAGCAATGAGCAGACTTTGCAGCTTCCATTGGGAGGGGTTCAACCCTTGCCTGTTATCTGCGAGGGTCAAGCCAAGATCAGAGTGACCTATGCAGGACTGAGATGACAGAACATTCCCTGCCAGGGACAATGCAAGCGTCCCAAAGGCCAGGAAAATGACGAATCTCACAGGCGCCAAGCTATTAGCTGAAGAAGGCTCACCTTTAGAAGCGGCAGAATTGCGGGGCTTATAATAGTGGGACCTTTGAGTTTGCTGGCTTGCCTTCATGAAAGAAGAATCTTTTGTAAGCCACTTAGAAGTCCTTTAAGTGGCATATCAATTTTGTTCAATAAATAAATAAAGGTGCACAGGAATTTCCCACCCTGCACTCATCTCTCACCTGTGGCTCCTAGAAGCTGTCAGCGTGCGACAGTGGCTACACCCCGTGAAATGGCCTAGACTGGCCAGCTAAACCAGGTGAAGGGAGACAAGGTGTGAGTTAGGGACTTTCCCTGCATGTGAAGACAGGCTCTAGCAGATTGAGCTGACGAGGCAAATAGTGGGTCCAATGGTTAAGAAGGCGGTTTCTGCATTTGCTGTAGAAGTATTATTATTATTATTATTATTATTATTATTGATATTGTTGTAGTTGTTTAGTCGTTTAGTCGTGTCCGACTCTTCATGACACCATGGACCAGAGCACGCCAGGCACTTCTGTCTTCCACTGCCTCCCGCAGTTTGGTCAAACTCATGCTGGTAAAATGTGGTCTTGACTATGCTACCACTCAGTGGATTTGTAACTGGCTGACTGACCGAACCCAAAGGGTGCTCATCAATGGTTCCTCTTCATCCTGGAGAAGAGTGACTAGTGGGGTGCCACAGGGTTCTGTCTTGGGCCCGGTCTTATTCAACATCTTTATCAACGACTTGGATGATGGACTCAAGGGCATCCTGATCAAATTTGCAGATGACACCAAATTGGGAGGGGTGGCTAACACCCCAGAGGACAGGATCACACTTCAAAACGACCTTGACAGATTAGAGAACTGGGCCAAAACAAACAAGATGAATTTTAACAGGGAGAAATGTAAAGTATTGCACTTGGGCAAAAAAATGAGAGGCACAAATACAAGATGGGGACACCTGGCTTGAGAGCAGTACATGTGAAAAGGATCTAGGAGTCTTGGTTGACCACAAACTTGACATGAGCCAACAGTGTGACGCGGCAGCTAAAAAGCCAATGCAATTCTGGGCTGCATCAATAGGAGTATAGCATCTAGATCAAGGGAAGTAATAGTGCCACTGTATTCTGCTCTGGTCAGACCTCACCTGGAGTACTGTGTCCAGTTCTGGGCACCACAGTTCAAGAAGGACATTGACAAACTGGAACGTGTCCAGAGGAGGGCAACCAAAATGGTCAAAGGCCTGGAAACGATGCCTTATGAGGAACGGCTAAGAGAGCTGGGCATGTTTAGCCTGGAGGAGAGGAGGTTAAGGGGTGATATGATAGCCATGTTCAAATATATAAAAGGATGTCACATAGAGGAGGGAGAAAGGTTGTTTTCTGCTGCTCCAGAGAAGCGGACACGGAGCAATGGATCCAAACTACAAGAAAGAAGATTCCACCTAAACATTAGGAAGAACTTCCTGACAGTAAGAGCTGTTCGACAGTGGAATTTGCTGCCAAGGAGTGTGGTGGAGTCTCCTTCTTTGGAGGTCTTTAAGCAGAGGCTTGACAACCATATGTCAGGAGTGCTCTGATGGTGTTTCCTGCTTGGCAGGGGGTTGGACTCGATGGCCCTTGTGGTCTCTTCCAACTCTATGATTCTATGATTCTATGGTTCTATGATTCTATGCTGGTAGCTTCGAGAACACTGTCCAACCATCTCGTCCTCTGTCGTCCCCTTCTCCTTGTGCCCTCCATCTTTCCCAACATCAGGGTCTTTTCCATGCAGTTGTTGTTGTTGTTGTTGTTGTTGTTGTTGTTGTTATTATTATTATTATTATTTTATACCTGTCCATCTGAGTGGGCTGCCCCAGCCACTCTGGGCAGCTTCCAACATATATAAAAGCATAATAAAACATTAAACATTAAAAAACGTCCCTATGCAGGGCTGCCTTCAGATGTCTTCTAAGTCAGATACATAGTTGTTTATTTCCTTGACATCTGATGGGAAGGCGTTCCACAGGGTGGGCGCCACTACCGAGAAAGCCCTCTTCCTGGTTCCTTATAACCTCACTTTTTGCAGTGAGGGAACTGCCAGAAGGCCCTTGGAGCTGAACCATCACCCCCCAGCTGAACAATAGGGATGGAGACGCTCCTTCATGTATACTGGGCCATTTAGGGCTTGAAAGGTCAGCACCAACATTTTGAATTGTGCTCGGAAAGCGAGGGGCAGATGGGGCTCATCAACCTGGAAAGGTGGAAGGAGAAGGAAAACTGATCCTAAAATCGCTACTATCTCCACAATCAGGAGAAGAAAAGGCTTAGGAGCAAATCCTACACAACTCTGGAGTGGAGTCCCTAAGACGGTCAGATGGCACCTTCTACACCTCTTTTCGGCAACTCCCACAGCCAAGCTGGTGCCAAATGTATCACTCTGCCTGCCTTTGGACACACAAATCTGGGATCAAAGGGCACGTGCTTGCCACATCCCCACACTGCCCTCTTCCCTAGCGGCCTGCAAGGCTCGGATCCGGGGAGGGCGGTGTGAGAAGAGCACAACAACCACACACTATGCCACCTGTGCAGGGGGAGCCTGGCCAGCTGATGCAGCACTCAGCAGGCACAAAGGAGGTGCCCCCATGCCATGCTGGAGGTGCTGGCATGGGGGCACCTGCTTTGCACCCCCCCTCAGAAATCTGCACCTGGGGCCACGGCCTCTCTGGCAACCCCAAGCTATGCCCTATATCAGGAATAACTTTCTGACAGTAAGAATTGTTTGACAGTGGAACGGTCTCCCTCGGGAGGTGCTGGACTCTCCTTCCTTGGAGGTTTCTAAGCAGAGGTTGGGTGGCCATCTGTCATGGATGCTTTAGTTGAGATTCCTGCATTGCAGAGGGTTGGACTAGATGGCCCCTGGGGTTCCCTTCCAACTCTACAATTCTATGATTCTACGATTCAAGGGTCAAATGACCCAGGACTGTCTTCTGCATACGCTACAAATGGGAACTAGAGTCCAGTTCCCACAAGACGCACACTACCTCTGAATGTGGAGACAAGAGCATACTGCCTCCTTTTTCCATGCTAGGCATAATTTTATAAACTTCTACATGATTCTATGTTCTGTGCCGTCTTTTGCTTGCCTTTTCTCTACACTAAGAAGCCCCAAACTTAGCCCAAAGACATCTCAGTGCTGCTGCTGACCAAACACATCGGAACGGTTTGTGATATATTGAACGCCATGACCTTGTTTGCTTTCTGTGACCCAAACAAAGAGGACAATCACCTCTAAGGTTTTTTGGGGTCAACCAGCTGACACAACCATCTTGTCTGAGGGAAAATTTAACCACCCAGCAGCAGCCAACACAATTGTAGACCCATATGTTGTCTCGTACACACATCACAGAAAGTTAGGCAGCCTGTCCATATTAGACTGACGCTACCAAGTGGCCAAGGACCCCCTTTGTGCTAGATTGTGTGTGTGTGTGTGTGTGTGTGTGTGTGTGTGTAGGATTGGGTGGAGGGATTCCTCCCCCAATCTCTCCTGGCTCAGCTGGTTCATAAGTTTATTGTGCTAGCCAAAGGCCATGACAAACTTGTAGCTGTAGTATTTGTAAAATAATACAGAACATACATCCCTAATATAAGACAACAAGCTGCAGAAACTGAAGGTGGGCACATTACTGTCAAGGAGATAAGTAACTCTATAACCTTTAGAAGACATATGAAGGCAGCCTGGAGGCTTTTTAACATTTAATGTTTTATTATGTTTTTATATATGTTGGAAGCTGCCCAGAATGGCAAATAAATTATTATTGTTCTTGTTCTTATTCTTATTCTTACTATTATTACTACTACTATAACTGCCATGGCTGCTCCCTCAAAGTATCCCAGGAATGGTCACTGCCTATCTTAGAAAGCAGCAGAATCGTCTTGTTTTTCAGGCAAGTGAGAAATTCTCATGCAGAGGACAGACAACATCCCTTCTGAGCACTTTCTGCTAAGGGAATTTCTCTCTTCGCACTCCCCTCCTTTGACCAGAGGATGGCAGTGGTGTGCTGCTAAATTAGAGTAAGCCAAAACTGAGAATTACAGTAGTACCTCAGGTACAGACACTTCAGGTTACAGACTCTGCTAACCCAGAAATAGTACCTCGGGTTAAGAACTTTGCTTCAGGATGAGAACAGAAATCATGCTCTGGCGGCACAGTGGCAGTGGGAGGCCCCATTAGCTAAAGTGGTACCTCAGGTTAAGAACAGTTTCAGATTAAGAACAGACCTCTGGAACGAATTAAGTTCTTAACCTGAGGTACCACTGTATAGGTTCTCTCCTTCTTTCCCCCCATTTTAGGTTACATTCACTCCATTTCTGCATCAGCAATTAACACGTGCGTTTTTGTAAGACGTTTCTTCCAACATAGCACAAGTTTGTACATTATTTTCACTCAACAGACACATTTATGGCACACAATTTTTGGCTGGAGGATTTGCAACTTTGAAATTGATGGGGAAGTGTAAATCTTGAAGGAGCGTTCTGTTTCTGTTGGCATATTGGTTCACAAATTGCAAATTGGAAAGGTTTGTGTTCGAATCAAACTGAAATTATTTCTCCCATCAGGCTTACCTTTCATGCATCTCAGGTCCCATGAGCTGCTCTCAGTGCTAGTTTTTAGATTTGGGGGAGTTAGTCCAGCTGTATCTGGCAAACACACATTTGGAATGCATCAGGTTAGTGGGGCACCTGTAGCCTTCCCAAATGTTGCTGGTCTACAACTCCCATCACCTCTGACCATTAGTCCTGCTGGCTGGGGCTGATGGGAGTTAAAGTCCAGCAAAACCTGGAGGGCCATAGGTTCCTAGCTCCCCAAACACGTAATGACCAATCATTGCCGGCCTTTGAATTGACTCTAAGGTCTTATTGGTTTGCAAAGCCCTCCTCTTCAATTAGAATTTTCTTGCGGCACCGTCTATATAATGCTTCTGCCTTTTAGGATTCTTTTATTTAATTTTATGGCAATCCGCAACATTTTAAATAAATAAACTTTCCTAGAACACTCCATGCCATATCAGGCAGGCACTTCAGTTGAACTGTTTCCGATGTCTGCTAAAAAAAATGTTTTCATTTGTTCAGGAGACCCTACCCAGACAAGGAATCTCATTTTATATTGGTTTATTAAATGAAAACATCTCGGAAAGGAGGTGGGAGAGAACATTACATTGCAATTAGAACCACACCAAATCCATAGAACAGACCCAGGAAAGCAGCAGCAGAACACCTCAGCGGCAAAACATCATCCGGCAAATCATCATGTGGATGTCACCGATAGCAGATTTGTAAACACAGGCTTGCCTGGTCGCCTTTGGCGAGCGAGATGTGTTGCCAGGCGACCAGGAGGGGGGAAGCGGCAATAAACCAAGTGGATGAGTGGAAGTTCACGGCTTGTTTTTTGTTTTTGTTTTCCAAAATGCTCTGTGTGCTACACAACAGCTCGGTGGCCAGGTGGGTTAGAATTTGGGACAGAAAAGGCTGATTGCTTGGGAGGCTGGATTTCCCTCGTTTCCTTTACCTCAGCCTGCCCTTCACCACCACGTCTCCCTTGATTTCATACTGCAGGTTCTTCCAGCCCAGAGCGCATCGGGGCAGCTGCAGATCCTGGTAGGCCGCCCGCATCTTGTGAGGAGACAGGAGGAAATCCCACATGTAGACGTCCGTCAGTTCTCCAGAGAAGGAGTTGTAGGAGTCGTAGGTGCCCCCAAAGCGGTCTTGCTCTTGGCCCAACAGGATGAAGGCCCCGGAGCCAACCACGTAGCCTTTCTTCAAGCCTTTGCGTGGCCAAGGCTTGCCGTTCATCCAGAACTCAGCGATGCCGGTGGCCGATTCCCACCCGAAACAGACGTGCTCCCAGTCTAGGGTGTCCTCTGGGACTTTGAAGGACAGGTACTCTCCACCGATGTACACCCGGTATTCTTGGGCTTGAAGATCAGGATTTCGTTGTCCTCAGACTCAGTGGCGTAGGAGAAGAGGCCATAGGGCCGAGTCAAGTCCGTGTAGGACCTCAGGCAGACAGTGAGGTTCTGCAATGGCTCCTTGGGCAGAGGCTTGAGGATGATGTAGGCCTCGCTAGGCTCCGTGCGGAAGACAAAGACTTTTCTGGTTAGGTCTGTGAGGAGACAAGGAAAGAGGGAGACACAGGGAAGAAAGGTTGGGACCATCTCCTCTCTGACAAGGCTCCTGAGCTTTCCTCAGCAGTATCATTGAAAGGGGTAGGTTCTAATGCACGAAAGAAGTAAAATAATAATAATAAAAAATAATAACGCCGTCCATCTGACTGATTTGCCCCAGCCACTCTAGGCAGCTTCCCACAGAATATAAAAACACAGTAAAACATCAAACGTTTCCCCTAAACAGGGCTGCCTTCAGATGTCTTCTGAATGTTATATAGTTGTTTATCTCCTTGACATCCGATGGGAGGGTGTTCCACAGGGAGGGTGCCACTACCTAGAAGACCTCCGTAGATTTTACCAGGTTCTCCACACATGATTACAAATCCAATTGTGACTCCTGGTGAGCTGTGATTTAAGGTGAAGCGTGCAGGCCGATATGTGGCACAAACAAACATAGAATCATAGAATTGTAGAGTTGGAAGGAACCCTGAGGGTGATCTAGTTCAACATCCTACAATGCAGGAGCCACAGCTAAAGAACAGACATAATAAAGCTGTCATAATTATAATTATGATAATTAGTATCACAATATTATTCATGAAAACGGCTACAATTGCAATGGTTTCATTACTATTATCATCATCATACTCAAAGTAAAGCCATTCATGGACATGACTAACTTTGGTCCATTAATTTCAGTGGGTCTACTCTGAGTAGGACTAATGTTGGCTACAAGCCCATCTTCATCATAATTTTAATTGTCAGAAGGAGATGTCATAAGATGACCACAAAGGATAAGCTGAATAAGCTACTAACCTTCCTGGGCAGCAGCCTCTGACAAACCTGCAAGGATGAGGAGACAGACCCAGCGGGAGTCCATCTTCAGGGCTATCCAAAAATGGGATTTTAGAAAAAGTGCAAGCAGAACCTGATCGCGGGAGGGAGAAGCTGCAGCCTCTGCAATCATCAGTGACCATCTGCAAATCACAGAAACTTTGAGGGCCATGTCTAAATTTATCCCTGCACTGAGACAGGCGGAAGAAAACAGCCTGCCAAAGGCTGACTGTGCAATTGAGCAACCCCTTCTCAGCTTCCAGAAGTTGCAGAAGAGAGGCGGGAGGCTGCTTGACTCCTTAAGAAGGTAAGAAAGAGCTCAGCTGCTGGACCAGGCCAAAGGGGACACATCTAGCATAACCCTCCAATGTTTCATAAAACCATTGAATTGTTGAGTTGGAAGGGATCCCGAGGATCATCTAGTCCAACCCCCTGCAATGCAGGCATATGCAAGTGCCCCATACAGGGATCGAACCTGCAACCTTGGCATCATTGGCACCAAACTCTAACCAACTGGGATATCTAGGTTGCATTCCTCCGATGAAAATAGGGACGATCTATTCAACAACAACAACAACAACAACAATTTTATTATTTACACCCCACCCAATATTCGGGCCAATATGGTATATACATATACCCTCCAACATTATGAAAATAGGGATGGCCTCTTCTTCTTCTTCCACCACCCATCTGACTGAATTGCCCCAGTCACTCTGGGTGGCTTCCAACATATATAGAAACAAAATAAAGCTTTAAACATTTTTTAAAAAAACCTTCCCCATACAGGGCTGCCTTTAGATGTCTTCTAAAGGTTGTATAGTTACTTATCTCCTTGGCTCAGAGGTTGGATAACTCCATCCCCTCCAGCATTTCTCCAGTGAATATAGGGATGTCCTAAGGAAAAGTGGGACATTCCGGGCTCAAATAAGAAACCAGGACGGCTTCTGTAAATCCAGGACTGTCCCTGGAAAATAGGGGCACTTGGAGCGTCTGCCTCCCCACTCTATAGTTCTATGATAGTTTGAAAACACCCCATTCTATGATCTAGTGGGAGCGAAGTATTCCCTTAGCTATTGTAAACCTAGCCCACAGAAGCACACCAAGCTGTTTCTCTTTCCAGGCTTTTAGGAGGCTGGCGATATTAATTTTGCAAAGCTTTTGCAGGGGCTGGCTAATTGCTGATGCTATCAACCTGTTCTCCCTGGCTTTGATTGGCTTTTGATTAGTGGTTTTAATTGGATGTTTTAATGGGGCTCCTTGATTGTAACTTGCTCCCTCCCAGCAATTGGCTTTGGGGAACCTTGTCAAGGTAAAGTAGAAAAGGGAGAAATTAAGTGAGGAATTAAGTTAATAAGGAAAAGGCAGCCACTTTATCCTCTGCACAGAGTTAGTTCCACAACCACCATGCTAGGGCCCTGAAAGGCCCAACTGAACTCGAGAGCTGAGGGCAGCAGCTACTGTTTCGGGGTCACAAAGGGCTGGGAGATGTTTTCCATCCCAGGGGACCCCTTCTTTTCTGGCCTCCCTTTCAGAATCTGCAAGTCTTTGATGGGTGAGGCAAAAGTGGGCAGAGCAACAACTGTAAATTTTGTGGGATTTTTTTTTTTTTTTGTACAATAGGCTAAAGATTTCCCCTTCCAGGTCAGCAAGTGGCGTTCTAAGAGTTCAAGGACAAAGTCCAGCCAGGCAGAAACACCCAAGAGAGCCAGAGAGCGATGCTGTCATGGGCTGGCTAGACACAGAGAACCAGCAGGAGGCACCAGATAGGGAACATCCAAGGGGAGAAGGCTCAGAGCTGGGGAGTTGGTGGTGGGACAAAGATGTGTGGTCAGAGGGAGCAGACTACCCATTGACATTAGAGGGAGGAGGAGTCAGAGTGCTTGAGCTTTTTGGGGGGAGGACTGATCAGAGTTGTTGAACTTTTTTGGGGGAATGCCACAACTGACATCAACAAATGCCAAATGCATGAACACTTTACGGAGGAACAGAGAGAGGGGGGGAGGGGGTCAGAAACATTCATTCCCCTGTGATTTTAACCCCATGAACGATAAGGGTCTATTGGCAAAACCTATTGGTGTTTCGCCACTTCCTGACTAGTTGCAGGACCTTAGCCAGACCTAGCAGAGTAAACGCAGAGTTCACGAAAGCAATTGGCAACTTGGCTGCAGACAGGATGGACGAAGCAGGAACCAGGAACTTGTAGTTAGGTGTTTATTATATACAGTGGACTATTTACAGGAACAGAACACGGATCTTTGACTTGCTCTCTCTGACACGACTCACAACTCTCTCAACCTCCAGCTCCTACACTGACACACTGAACCACTGAACTAACAGTTAGTAGGCCATTAATTATCACTCCCTTGAGAGAGCTTGACCAATCATGGAGCTGTCTCCATGCCTCTGTATCACCAGGCAGACTTACTCCTTCACATGACCTTTTGGCTGTCTGCCAAACCTTAATTGACTCTGTGGGAGTAGCTGCACATATTCAGATTCCCAACAGGGTCCCGCGATTGACCGCGACCTACCAGGAGCACCCAGGGATCTACTGATTGATCGTGGTCGACCGGTTGAATATGTCTGCCATAGAGGTATGAAGAAAGCGGAGCAAATATAGACCAGGCGAAGAATTCTCAGGTTGCTTGAGAAGGACGTGGGGAAGGAGCAGCCTTAGAGAGCAGTGGGAAGGCAGAGACCTTCCACCCTCGCAACAGCCTCATTGGAGCAAGGCCTACGGGGAAGGGCTGCTTTGACCACTAGGCCTGCACTGTTTTGGCTTTATTGCTGACCAGCTCCTGACTCCCGGTCCTGACAGGGCTGTATTTAGCTCCTGTATCTGAGGTTCCCCATCCCTGGCCCAACAGAACAACAGAGCTGAGAGCATCGTCAGGAAACAATGTTGTCCGTGGCAATGAGATGGCTTTAGAAGATGATGGATTCAGGTTATCAATGGCCACTAGCCATGATAGTGAAGCTCTAACTCCACTGTCAGAGGCAGAGATGTGCCTTTGAATACCAGTCTCTGCGAATCACAAGTGGGGAGAGTTGCTGTTTTATCCAGTCCTGTTTGTGGGCTTCCCAGGGTTCTGGCCATCGAGAAGGGCTGATCTGATGTTCTTGGATGTCTCCAGCTGTTCAAGGAAGCTATTTTTGCCCAGACACACACTTTTGTGTGTATGTTGGGGGGGGGGGGACACACACACCACAGAATTCAGCTCGCCTTCCTTCTTTCTTGCAAGAGCTGCAGGGTCACACACTCCACTGCTGTGCTGAGGCAGCCTGCCTGCTGTCTTGGGTGGTGGTGGTGGTGGTGGTGGTGTGTGTGATTCACCCACATCACGGCCAAAAAGAGGAAGGGATGACCCAGAAAGCTGACCATCTCAGATTTCTCCACCTCCTCAAAGGGGATGAGATGGCTAAATGAATTTGCTCCAGCATTTCACAGATGGAAACAGAAACACTATCACCTTCTTGTGACCAGGGATGGAAGGGTGGGGGTGGGGAGGAATTTGACCCAGTTCACATTGAAAGGCAAACCCATCTCAAACTAGAGCAAGTTTGGGATGTTGCTTCTGTACCAGTTATCATGGGCTGAGCTTTAAATAAGGCTGCAGTTCAGCCTGGGACCCGTCTGCACTACAGCCGTACCTTGGTTCTCGAACAGAATGCATTCCGGGAGTCCATTCGACTTCCGGAACTGTTCGAAAACCAAGACATGGTTTCCGATTGGCTGCAGGAGTGTCCTGCAACCAATCAGAAGCTGTGGAAGCCACGCTGGATGTTCAGCTTCCGGAAATCGTTCGAAAACCGGAAAACTCACTTCTGGTTTTCGATCGTTCGGGAGCCGAAACATAAGAGTTCCAAGGCGTTCAGCAACCAAGGTACGACTGTATATGTATATGATTGTTCCACTTTGAACAATCATGGCTTCCCTGAAAGAATCCTGGGACTTGTAGTTTGTTAAGGGTGCAAGGCAGAAGTGGCCCTGTTTCGAGGTAAAATGGGAAGTAGCTGATCTGCCTAAGCGCTGCCTGCCCTTGCTCCCCATCCCCCCCATTTAAGCTTTGCTTACTGGGCTCACTTGGGTTCTGGTGCAATTGTGCAAGGCCTCTGCAGACCTCCACGTGATTTTGTGGGGCTCTTGTGTGAGACCTCACTGGAAGCTTCCACTTCTCCTTGCTTCTCTGGCGATGGGGTGTGTGCCCAGGGAGCACGCCTGTGGAAGCGGCCTTTGGATTCTGCCGCCTGAGGCAGCTGCCTCAGTCTGCCTCCCGGATGCACCAGCCCTGGTGCAAAGAGGAGGTCCCTATTTCCCGCACAGAGCGACAACTGTCTGAGCCATGGCTGTTTAAAGTGTTCTGATACTGCTTTAAAAGTATAGTGCAGATGGGGCCTGGCCTACCTATGAGTTGGCCAGAGCTGGTGCACAGTTTCAACTCCCCTCATTACTCCTCTTTCCTTTTGCAGAGAACATCGGCGCTTTTTGCTCCAAGCCCCTCCGCATGCGTGTATCTTCCAGGCGAGGCCTGGGATGCCATCCTCCTAATTGGAATAAATGAGGGCTGTTTAGAGCCCTCTGCTGCTTGATTTAAGGCTCTACATTTCCTCCGACCCCCCCTCCCCCACTAATAGCCTGGGGAACGTCTCCAAAGTTATTAACTTTCCTCCCTAATTTGGAATCACGGGGGAGCGTATGGATCTCCCATTGCCCATCAATGCTCCCTTGGGGAGCTTTAATCGCCTCGGTGACAGGAGGGGATGGATTGGAGAGCTGTAATGAGAGTCCCCTTGGCAAAGGGATGGGGCTCACTGGTAGAATGTGCTTGCATGGGGGGGGGGGGTCTCCGCTGTGGGGAGAAATGCCCTTGGGTTGTGTGGCTGCGTTTTCCAAGTAGCTCACGAGCTTGTTAGAGAAGAGCAGGGCTTGCACCGTCGCGAGACCCTCTCTAGGAGATGAATTGCAAATTACGGGGCCATCATAAACACAGCAGAAAGATCAGCTGGGGAAGAATAGGCTGAGAAGTGTTCATTGCCACCCCATGGAAAATGGAGAAGGTTCATTTCCATTAGAGTGCAGGGGCAGAGAAGCCTTTTCTCAGCCAGGATGGAGGAGGCATCCTCCCGCAAAGGCAACCAGTTGGGGGCCATGTGCTGGTGGTGGGTGTGGCCAGAGGTAAAAAGTGGGCGGAGTAACATACCTGGCTCTTGCTTTTGTACGCTGTGCTGCATCCAAGCTGCACATAATTCAGAGGCACACACACACACACACACACACACACACACACACACACACCCTCTCTGCCCAGGCAAGTAAGAGAATACCAGAAGGTAAGCATTCTGGATCAGATCATTATATTGTTATAAGTTCAGGGGTGCGAGACTCCCCTAAAATGCTGGATCTAGTAAAGGTTTAGAATTTAATCAAGCCTCCTGAACCCCTGGATCCAGCAAGGATTAAGATATAAGTCAGACCAGCTTCCTTAGGCGATCGCCTGGGAGATGGGCCATTAAAGGAGAACAAA